GGGGGGGGGGCATGACGGACGGTCGGTCCATGAATAGTACACACCGCGCTCGGCGTCCAGTTCCACCAAGAAAACAAGCCCATTTGCATATCACTTGCTGCCCGTCGCCGAGGTGTACATGTCAAGGCATATGGCACATGCCGTTGCTCCAGGGACAACAATCCGGTGTATCTCCCTCCTGATTGATGATAATGGTGATGGATCAAAGAGGCAGCTCATTAAGCAAAAGCGGGATATCGAAGGAAAATGGCACGTGGCCACTCTATGTGCGGCCAAGGTGAAAAAAAAGGAGCCTTGCATTTTAAAAAAAAAAGTCCCCCCTCATCAACTTACGATGCGAAATATTGAATCAAAGTCCATGGGCTTGCGCGCTGGGCGCATGTACCAGTACCAAATAGAGCAAGACCTCTTTCTCTTTTTTGCCTCGGTGGTTGCCCGGTCCCGGGAATCAGGCGATGGCCAGAGTAAGCAGAACGGAGTCAAACGCCACGGGCCGGTAGAGTTTTTTTTTTCTTGCGTGCGAAAATCGGCGTAAATAGCTCCCTCTCAGCTAGCCCTGGCGCCCGATTACGAGCCTTTTTTTTTTTTTTTTTTGTGTGGAGGAGGTGGTTCTGGGCAAGGCAAGCAAAGACTCATCGTCCATTTTCTCGCCGCCCCTGCGCGAGTAAGCGTTGGGCAAAACTATCAAGTTCCCAGCCCACTGAATGGACTTGGCCGAGGTCATTGTCAATGCCGTTCAAAGTGCAGGTAGCTTTGGAAGAAATACCTGTCGGTAGCTATTAACTTATCAGTGACTTATCAGTGAGCTTGCATTCTAGAATGGCGCCGGAACAAGCGGACGAGGTGGGTGAAAAGAGGGTACGCTAGGCAAAGGATGTCATCCAGAAAGGCGGCAGAGTGGATGGATGGAAGCTTTTTTGATGCTTTGCTTTCTACGAGTAAGGAACCCAAGAGAGTTGGATGCCATTGTCATTGTCGTCATCAATATTATTGCTTGGACAAGACGGCAAGCATCCTTGGCTCTTTGGAATACACTCGGCCCCCCACACCATAGACTTGTCAAAAAGAGCCCATTGCTATCAATATCTGCCTATATCCTTACTCAGAGTGAATTTTTCTGCCAACTAATTAGTTAGTTATAACGGGGGCTTGCATGGCGAAAACCCCTCGGTCACGCCCCCCCGTCTGGCCCCAGACGAAAATGGTCCGCTTCGCCTCACCTGAAGGGGCGACAAGATGGATGGGAAGACTAGATTTGGATTTGATTGTGGCAATATGGGTGGCATGTTGGAGGGGACGGAAGCAATGCCCGCCGGCCTCCAACCTGGGCCGCCCAGTCCTCCTCTGACAAGGTAAAACAATATGCAGCTGCGAATTACGCAAGCTGATTGGGGAGAGAGGAGCCGCTGTTCCGGGCCTCTCTTGTATGAATATATAGATCAACCCTGCAACTACTCCCCGGATAGAGGACCTGCAGAAAACAGACGGTGACAACAAAACTCTGCATATCATATCGTTTAACCCTCCATGCTCGTATTACGCTGGCATGCCCTTCGCCTGCCGGTCTGTGAACGAGAAGTTTTTGACAGAGCACGCATTGTCCATTCCATGCCGGCTTTCGTCAAGGCTTGCGACCATTACTCAATGGGCAATTTGCTGGGCTCTGGCTTTCGGGAAAGGTTCCATCTTCGCATCTTGAAGAGCTACATAGTTACGAGCGTAACGAACTCACTTTTGATAAACTTTACCAACGCTTTGCTGTCCTCGTGGCTACGCTCTCAGCAGCGAGTTTTTCTGGGTATTCGTGGAGGAACGCGAGCGCATCCGCGAGCTGAAATGACCACACAAGCTGGAGTTTGGGACCAGCGCGCTGATGGCCATGACGCTTCGATGGTGCTGCAGAAAGGAGTGCAGATCACGTTTGAAGGCACCCTCGAGACGAATTCCGCCTGCGTCGACCTCGCTATAGTATTACAGCGGACTTGGGCTCTTCCTCTTTTTGGCCAGTCTCTCTTAAATCTCCCGTTCCTTCTAGAGGGCAGCGTCGTTTGTTTTTGGGTCTACGTGCGTTTTGATGATCAGTTGCGCGGTCGAGTTGATGATAACACTCCTCCGAGCTATAATGTGCCTCAGGCCAAAGCCCGTCGTCGTATGCCATCGAGCCTCCTCGCAGATGAATTGCCTACCGGAGGAGTCGAGTAATAGGCACACAGGGATGATTGAACACGTCACGAGCTTTCGCGGGATGAAAGACTGTCAGGAGGGACAGCTCAAGTCCTTTCGTTGATTATGCGGAGCTCCTTGAGCAAAGCCACAGGCTGCCACATATCACATATGCAATGTGGCGCGCGCACCAAGATAACTTGGCGGTGCGACGTTGAAACACCTGAGGCCTGAAGATGCTGCCAAAATTTCAGGCGTGGGTAAATTTTTTAAGTCTTGCTGTCGTCAATGGACCTCAACTTTCAAGGAAAGAGCAAAGGCGTCAAGTAACTGCTAATCCATGAGGTCCTTTGGGCAGTTGCCGCTAAATTCATGCGCCACTTGTTAACGCCTCAGCCACCAAACTATTTCGCGGACCGCCATCGGTTCAACTCTTCCATTCCGTTTCTCCATCTTCCGTGCTGAGCGGCACTGCGTTCTCTTCACCCCCTCAATATCAAACACTTTCAGATAAAAAATTACACGGAGAAAGAGAAGCCTCACCGCCACGAAACCCCTGGTCGCCGCTGAATCCCCGACCGTCCTTCGTCCTCGTTTTCCCCTCCGCCAACGAATCCACCTCCAACGCTTCTTCTGAGAGCGCCATGCTACCGTTTTCCTGCCTGGCCAAACAATAGCGAGGTAGCAGCGCATACGTCGACACACACAACACGCACGACGCCGGGGCCAATCAATGGTCCAGTATATCTTTACTCCCTGGCGCGACCGCCAGGAGCTGCTCCTTGTGCGCGACCAGCTCTACGCCCACAAACGCGACGAACTGCCAGCGCCGCCGTCGCCCAACGATGATGATACCCGTCGTGCCCAGCAGAACCTCGCCGTCGCCCGCATATCCATGTGGGTGCAGCGAGGCAGCTGCCCGCACATGGTGGAGTCGACCGCCCTGCTCTTCGCCGCCGTTCTCAGCGACGAGCTGGCCGCCACCCAGAGCGCGGGTTCCTCCACCTACGCTGTCCGCGCTGCTTACTCGGCCGCCTTTAGTCGGTGAGCTTCTTTTCCCTGCTGGCCCCCTGGCCTCTTTCCTCTCCTGCTTTCTCTGCCCCCTTTGCGAAATCATGTCATGGTCTCACTGCTAGCGCCGCGCCCTGCACGCCACGGACCCAACTGCGACAAGGCGAGTTCGGACGCGACGTCATCTCGGCGAATTGATCCCGAATGGTGTGTGCCGATGGAGACACAGGAGAAAATGGCAAGACAGGGACCGCGAACCCGTCAAGGAACCGAATCACCGTTCAGCGAAGTGCTGCCGTCTGCCATTTACACTAAACGAGAACGCCCCCGGCCAAGCCACACAACTGTCCCAAACGTGCACCCGAAACCATAGATCAAGATGGAAATTATGGGATCATACGGGCCTTCGGATTATGCTAACTTGTACGGGGGTCTGCTCCTACCCCCTCATAGATTCGTCACCGGTCTCCTTGACGGCCACCAGGACAAGCTCCGTAAGCAGAGCATGTATTCCATCGCCAAGGTAATCGGCTTACCGGCCACCTTTGTCGAGTTACGGCACCAAGTCACCCACGAGCAGCTGCCCTCTCTCGCCCAGTTGCGCCCCGCTGCGCACATGGCTCTTGACTGGATCTGGGACTATTACTGGAAGCAGCTTGATCAACATAACGAGCCTACCTCGCAGGAATCCTGCAAAGAGGCGGTGCTCAAATATCTGCGCGAAGAGGACGAGCAACGGAGACAAGCGATGATTGCGCGAGCGCTGCGCAGGTGGGACATGGACAAGCTCATGGCCACCATCAAAGACCTACAGGCGACGCTGCCTGGAAATCAGGTATATTTAAAATGCATGAAGCTGAAGCAGGAGCTCATCGCCTCCCAATCGGCTGGGCAGCCGGCACCCGTTGTTGCCGAAGCCGAAGCCGTTCCGCAAGAATCGGAACCGACAGCATCTGAAGCGGACGGTGCTCAGGAAGAAGAATCGGACGACAACGATACCGGATGGTCTAAACACAAAGGGCAGTGGAAACCGAAGCCAATTGGCATTGTGTGACCTACTGTGCTGCATGTAAGGCGTTTTCTTTTTCAACCTAGATACCCCAGCAGATACCCCAGCTCGAAGCTATCCAATGACGTAGAATACGTTGAATCACCCTCGAACGTGCAACGTGGAAAACAATTGTGCTTTGGCAATTAAACATAGTAACTAGCCGCAAGTAAATGAGCCCGTCGTGACGATGGCGTTAATTGACTTTTGTTGCTATTGAAATCAATAGTCGCTCGCAGGATGGATGCTTACAAATCGACGTCATATTTGTGGATGACCTCGGAGCTTCACCCAAGCTCACATCTATCTCCCCGCTGCTTGGCTTACACCTGTCTGACAGCTCCCATCGAACAAGCAGCATCTTACGTGCGCGCCTGGGAAAACTGATGAACAGACTGATTCTTCGCCGACCCTTTCTACGACACAATATCGGGTATTTTGCTGTAGCTGTACGCTTCACCTCTCACACCCGCCGGCATCCTTGATAGCCCGCCGTCTCTCGCACCATGCATATCCAATCCATCCCCATGTGTAAGTTGCGCGGCTTCGAGGGGTCCGTGGTGAGAGGTTGGCGCACAGGGGGCGGCGAGGTGATGATGGCCCTCGCGATCTTGTGGAGGCGGAGGAGCGAAGAAGGCTAACTAACATGCAACGACAGGGGTGGGCACCAGCAACAACTATGCCTACCTGGTCGTCGACGACAAATCCAAGGACGCCGTCATCATCGACCCGGCCAATCCTCCCGAGTACGTTCTGCAACTGGACGTGTGACATGAAGAGACTGACTGTTTGCCGCAGGGTCGCGCCGGTTCTCAAGGACGCCACCGCCGGGGGCAAGATCAACCTGACGAACATCGTGAACACCCACCAGTATGATAACCTCTTTCACCATGAATTTGTAGAAAATGTCAAGCTGACAAATAATAATCTAGCCACTGGGATCATGCAGGCGGAAACAAGAAGCTGGTAAGCTCCCTCTCCCTGCTGCGCTTTCTACGTTGAGTTGTTGGTTGTTTTGCTCACGCGTTCCGGTGCGCAGCTCGAGGCGCTTGGCAATTCCAAGCTCGGCATCATCGGCGGCAAGGACTGTGAGGGCGTCACGCAGACGCCCCGGCACGAGGAGGTTTTCAAGATTGGCGACATCTCCGTCACGGCGGTCCACACGCCCTGCCACACCCAGGACAGCATCTGTTACTTCATGGAGGACAGCACGGGCAGGGCCGTCTTTACCGGCGATACGCTCTTCATTAGCGGTAAGCTTACCGAACGCCTTTTCGTATTTCGATTTGTTTATGTTGTGGCTGACTGAGGTGTGTAGGCTGCGGTCGGTTCTTTGAAGGCAACGCCGCCGAGATGCACGAGGCCCTGAATAAGCGTCTGGGTGCACTGCCAAACGACACTGTCGTCTACGTGAGTTTTCTCCTTGCTACCCTGATGCGAAGCTGTGGGAGACAAGAATGCTGACGGAGACTGCCAGCCCGGCCACGAATACACAAAGGCCAACGTCCAGTTTGCCATCTCCGTTTTGCAGAGCGACCCCGTTAAGGCGCTGCAGGACTTTGCGGAGAACAACAAGGTGACGACGGGCAAGTTCACCATTGCGGATGAAAAGGTGCGTCCAGCTAGCGGTTGGGTGAAGGGAGATCCGGTCCCCGACTGACTGAGCGATTTTAGAAGCACAACGTCTTTATGCGCCTCGACGACCCCGTCGTGCAAAAGGCCACTGGCGCGACCGACCCCGTCGAGGTCATGGCGCAGCTGCGCGAGATGAAGAACAGCTTCAAGTGAGAAGTAAATCACTGCTCCTATCTGCATGATGCAGCGCTGTATAAATGCTAACGCAGGTGTGCGTAGGCCACCCGAACCCAAAATGTAAAAAGAGTTTATGTAGTTTGTGCTCATGATGTTTAGATGGAGGATGTTGGCGAGGCAATATCTTTGGTTCATCCGGGCATAGGGGGCACATGATCGACAATTGGGATAGTCACGAGGAAGCCTACGTGTGCAAAAAGGTCATCGAAGGAAAGAATGTCTCCAAGAACAGACAGGCAAGGCTGGTTGAGCCAGAACACATGCCGCAGGCCACTCGTTGGGATCAAGGCAGGCTTCCTTGGGGGGAAGCTGGCTTGACTTGTGTTTCTTATTGCTTCACTGTCCACACTTGCTCGCCCTGGTGAAGAAAGAGGCGGCAAGCTCTAGCAAATTTTGAAGCGTTGTTTTTGTTGTTGCTCAGTTCGGTCACGGAAGAAAACATAATCTCAATTTCGGTGCATTTCACAGCAGGGTCGATCGTTCGGAGGGCGAGTGTATCATCGTAACAAACCTGATGGACAGAAAAACCCTTATCAATTGGAGACTGAGTGAGTACTATTCACCTGTCGAATCCAACATGGTAACTGTCGTCTGGAGAAGAGCGGCCGCGAGGCAGTGAATTCTTCTGCACATTGCCGTTGGGTGCTTTGAAGAAGAGAAAGAGGAAAAAACAGCCCGAAGAATTTTGTACCACGATGGGAGTGGATTCCTTGGTGAAGCCACACTGTCCGGGTATAGAATTCGCACTGTATGTTCGCACGGCTGAAAGCTTGTGAACGGGGCCTTCGTCGTTCGATTGCATCACCGCGCGCTCACACAAAAAACGTGCCTGGAACGCGCGCGCTTCGTCGCAAAAGCCCACCTATTACATATCAACACTGCGCAAATGGTAAGCATTCGTTATCTTTCCCGCTTGTGTCTCACGCGCGATGCTAATTTGTCTGCCAGCCACCGAAGCGGAAGGCGGCGGCGGCAGCGACGGCGGCGGCGGCGGCACCGCGCCGGTCCAAGCTCGCCAAGGAGCACAACGTGTCGGCGCAGGAGGAGAACGAGATCCGGGAGGCCTATAGCCTGTTTTCCGAGCCCGCAGACGGGGAGAAGAACGGGGTGCTACCGATTGACGACGTCAAGTCTGCGTTGATGTGCGTTCTCAACCCCCCCCCCCCCCCCCAATTTCAGCTCCCCCAGAGCAAAAGGAAGAAGGAAAGCTAACATCTGACAAAAAAAAAATCAGTGCCCTTGGCGTGCCGCCCTCCTCCCCCGCCGAACTCCGCGAGTTCGTCTCCATCCTCGACCCGGACGACGACGGGTACGCGACCTACGAGCCGTTCTTCGCCATCGCGGCGCTCAAGTTCCACGCCCGGACGGACGAAGGCGGCGACGAGCCGTCGGGGGACAGGCACGCGGCGGAGGTGGACGAGGCGTTTGCGCTGTTCACGAACCACCAGGAGGGCCCGATCACGCTGGCGCACCTGCGGCGCGTGGCGGCGGTGCTCAAGGAGGACGTCGACGAGGAGCTGCTCAAGGACATGATCCTCGAGGCCAACGGCGGGGCGGGCGTGGCGCGCGGGGTGCGCGCGGACGAGTTTGACGCGGTGATGCGGAGGGCGGGCGTGTGGCGGTGACAACGGGGAGGGGGGCATAACTACAACGTGTATGGTCTTTTCTTTGGGGGGTGGGGCCTGGGGAGGAGGTTGGCTTCGCATGCCTAGGTCTTGTTTTCTTTTTGGCTAGCACGGCGTTGGGTTGGACTGTATTTGCAAGGGAATGGTTTTGTGTATAATCAAGGTGGTGGTACTGTTGACGCAGTGATACTGAATATGCATCGTGGCGGTATGCTTTCATTCTGATGGTAGACAAGCTAGCTATGTGTATATGCAAAAAGAATTCCGGAATTTAAAACAAATCATGAACAATAGAGAAACGCCGTGGGAATCGATCCCCCGCAGTATATATACCACGTCTTGTAAGGCCCAAGACAACATGCACAAACCCAAATCCCACGCATCACATTTCGCCCCCCCCTCCCTCGCAAAATCCATTGTATGATCGTTCATTGCGGCGACTGGATAGACACTGTCGGCGCGTCAGCGCTCGGCGCGACGTCCGGCGAAGGAGTGGGGTTGCTGGCGGCCATCGACTTGCGGCGATGGGCGTCGACGACGCCCTGCAGTTCCGGGGGGCACTTGAAGCCCTCGTGGTCGGCGTGCTTCTTGTAAAAGTAGTTATCGGAGCGCGCCTGCAGCTCTTCGGGAAGCTCGTTGAAGACGCAATTAAAGATGCCGTCGATGGACCGCTGGTTACTTCCGTCGCGGTTCCAAACCGTGATGAGGTGCCACTTGAAGCGGACCGAGAGACCGACGCCGCAAATTTGGTCGTCTTTTTTGTTTTGAAAACGTGTTAGCTAATTCGTCCGACTTTTTTGATCACGGGTGTCATGGGGGCAGAAACAAAGGAAGAGCTTACCATCAGCCAAGACTTCTTGCAGCTTCTCACCGATGGCTAGCAGCTGCACCGATCTCCAGACATCGGGCCCTTGGGCGCGAGGTACGCGGAAGGTGTAGCTGCCGCCGGTGATGTTGCGGCGATCCTCCCAGACGGGGCGGAAGCCGGACTTGAAGAGGTATATCGACTCGCGCATCTTGATCTGGGCGACGGGGGTGTTGTTGCTGTAGCGCCAAAAATCCTGGACCGACTCGATCTGGATGTCGAGCTTCTCGATCTGGGCAGTGTACTCGCCATTGGCAGGCTTGCTATCGCTAGATTGGCTCCTTGATTGTTTGACTCTGTTAGTTTCTTGACCACTTTCCGTGTCTCTCGTTTGAACACATTACGGCCGGGGGTGGGCTAGAGAAAAGGGATCGTACCGGTCAAAGTAGACGTTCCAGTAGTGCTGCGTGGGTAGCGGCCGCATGGCCTTCATAAAGTTGCGCTTGGCGTCATCGCGCTGCTCGGCGGGCGAGTTGGTCTCTGGATTCGGAGACACGCCCGAGAGGTTGCGGGTAAAGAGTTGTGGACGGGCGGCCATGTTTGGCGAGGTTGGCTTTTCTTCGAATGCAAACACCGTGAAATGAAGATGTAAAAGAAAGACCCAAGGAGTAAACGAAAGAAGAAGATGAAGAAGAAGAAGAAAAGGCAAGGACACGACAGGCAACGAGATCGGCCAAGACGAATATCGGTGGTGGTATGACGGACAGAGGAGGGGCGAATGGGCTGGCGGCTAACAGTGTCCTTGTGTGGAACAGAGGAGAAGTGGAGGAAGTGGGGGCGGGCCTTTTGGAAGGGAATGATGGGACGAGGGGCACAGATCTGTTCCTGCCACCCTTCATCCTCTGCCGTACATTTATTTCATTGGGCATGTATGAAAGCAGCCGCCGTTCCTATCAAAGAAAGCTACCAAGCAAAGGAGAAGAACGGAAGATAAGTCCTCTACCGCACACACGGGATCTGAAGCCTTGGCGCCGCACCAAACGCCCTGGCCCAGCAAAAAAAAAAAGAGATGAAGCAACTATCTTGAAACAAGCCATCCACCGTCCCTGCGAAAGAGAGAACCCAATAGCCTGTCTGGCCACAGTCGTTATTTGCAAACGACGACCAACTTGTCGCACGATGATCCCGCACGGCGGGTCCCCATTCCGCTCCGAAACAATCATGCCGACAATTGATAAGTCCGTTTGACGGCAAGGGGTACTACCTTACTCTTGACGCCATATTATTGCGTATTTGCATGGCTTTGCCCATCTCCCAAAACAACCAGGTTTCGTGTTCCAGAATCAGCTTCCTTGCGGTCCTTGTTGGATTCGCTCGCCAGCGCAGACACGGCCCGACAATCACACGCCACCGGCCGGCGAGAACGTGGCCCGAGGCGTGATGCCCCGGCAACTGCTACTTTTTTGTGTGCAGACACGGAGATTGCCCATATACGGCAGATCTCAACTGTTGGATGTGCCTGAAATTAACTCCGAGTAAAGTCAGTGCCCTGAAAGCATTTATCGCCATGCCTCAAGTTTGTCTCAGGTTGTCTATTGAACAATCACGCTCAACTTGCCTCGGCACGCCTCTGACCGCTCGCAGCGGATAAGCACCGCGACGGCCAGCACCTATCGATACTTTTCAATCGATCCACGACCAGATACCGCGCTAATTGTAAGCAGCAACCCTTGCAACCTATTTTTAGTCCCGTAGCTCGAACTGTTTGGTCGCCGGTCTGCGACGTACGGCACGGTGTCCCGTCGAGATCGAACGAGATGGCGCCAGAAGCCGGCCCAGAATCTCCAAGAGCTCCTGGACGGGGAGTCTCGCACTTGGGTCCTGGATCATCGAATCCCCGCCTCGATTGTTATCCTACAGAACGAGATCGCGACCCGACGCTGTCCCCGGACCACGCCGCCGACCGCCGGCCACCCAAGGACCAAAGCTCGTGGACGGCCGCTTAGTCTGTGGTTTGCACCACGGCGACAAGGTTGTGAGAAGCTAGATAAGCGATCTTGGCTGATGTATAGACAAGAAGACAACTTTCGAAAAGAATTATGACACGCAAATTAGACGCAACATTCTTTCGACTTGCGTGATAGCCGGGCTAGCGACGTAGCCCCTAACATTAGGAAGCCTAAAAGTCCCATCCTTCTGAACCTTGATATTCCCGCTCTTTTCGAGAAGAACGAGGGAAGTCCCATGAATGAGCGCATCGATGTGAGGGGTGATATGAAAGAAGTAATCTAATGAAGCAACGGCACTTGCCTGGCGTCGCGTGGTGCACTAGCAACGGCTTTGCCGGACGTTTTGACCAACAGGCAACGGTCTATGACGCCGTGGTTTGTGGTGGGAAATTGGAACCAACCGCCCATCCGCATCCAGAGCCAATTCACCAGCTTTTAGGTCATATATATGTATATATATATATATATATATATATTAAATTCATCCATCGATATCCAAAATGGCAGCTATTGTTAGAAGGACAATTCGGGCATTGAGTTGGGCTTGGCCGTATAAGAGTTACAGAGAGTACGCTGCAGTCTCAAATCATGAGCATGAAAGCACAAACGTAGAGCTTGATGACAAGATTAAGCTTCTTTTAGAGCACGGAGATGCCGCGAGTATTTTTCTCTGTCCAAGTATCGTCACCAGAGCAAGGCACTTCCGCGATGGTGGTCGCTCAGCTTTGAGAATGCGCAATAGTACAAAGATGGCCGAACACCCCCCGAATATCCATTCCCTCTCATGCTTTTTATCTCTCTGAGTCTTTGTCGGGGTCATTCCCGGACAGTTCCTAGCTCATCGTACATAGGATCCCTCAGTCTCACCGTCGAGCTCCTCCTTCTCCCATCGCTCCCTTTCCCTTGACCTCTCCACCAGCATGGAATACGTCACAGTCACCATCAACCCTCGCGCCGCCCCCAAAACGACCGAGCCGAGCGGCCCCTTCACCTCCTCCCACCACGGCAGCAAGAAGCGCCTCCACCAAGCACCGCCGGCCCGCGCCACCGCCGCCCCCGCCTCCGAGGACCGTCTCCTCGAGGGCCTCGCCGTGCTGCTCGACTACCTCAACGACGGCGACGGCCCCGACCAGCTCGCCCGCCTCCGCCGCCGCGCCGACCTCTGGTGCCAGGCCTACCACCGCCGCCGCGACTACACCCTCCGCGACCCGCGCCGCGGCCGGCCCATCTCCCGCGTGCCCCGCTGTGTCTTTGCCGCCCACCCGCACCTCTTCAGCCCGACCCGTCGTCCGCCCCCGACGCGGCTCGACCCGTCCTCGCCACCACCCCTTGAACCGGACGGCGGCGACTCGTCGGACCCGGAGGCGGGCGTCTTCGATGATGATGACGATGACCGGCCGGAAGAGTTCCCCGCGTACGCGGAACCGGCGCTGCTGTGCGACGACGACGCGCTGCGACGCCTCGCGGAGCGGTGCGACCGCGACCGCGAGCCGCTTGAGCGCCGCCGCCGCGCGCGCCTCCTCGACGCCGCCGGTGGTCACCACCACGCCGCGCTTTTTGACGTTCGCGTCCACGCGCGCGACCTGCTCGACTCGCCCATCCTGTGGTACATCCCGGAGTTGGTCGCCTGCCTCGCGCACTTGCCGCCGGCACCGGCGTACGTCTCGTGGCTGCGCGAGCAGCAGCGACCCGTCCTCGCCGACGAGGAGGAGGCGGCCTGGGAGGAGGCCGAGGGCGTTGTTACGGACGCCACAATGAGCGTCCCGATTGGATTGAAGCGCAAGGTGTCTGGTAAGGGGCGGCACGAGAGCCACGAGTGGCGGCCAAAAGCCGAGGGTGGTCACCGAAAGGGAAGAGGGTGGAATATTCTGGCCATGATGGGTTAGTGGTCGTGAGCAGATAGCTTCTTCATTGTATCTAATACCTGGACTGGTCAATCTATTTTTGCCAAATATGCTGTGTCAACTAATCAAAAAAATGTAAAGTGAATATGATATATAAGAATGCCCAAAACACCACGCTACATGTAAACCGAAAGCCCACTGTCGCAATTGCAGTCCTTGCTCATACATTCTCCCTTGCACCAAGTGGCATGCGCACCGTGGTCTCGTCTTTGAAGCGCAATAAATCGCCACCAATGAGCTTGCGGAGATTGCCCATGTCTTGCAGGTAGCGGTGCATTTCCTCCTGTAGATCGTCGCCGCCATTGACTGTGCTGTCAGAGTCATACTCATACTCATCTTCATCCTCTTCCAATTCGTCCTCGTGAATGCTGGGGGCTGCATTCTCCTTGTCATCTTTAACCGGCTCGACTTCCACAATGGGGATGGGGTTCTTTAAAGCCTCGATAGCTAGCTTGAGATGTAGCTTCAGAGCTTCATTTTCCGTCTGCAGCTTCTTGATCTTGCTCTCAGCCACCATGCCTCGCTCTTCCATGAGACGCTGCATTGTCGTGACGCGTTGCTGGTAGTCGTCAAGGCGCTCCTCAGCATCCTTGGCGCTCCTTTCGCGTTGACGCGACGAATCGGATACAGACATTTGCAGCGCACGAATCTCTTCGGCCATGGCGGAGATTTGAGCGTCGCGTTCGGCAGTAGACATTTGGTCTTGGTTGACAACTGCACGAGTGCGAATACGCTTCGCCTGGTCTGCGTAGCGCAGTGTGGATAGTGTTTCGTCGTAGTCTGACGGCGCAATGCATGCAATCATGGCAGTTTTGCTGTTGCCACCGAGAGAATCCTTGAGTAGCCAAGTGAGAATAGAGTCGCGGTAAGGAACCACGTCCTTGCGCTTGGTGCCGGGCCGGAGCGTCTTTGGATCTGCGAGGGCAGCGATGACGCGACCGAGAGTTGTGAGAGACTTGTTGATATTGGAGCCTTCACGCAGACGGGCACCAGTAGCCTCGGTGGATTTGGCGCGCTCACTGCCCGCCAGATCAACAAGTCGGATACGTGAGCTGCGCTCTGTCGTCTCGTCCGTCTCCATATCATGATGAATCTGGCGCAACATAATGGTAAAGACCGCGTGACTTCTGCTACTGGTATCGTTCATCTTGGTACTCGCCACAGTTCGGGAGGCGTCGCCGTTCTTCATGTGACGCAGAATCTCCTTGATGCTGCGGACGGGCACTTCGGTGAGATCCTTGACATAAGGACCCTCGGTTGGTGATTCTCGAATCTTGAGATAGTTGGGTGGAAGGCTTGTGTTGACGGGGACAAGCAAGTCACGGACATGCTCGTTGTAGACTTCGAAGTAAGAGACGCGGACGTTGTAGGCAACGTTTGTGTTTTCGTTTTCTGCGGCCTGGATTCGCTCGAACAAGTCCTCGCAGGTGCGAGGAATGAGGCCTGGCTGGTCAGGGGTACCCATCATAGTATAACTCTTGCCAGAGCCGGTCTGTCCGTAGGCAAAGATGCATGTGTGGTAGCCTTCAAAGTTGTGGTCAAGAAACTCTTCGCCGAGAGCGTTGTAGACGTCTTCCTGGTGGGCGTAGTGGTCGTCTTTTGTATCGTGACTCCAAAAGGACGAGTCAAAGGTGAAATTCTTGTCCTCCATGACTTTGCGAGACTTGGATTTGGGGCCGGGCTGGTCGTCTTCGTCTGGAGCAAGCAGCGTCGTTTGCTGGGTTATGGGGTCCATTTTGACGAGACATCGCGCGCTGCGCTCGAGTTCTGTAGATGGTCAGATGGGAAGGCCGGACGTGATGGAACTAGAGACACGTACCTCTCTTCAAAAAGGCCCTCACGCGCACGACGACTCTGACATTGCCGCCTCCGTCCATCCTGGCAAGCATGGGCAGCGTACCATCGCGGGATCGCAGGGAAGGTGTAGAAGCAGTCGAGCGGACAGCGCGAGGTTCGGGTGTGTTTGGAGCAGAGTACGGCATAAGACGGGCATCCACAGCCATGGTCATTAAAATGTCAATGATTCGGTCGATGCTATCGCGGCGTCGTTGACAAAGAATGTGCCACATTCGTGAGTTTGGGGGTCTGGTGGGAGCGCTTTTGTTTACTAGCGTGTGTGATGCTGTTGCCGGGGTAAACAGATGCGAAGAACCTTGTAGCTGCAGGGGTCTTAGCTTGTTGGAAGGTACCTACAGGGATGATTAAGTAAGCTGGCGGCATGGGCTTGCAGATTTGAAGCAGCAGAACTGCGGCAGCATTACTTGAGTACAGCTTGAAAGATAAAAAAAAAAAAAAAACCTCCAAGGGTACTGACTGGACCCAAAAGTAATTATCAACGTTTTCTTTGTCAGGATATTAAGTTGCTACCTAGCTGTGCAGCACGTATCCGTTGTGCCCAGCTCAACCTCTGGCTAACCTATCTACCACTCCATCTGATTCTGTAGCAGCCGGTTACAGCGACTGAGTCACGCTAAACCATATCGGGACCCCTGGCTGGGACCTTCCCCGTCGTCTCCTCTCTTCCCGCAGCCATTCACCATCAACCGCGCCACCCAGCTGCCACCTCTTATTGGCCCGCGCCTTCTAACTTTCTCCACCCCATATCGCTTATGTACCCTTGTACCTTTTTCTTACTTCTCCAACCACCCGCCACCAGCTTTCTCTAAATTGCCTGTCGCGTCGCGCGCGCTTCTCATAAACATCCTTTTTCCATCCCCAAAATTCGTTTGCGCGCCCATCTCTCCTCGTCATTTTTCCGCACCTGCGGATCAGGTTCTCTCCATCGCCGCTTTTCGCCGCGGCTCAATTGTCCAAATTTTGGACCCTGCGACCGCGTAATTGCTCGCGCGCCGCGCCGTTGAACCCCCGGTTTTGCGCGCAAAGCCACCACCACCAACAAACCACAGGCCATCATCGCCCGTCGTTCCCTTGCGCCACCACCCATTCATTCTCGCCCCCCTCTCCCCCCTCCCCCTCTTCACACATTACCAAAACGCTACACAATGGCCAAGACTCCTGAGGAAGCCAAAACTGCTGCGCCGTCCGGCGACGCTCCCGTGAAGCGCGGACGCGGTCGTCCCCCCAAGGACGGCGTCGCCAAGAAGAAGGCCTACGTGCCGTCGGGTAAGCCGAGAGGCCGGCCGCCGACGGGCAAGGCCAAGAAGCCGGCGTATGTGCCGACCGGAAAGCCGCGTGGCCGCCCTAAGGGCAGCGGCAAGGCCGCCACGGCCACGGACACCACCACCAGCACTACCCCCAAGAAGACCGCCGCCACCACCCGCCGCGGAGGGCCCACGGCTTCGGCCGTCGCGACGCCCACTTCCGAAGGCAGTTTGGGGCGCGGCCGCCGCTCCCGCGCCTCCGAGGCGGCTGCGGAGCTGGAGACGCCTAGCGCGGCCAAGCGCGGAGGAAGGGGACGCGGCCGCAAGAGCAATGCGGACGCGGCGGCCGAGGAGCAGCTGGCTCAGGAGGACCAGGAGGCCAAGGAGGACCAGGAGGCCAAACCCGATGACGCCGAGGAGGAGGAGGATGCCGACGCCGACGCCGACATGGACGCGGATGCCGAGGAGGGCGACGTCGATGCGGAGTAGGTCGCCGTGAACATTCTGATGCGGATGTCACGCAAAACCTGAAAGCAATGTGGTCCGAGAAACTCGCAGGTTGCGTGCCTCGAACTAACTGCTGTCTCAAACTAACTGCTGTCTCATGCCAGAAATGTTTTTATGCTATCGTGGGGAGGACCGGCTTTTGTATTATTGCAGTATTTCGTAACAAACAACCACAATTTTTCTTTATTTCTTTTGGAAAGTCCCCCCCCCCCCCACAAGAAACTCGAGGACTGGTTTCAGGGTGGGAGTCGAACAGGGATTGGGCAAGTACATGGGATGATTCATGAGCACGATTCAGTTCTTGTAAGATGGGAGATGCGATGTTTCTGAGCTCGAATAAAGCAGTTCTATATATGCCATGCCCGTCCCGTTGTGAATTACGCCGCAACGACTCGTCCCGTCCATTTGTCTTGTGCACGTTTCATCACAGGCCCTCCATCTAATACCATTACCATGTCACAACATTGTCGCGTCACCACTCACTCCCTCCTCCACGCCTCAAACTCCTCCTCCAGATGCTCCTTCAGCCTTGCAAACCGATCCCCAAAGTCCCTCCCGCAGCGCCAGCACCGCAGCGGCCTCCTCATGTACCCCCGCCCCCGCGGGTCCCTCCGCTCATCCCCCCCGGCCAGGGGAAAGTCCGCCAGCGGCACCAGGAACGGCGTGTTGAACGAGTTGTAGTGCTTGCGGTGCCGCAGCGCCTCGGACCGCATGTCCCGCGACACGACGTGCACGTGCAGGTGGCGCATGCTCGGCACCGCGTGCACCCCGACCATGACCTCTGCCTCCCAGTCCCTCCCCCGCGGAAGCTCCCCATCGGCACCGTCGAGGACGGCTTGGCGGGCGGCTTCGGCGGCGCTGTGAGGGCCGAGGAGGCGCTGGAGCTCGGCGGCGGCGAGGCTGCGCGCGCGGGCGGCGGCGGCGCGGACGAGGGTGAGGAAGGAAGGGTCGGCGAGGGCGTCGAACGGGTGGAGGAGGGAGATGGCGGGGGAGCGTGGGAGGATGAGAAGGTGCACGGTGGCTTTGGGGTACTTGTCGCGGATGACGACGAAGTCGGCGTCGTGGGAGACGACGACGGAGCAAGGCAGCGAGGACGGGTCGGCGAGGTAGGCGCCGAGGCCCATCCGGTCCTTGAACGGGTTGCCGCCGGTGGAGCGTGCGGGTGTTTCTGGTTTCTTCCTGGGCGCCATGAGCGCGGTGACTGCGTAAAGGAAGTTGGAATTGTGAGTCATGGCTGAACGGGGAGGGAGAGTGAGGTGAATGATGGGCAAACACGAACATGCGTTTTTGCGCTTCTCACCGGTAGAAGGTGTTTCGGATGAGCCTTGGATCTCCTCTTTGGTGAGAGCCTCGTCGGAGCCCGGCTCTGAGCCGGCCATGGTGCTGGGTTTGACTGTGAGGCTGGTGATGATGTCTGTTGAGAGAGAAGCTGAAGTTCACGAAGTCGCCACTTTCCTAGGTGCTGCCCGATTCGGCAACCAGCTAGGCTCCAGCCCAACAGTGACAAACAATGTCCCTCTCGACATGAATTTCTCAACAACTGAGTAATTCTATTTCATTCTTCGTCTTCATCGTCTATTGGACTTGTGCATTGTATCCAAGAATAATATTTATAAGAAATCTAGTCTATGTCGTACCATGCCGCGTTTACGCATCCAACCCATTCAGCTCAATCAGCTTCGTCACCAACTTGATGACCTCGTTGCCGCGCAGGTCTAGACCCGGCTTTTCCACCTTTTCCGCGATCAAGTCGTCCACCATGCCTCGTAGCCGCGCCACCAGCACGCCAATACGCGCCCACCCGCGCAGCCGCAGCCACCCGTCCACCAGCAGCCCGCGGCCCAGCGTGTCCAGCTCGATCGGGCCGGAGAACATGAGCAGGGTGTATACGTTGAATGCTGTTGATGAGTTAGCTTATTTCCCTCTGAAGAAACGCTACAATACTGGGGTCGAACTCACGCGAGAGATCTCGGATAAACACCTTGGAGGTCGCAATGATGGAAAAGTACGCCATGTACGCCGCGTGCCCGGAGAAGCCCTGGCTGTCAAAGATTGTGCTGCTCGGGTGCACAAACACCCGCCCGTTCTCCTGATTGAAGTATTTGATCGACCGCGCCTCCGGGTCCAGCTCCACCGCGCCCGACATGGAGCTCGCAAACTTCTTGTCCGGGTACTGGATCCTCGCAATCTGTGGCGTGAACGCCGATGCGATCAGCGCCCGGAGCAGCTGCGAGTTCCTCTTGCCACCAGCCCCTGCATCCCCCGCGGCGGCCGCCTCGATGCTGTCGTCTTCCGCCGCCGCCGCTTCCCTGGGCGACACCAGGCCCATCTCCGCCAGCGCCGTGTAGTACTGCGCCTTGGTGTTGGAAATGTCCGACAGCGTCAGGTGCGACAGGAAGTTGTCCTCGCAGAACGCGCGCACTTGCCTCATCGGCACGCGGTCTCGCATCATGGCGCGCCACTCCGCGTACGCGGCCAGGTCCGTCAGCAGGTCGCCGTCGCCCGCGAAGAACCGCATGCGCGCCTCCTTGGCCGCCTCGCGCTTCTCCTGCGGCGACGTGAACGGGCTCCTGGTGCTGAGGATGGCCGCGACCGTCACGCAGTCGTCCAGGCAGCCGAAGATGGCGCCAAACACCATCAGCTTGCCGCAGCGCAGGTCCGCCGGCAGCATGGCCAGCTGCTGGCCCATGGCCGTCAGCTCGTCGCCGTCGAGCGCGCCCATCCGCCGCAGCAGCTTCATGGCGCCCTCGACGGCCAGCGCCTCGGGCGGCGTCGGCGAGCGGCCCAGGAAGCGCGCCACGTCCCGCATCCCCATGGCCCGTACGGACAGGCACAGCTGCTCCAGCGGCACGCGCCGGATCTCGGGCTCCGGCCGCTCGGCCATCTGGTTCTCCAGGTTCTGCGTGTACAGCTTGTAGCACTTGCCCTCCTGCACACGACCGGCGCGGCCGCGACGCTGCTTGCACGCGGCGCGTGACGCCCACGTCTCTTCCAGCTTGCGCATGTTGTTCCCAGGGTCGAAGCTGGTTTCCTTGACCTTGCCGCTGTCAATGACGGCGACAATGTCGTCAATGGTGATGGACGTTTCGGCCACGTTGGTGGCCACGACGACTTTGCGCTTGCCGTGGGGTGCACTGGCAAAAACGCGCTTCTGCTCTCTTGTTTCAAGAGACGCGTGCAAGGGAAGCACATGCAGCGAGGTAATTGCTTGTAGTGCCCTGCAAGCCTGTGTAATCTCGCCAACACCAGGAAGGAAGATGAGGATTCCGCCAGGCTTCTTATCGTAGGCGAGCTCGTAATCGATGGCTTTGACCGCTTCCACAACGAGGTTGTAGTTGATGCGGTGACCAAGCTTCTGGATAATCTTACCCATTAGCTCATCACCAATGAATCCACCGTCCGGAGTCTCTGCATTGTAACCCGTCATCCGGATGACATCATCCAAGAAGTAGTTCTCAACAGGATACGTCCTGCCCTCGATCTCGACCCCGCCAACTTTCAGCCCCTCGGACGCAAAGTAGTTTATAAATGAAGCAGCATCCAGCGTAGCAGACATCAGGATCAGCTTCAAGGCGTCCTTCTTGATGCGCATCACCTCGCGAATCAAGTTGAGCAAAAAGTCGGTATCCAGGCTTCGCTCGTGCACCTCGTCGACGATGACGTGGCTCACGTCGGCCAGCGAGGCCACCACGTCTTCCACGCGCCCGCCAGACGTTTGCAGACGACGGAGCAGGATACCGGTCGTCATGAAGGTGATTCTCGTATCCTTGGACTGTCGCGCCTCGCCGCGGATCGTATAACCGACCTCCTGTCCCACGCGGCCGCACCGTTCTTCGGCAACGCGGTCAGCGAGGCCAAGCGCTGAGATACGGCGCGGCTGGGTGACGAGCATGTTGGCGCAGTCGCCCAGGCCCTGCTCGTACAGGTCGTCGAGGATGAACTGCACCGACTGCGTTGATTTACCCGAACCCGTCTCACCGCTGATGATGGTGACGTGGTTGTCCGTGACCGTCTTGACAATCTTTTCGCGCATCTGCCACGCGGGAAGTCTCTGTCTCTTGCCGAGCATCTCCTTGTACGCCGAGTTCTCTTGACGCCTGATCCAGGCTTCCTTGCTGCGCGCATCGGGGTTCCATCTGATGGGTCTGGCATGTGTCCGCGGCCTCTTCCTCGACTTGACTGCATCGCTGGGCTTCTGCTCAGAGGCCGCCGAAGACACTGCTGAGATGTCGACCAGCTTCCCAGGGTGCTCTATTATGTCGTTGATGTTTTGCTGAATCCAGTCCAGTACCAAGTAAACCTTCATCGGTTCTTCTCGCAGCGACGAATCCATGTATTCCAAAGCTTTGCGAATGATGCTCAGTTTGATGTAGGAGGGCAGGTTGGCAAGGATGCCGAGGATCAGCGTGTTTGGATAGTTTGAGCTTCGCCGAATTTGCAGAGAAGCTTCCACCTTGTGTGGCGGGTTCTTCACCGACTCGAGCTGAATCCTGACAGTGTCCGCGTCCTCTCTTGAGAACAAGTTTCCGTACATTGCCTCCAAGCTGTCCATTTCCTCACGCCACTGCTCCTCTGGTGACCCCATATCCAGGAAATCAAGCGACTCTTCTTCTGCTTCTTCTTCACCCTCAGCTCCTCTCTGCGACCGCGAAAAGAGAATATTCTGAAGCGCCTCCGCCGTCTTGCCCTCGTCGCCGCCGACCTGATCATACACCCTCGCGCACAGCTCGAGCGAGTATCCGTTCTGCGAGAGACGCTGGATCGTGCCGTCTCGTTTGAGGTCGTTGGTCCCAATCGTCACGCCGGCGGCGTACTTCTCAGGCAGCGCCCACCGCGGCAGGTCGTCCTCGGGGACGTGGATGAGCAGCCACTCGAGCGTCTCCTCCCGGTCCTTGCAGTACTCGACGGCCTCGGCGACGTGGCTCCTGCGAAAGCCAATCTTGCACAGCTCCGTCGTGACGGCGTCCCTTTGAGCCTTGGACATTTGCACCGCGTGCGGATTCCACGAGACGCCACGGCGCAGGAGGCTCTCCAGCTGTGATCGCGTCTGCCGGCCCATCTCCACGCCCGGCGCACTCGTCCACCCCTTCATGATATTGAATCCCTTATCGCCACCACCGCCGCCGCCGCTGCCATTGCTACCGCTTCCCCCCCCACCTCCCGCATTGCTCAGAAGTACAAGACCGGCAGCACCGGGCATCTCCTTGGCCTTGGCCTTGAGCGCCTCGGCCTCCTTGCGCTTCTTCTCTGCCGCCGCCTTGGCCTCCTGCCTGTCGTTGAACGTCTTGAACGGGTCCGAGTCGTAGATCCACCCCTTGCCGTCCTTGACGTCCTGCGCCTTGAGCGCCTGAAAGTCCTTCCAGAGCGCCTTGTGGTCCGGCGGCAGCACCGTGTGCTTGTTCTGCATGCTGCAGACGCGGAAGAGCGCGTACGTCGCCGCCGCGTGCTTGGCCTCGATGGACGTGTCCCGCAAGATGAGATGCTTGTGTGTCGGCGGGATCTTGAAGGGCTCCAGCCGCGTCGTCACCTGCGTCTTGGGGTCCTTGGCGCTCAGCGTCACGAACACGGAGAAGCCGTCGGGCGTCTTGCGCGTGTCGTAGTCCGGCCGATCCCACTTTTGCTTCTGGCAGTACTCGCTCAGCAGGTTCACCGGCAGCTTGCCCGTCCACGAGGAGCCGCCGATGAGCTGCTTGACCGTCGGCTTGGGGGGGCCGACGGGCCCAAGCTCGGCAGGGATCGCAGCCTCCTGTTTGCCGCCCTTCTTGCCCTTGCCTCCGTCTTTCGCGGTGGAGGCTGGGGTGGCGGCAGCTTTGACAGGCTCAGTAGCTTTTGCTTTGCCTTTTTTCACCATGGTGAGTGGCTCTGAATGTCGCACCGTTGGGAGCGCTGTGTCGTCTGTGGACAAATTTTTCTGAACGGCCCTAGGCTGCCATTAGTTCGAAACAACGCAGGGTCCGCAGCCTATTAGGCGAAACTATGAGGCGTCAAGTTGACAGATGCTGAGAGTCCTCGCACCAAGCTCGCCGTGATGTTTGGAAGAAAGCTTGTGGCGATGAATTGACCGCCCAAGACGCTGTCTACGGCGACATCTACAATCGTGCCCCACAAATACACCAGCAATAGACTTATCGTCAGTCGACTACTGAGAAGGCTTAGATAAATGGTATGCAGTTATTTTATACCTGCTCCAATCCAGCACTTCGTATTTTCTTTTCTCTTCTTTGTCTACTATGCTGACTGCGCACTCTAGATAGGTGGTAATCCCGGAAATGCCTCACGTACTACACACTCTCTACACAACACAGATCAACATCGATGATTGGCCACATCAACACAATGGTTGGGGGGAATTGATTGTTTATTTCGCTACAACTAGAAACGATCACGTCTGGAGCCAAGTCGTCCACTTGGCAACACAGTCTCCCGACTGATCCCTTTCTTTTCGGTGCAGACTGCACTAGCATTGACTGCCCGTCGTTGTATTGCTCCACCGTTAGATGAAGCTCGCTGTCCACAGAAACTGTCAGTCCAGTGCATCTCGCTGATGCTGTGCATGGTACTGTACAGAGACGCTGAGCGGCCAATATGGAGCCTCTTCATTTTCCATTTTCCATGACTTGCGCCGAAGCCAGGGCTTGATATCTCTCATCAAATCATCTCGCGGCTGGAGCTTTCAAGCTACCATGGGGCCTTTTATTCTGTTCTTCCTTCCGTGCAAATGCATTAAACTGATTATAAAAAAATGACTGGTGGTGCTATGTTGATATTGGGGAATGGTGGGGTAAACGTGTAATGAGGGGTATGCGGTGTTATGTCCAGGGAATTTCTGTTGCTCGTAAGCGGGAGCAGGCACGCGCTCATGGCCGTGCGGGTTGTTGGTTGTTGTTATCGTCGTGACTTGTTGTAGTGGTGTCAGGGAGACTGGAGTGACATGTTGGTATATCATCCAGCCATTTCAATCGCATTTCGCAGCACGGCATAATTCGTCGGCTCTTGCGTAGACACTTTACATGTCCATTGAGTCGCCACCGTTGGCAAAGTTGAAGCCACCGGCCTGGCCAGAGCCATTGGTGCCAAAGCCGAACTGGCCATTAGGACCGGCTGGTTGGGCCATACCCTCATCAGCGTTCTCCTCGTCATCGGAAAAGTACTTTTCGATGATGTTGTAGGCTTTCATGTAAATCTCCTCGTTGGCGTTGTTCTGGCAGTCGTGGACCTTCTCCATGCCACCACACTCTTCAATGAAGAGCGCGTACTTGTTGAGGTTCTCAGCACCCTCACCAGCAGCCTGCTTATCAAGATCGCCAATCTTGAGGATGTTCTCAAGACCGTCGAGGGCAACCTGGATGATTTTGTTGTCAGGGCAGATGAGCAGGTCGCACAGAGGCTTGATGCAGCCCTGGCCAACGAGGTAGCGAATCTGCTCAGGCTTCTGCAAGCCACCGGAGGTAGCGTTGCTAATGGCCCAGCACGCCTCCTTACGAGTCTTCAGATCACCATTTTGCAAAAGGTGGATCAGGGGAGGGATGATGTTGGCGTCAATAACAGCCTGGATTTGAGCAGAGTTGCCGGCAGTGATGTTGGAAATGGTCCAGCAGGCCTCCTTGCGGATGCCGTCCTTGGTAGAGCTCAGGAGAGACAGGAGGCAAGGAAGAGCACCACAGTTGATGATGACTTGGGTTTGCAAGTCGTCACCGGTTACAATGTTGCCGACGGAGCGCAGGGCAGGGGTCTGGACAGAGGTGGAAGCGTGAAGGAGGAGCTCAACGAGCCTGCGAGGGATGCCAGCTTCAATAACCGCTTGGATTTTCTCGTTGGGGCCGTCAGAAAGGTACGAAATGGCCCAGCAGGCATCGATGAGGACCTCGTCGTCGAGGCTATAGACGAGCTTGGAGAGGACAGGCAGAGCCGGGGCAATCTAGGGGTTGGTCAGCGCATGGCCACATCCAACGAGGCGTCACATTATAGTCTGAACTCACAGTGTTCCAGTCCGGCTGAGGTGTCTTGCCACGACAGAAGTTGCTAAGCGTCCAAGTGGCGTTGCGAAGCATACTCAGCTTACGGCTGTCGCCAAGGAGGTTGAGGAGAGGCTTGAGGGCACCGCAGCTCAGGACGTAGTCACGGCAGTGGGGGCTGTCTCCGGCAATATTTCCGAGAGCCCAGACGGCTTGCTCGCGCACATCTGGTTCTGGGCTAGCCAGGAGCTCGACGAAGATGGGTACCGCGCCGGCTTCGATGACAACCTGAGTCTGGGTGGCAGAGCCAGAGGCAATGTTGGTCAGGGCCCAGGCAGCCTCGAACTGAACGAGAGTGTGGGGAGATCGGAGGAACTCGACGAAGCGACCAACGACACCCGTCTTGATGACCTCTTCGATGGGAGGGTTGCGCTCCTTGGAGAGCAGTTTGCGGAACTTGGTCGTGGCCTGGATCTGCTGCTCCATCTGGTCGGAGAAGACGCCGGCGACCATCTGGGGGAGGTCCTCGTTGAGCTGCAAGAGAAAAAGAAATCAGCCACATGATGAATGATGGAAAGGCACATGAGATGAGTAAGTGATGCGCCGTAGAAGGGCTCCTGAAGCAGCTGCAAAACTCTTTTGCTGGTGCTGGCGAGGCTTTGTGGGGGGTTACCACAGTGCAATATCCCCCACATCCACAACCGAACCACACCGAACAAAACAACGAGTTGCGGCGAGCTGTCAACGGGGAGCAGCCAACACAGCGCAAAGAAGCAAAGTGAAATGCCATAGATGTATACTGAAATCGTACATACCTGAGACTCTGTGGGAGCGGACTCATCGTCACTGTCGGGGGCAGCACCGAGCGAGGCACCAGGACGGCTGTCGCCAGTGGCAATGCCACGGCGCTTGGCGAGGTTGTCCTCGCGCTTGGCCTTTCGAATCTCAATCTGTTGCTCCTCACGACGGCGGCGAAGCTCCTCGGGCTTGAAAGCACCCTTGGCCTTGAACTGCGTCCGACGATGCTCGGGGATGTAGCGATCAGTCATGATGGGCGGCGTTGGTGTGTGGTTTTTTTCGGCGGAGAGGAGGGGTTGAGGGGAGGCGGCGAGTTGAGAAGGGGCCGTGAGAGGATGCGGGAGAAAATATCAGCAGAACAGAATATGGCTGTCTGGACAAGCGGAGAAGGATCTGCGGAAAATGAAGCAGTCCGTGCAGGAAGAAGATCCTTAAAAGGGTGTGTAAGATGCAAAAGGCGGAAGAAACGTCGAAGTGATGGCGGGCAGAGTTTGGCACCCAAAGTGCGGTAGAAAGTGGCAGGGCTTCAAGGAGGTCCAAATGAGGGTCTCTGTTTGGTTGCCACAGGGAGAAAGCTGCGCAGAGGGGCCACTTAGATGATGGCGCTAACTGTTTTTGGGGGGACGCCACCCACTGAAGCTCACTGGAGTTTACTGGGTTCATCACTAACGTTATCTGGGCTTACTGTTTGTGTCGCTGTAATACAGCGCATCTACCAGCTTCCAGGGGTCTTGAGACAGCGCCCGTTCTCTTTCCCTGTAGCCTGAGGCATCACAGTTGGGGTTCAGTATCAAGTAGTGAGTACTTGCTCATACAGCTAGAATATGTTGAGAAAAAGGTACTTTGTCCAGATAGATACACTCTTCTACCCCGCCCTACCTATCAAACTTTGATCCCGTCCACATTACCTGTGCTCTCTCACGTGCTTCCGTGAATTGTCGCTGACATTATCACCACAGCTAAACGCGTAAAGCCGCAGCTCGAACGCGACGAGCCGCGAGGACCAGGACAGCCATTCCATCCGTGCTACTACGTACATGTGCATGTTTCTGACTCGAGACATACTCACCACAGCTTCTCTTTCTTCTACACTTGTTCAAATACAATGTGTTAAACAACAAAATGCCCCCCCAAGTGGCTTCTTTTACTACCATTGATCAGGTCCTTGATGGGAAGGTCGCTGCAGGAGCGCGCATCAACGTAATCGGATTAGTCATTGATTTCAGAGCTCCGGTTCCAACAAGAGGCACGGGTATGTCGTTCAGTCAACACCACTCGATACATGGCAATTCTTAACCGTGGTCGAATACAGACTTCAAGGCCCAGATACGCTTCTACGATGAATCTACCCAAGATGATGACGACGCCAAGTCGTTGACCATAAGCATCTTTCGTGAACCAAATGCCATACCACAGCCTGACTGTGGCGATGTAGTCGTCATTTTCGGCGCAAAGGTGGTTTGAACCAAACGCTCTCATCGCTGCCAGCGATGCTAACCCTGCTGATAGGTCCAATTCTTCAATTCCGAGCCCTGTCTACTGACGCACCGGACGACAGATATTTATGTGTTTTCTGCTTCAAACTTCCCAAAGCCTCCGCAAGATGCAAAAATCGCTTTGCAATCGCCCCTCAAGTCAGCCAGCAGAGCTCTTACAGATGCCGACTTTGCCCATGTATCCGCCTTCTACCATCGCCTTGGCAAGGATAGGTTGCCAACAGCAGCTGAATACCACTCCATGGTGCAAAGTTCTACGCAGGTCAAAGAGAAATTCAGTCTTTTCAAAGACGTTGACTGCGGACGCTTCGTCGACGTCATTGCTGAAGTCGTCAAAGAGCCGTACGACTTGGGCGACAGGTTTACTCTCTGGATATCCGACTACACGGAGCATTCGAATTTTTTTAATTTTACTCACAACCTTGATAATTTGCGCGCTGACCCGTACAATTACACCGTTGGCTCCAAGACCACGGACAACGACTGGAAGGGCCCGTACGGCAAGCGCAGCTTGCAGATTACATGCTGGGAACCACATGCAGAGGCTATCAAGGCAAACAAAATCACCGTCGGCTCTTGGGTCTCTATCCGAAATCTTCAAATCAAATGGGGCCGCAACAGCAACAACTTGGAGGGCTTTCTTCGAGGGGATCAGCGGTTTCCCACCAAAGTCTACATCTCATTGCTCAACATAGACGACCGCGACAGCATGGACGATCGGTTGATAGAAACCCTTCGGCGACGTCGAGACTATGATAGAGAGAAGAAGAAACAGCTCAAGTCGATAACCGACGCTGCAAAGGCAGGTCAGAAACGACGAGAATCTCTCCAAGATGATCCTACCCCTCCCAAATCAAATGCAAAATCCAGACGCGACAGGAAACGACGTGCTGCAAGGAATGTCTCCACAACATCTACAGATAAAACTGAACATGAGAAAGCCCCCACGCCTGAGCCAGAATCCTCTACAATCAGCCTCAACCCTACAAGTCAGTAGCTCGTGTTACACCACCCGCACCTCAACTAACATTATTTTACAGTCAGATGTGAAAACGACAGGCAACCACTAAGCACCGTAGCAGAACTCCTGGAACAGGTCTATTTTGAGACTCTCATCGGCAAGGACGCCGCCAAGTTGCCGCTCCCATTCACAAACGCCAGCTACCGCGCGAGCGTCCGCGTCAAGAACTACCTGCCACACAAGCTGGAAGACTTTGCCTTTGCCAGATTGGAGGGCGACGTGTACGACGTCCTGTCCGATCCGGAATATGACTCCTCCTCGTCCGACGACGACAACGAGGAGGACATGAACAGCTACGTCACCTCGGAAAAGATCATCGGGTGGGAGTGGCGCTTCCACCTCCTCCTGGAGGACGCGCAAGACGCGGACGCGAATGTCTGGGTCACCGTCGACAACCACGCTGCGCAGTGCCTGCTGGCCATGGACGCGTGCGACCTCAGGAACAGCAGGGCGGTGCTGTCGCGGCTGCGCGAGAAGATGTTCCACCTCTGGGGCGACCTGGAGGAGCTCAAGACTTGCAAGCTGCAGGGCAGGGCGGCGGCGGAGAGGCGGGCGCGGGCCAACGGGCCTCCCGCGGACAGCAGCGACGTCGAGGAGGCGGCGGCGGCGGCGTCGTCGGAGGCGGAGATGCCGTCCAACTTGCCGTTTTCATGCTGCATCAAGCAGTACGGCGTCACGGTTCGCGAAGCGGATGAGGACAAAGCGGACGCTGGCAAGGGGAGGCGCTGGCAGCGCATGTACGGACTCTTTGGCACGCAGATAGCCGGGTAACACGACCTGCCAATCCATGGGCTGTCTGACCATCGAATCTCATTTAGCAATTTAATATACCAATCATCACGAATCAGATCTCAGTGTCCAATAATCAATATCACAGTGGCAACATCCACGAATGACCAAGAAGCAGGTACGGTTATATTTCCAGTATTTTAGATACCGTTCTTCCCAGTACCTTCCATCCACCCCCCAACTAAGGACCTACAAAAAAGAGGGGCTGAGAAGGAATATACGATAAAGAGACTGAGAAAAAAACACCAACAACAAAAAGCATAGTCGTGAGAAAAACGATAGCCGTCACCATAATGACAAACGAGAGAAAAAAGACACGCATCCCACAAGAACCCGAGGCCCCCGTTTCGCCTTGTTGCAAATGGCAATAAAGAAGAAAAAAAAAGGACTGACCAGACATTATAAAAAACAGGGAACATAGAGAAGCAAAGAGACCTGTTTGTGCGAAGCAAGGGAGCAAAACAGGAACCAAAAGACTGAAGATTCCTGATACACACGCTGTCATGAAGCTTTCCTCGCGCAGCAGGACAACGATGATTTTTTCCCCCCAAAGCAATGCCCCTGTCCTTGTCCCTTTTCAAGTCCGCTCTTGCTGCCTGCGACATGTAAAACTTGTAATACTCCTCTCCGATTTCGCACTCGTCATAGAAACCACCCTTTCTTCAAAACATTTTCTCTTTTGCTTTGTTCTTTCCCGTAAATCTATATCAACACGAGCGCGCGTCTAGTCTCCCAGAACATCGTCGTCGAATCGACTATTCTCCTGGCCTTGGTTCTCGTCGTCGTCATCATCGTCAAGTGGGTCGTCCCCGAGCAGGCCCTTGCGGCGCAGGTCCTCTCTTGACCCTTCCTCCGGCTCGGGCTCGGCCTCAAACATGTCATCCAGGTCCTGGGCCGTCGTCGGCGTCTCGACGGGCTTGGCAGCGGCGGCGGCGTGCTTGGGCGCGGCCTTCCTGGCCGCGCGGGCCATCTTCTCCTCGTCCAGGAACGCGACGACCTCCTTGAAGTTGTGGCCGAGCTTGGTCTGGTTGCGGAGGATGCGGCGGCGCAGCTTGTCCACGAGCCCGCCGCGGTCGTCGATCAGGCGGCCGCTGATGGCGAGCACGTACTTGGCTGTCAGCTCGCACAGCGACTTCTCCGCGCGCAGCTCGTTGGCATAGCGTTGCTCGGGGGTGAGCTCGGCATCTTCCTCGTCGTCGGCGTCATCCTCCTCTTCGTCAGACATGGGATCCTCGTCCTCGGCAGGCTCGTTGAGGCCCTTTTCCTTTTTGGACCTCTTCGCAAACTGCTTCTCTGCCCCGTCAAAAATGGACGTCATTTCCGGTATCAAACCGGGCTCGATTTCCTGGATGAGGGTTTTGTACTTGTCTGCGTCGGCCCGGTCGGCCGAGTTCCGCAGAGCGGTGATCCTCGGTCGTAGTGTCGCGAAGGACAAGTGTAGGTCGCAGAGGCTGCCCGTAGAGAACAGACGTAGCTGGTCAATGGCGGCGCGGGAGGAGAACGTCTCGATGATGTGACGGCGGTAGGATTGGCGGAGGATAGACAGACGGTCAAGCTCAGAGTCGGGAACACTGGTGCCAGTCGCCAGTCGTTTTGACAGCGCGCGGATCTTCCACATGAAGTAGAACTGACAAGCCTTGATTGCTAGTGTGACAACCTCGTCCTCAAGATCATCAATCTCATCTTCTTGTGGCTCATACTTGCCGCGATGGACCACGTTGATGAGAATTTGGATTGCTGACGATTCTGCATTCTGAGACCTAGGCTCAGCTTCCAGAATATCAACGCAATCGGCAATACTAGCCAGCTTGCTGATCTTCATTAACAGTGTTGATAGTTGGTGAAGCGGCCCTGATGCCAGATTTCCGCGAACGGAGAGCTCGCACGTCCCACTAACATTGCGCAGGGCATCGATAACATTGTCCCATAGCAAAGATAGCTTACTGTCGGTGAGTTCTTCGAGCTCGTCATATTGACGGGCATGGAGGAGCGCAGCAGCAGCTTCCGACAAGACTCTCTTATCGTCGTGTCGGATGAATTGTGTGCTAACTTCGTCCAGCAGCCGTTCATATTTGCCAGACTCTTGGCGAAGCTGCTGGAAGACGTCGAGGTCGAGATTGTGCTCCAAGCGCAAGACGATGGCAGCCGTCTCGGGCTCAGCGCCGAACTTGTTGAGAAGTTTCGGTATGATGCTGGCGAGTTCCATTGCAATGTCGTCCAGTGCATCAGCTGCCGCAAGGTTTCCTCTGCGCCGGCTGCGGTCGCCATCACTTCCAGAGTGTGGGTGTGTGAGGGACGATTTGATGCCCGAGCTGAGGACTTCAAGAAGGATGGATTCTTCTTCCCTCAGCGGCGCAATGGCCTTCTTGAAAGCAGCCTCTGGAGAGGCACTCTTGCCCTTGGCTTTGCTGCGGGACTTTGTGCTTGTTGAATGATCAAAGAGAAGATAGCCAGCCAGGATTTCCCATGACTTGATTTCGGGGATCTTGTCATATAGGGCCTGGGCAGCGAGTGTTATCCTCGTCTCGGGGGCAACAGACTCTAGAAGATCCAAGGAAACCTCAGTGCCAATGAAGGCGTTGTTCTGTTGTGCCTCATCCACTTGAGCGTTGTAGATAGCTAGGGTTTCGGCAAGGCACTTGATATCCAGCCACTCTTTGCGAGGCGATTCGAAATCATCCTCGTCGCCTCCGTCCACCTCATCAAGGGCCTCTTGGCCGCCGAGCTCTTCCACCTTGCCCTCCTTTACATCCTCGATGCATGCACCAAAGAAATTTACGACAGCCTTGCGTATTCTGATTTCATTGTCGAAGACGAGTCTGCCGATGGCGTCGATTTCACTGGGTTCGAGGAGCGCGGCGGCGCGTAGTGTGTCAATAACAGAGATGGCAGTGACCCGGACGGAGATTTCGGAGTCGAGTGTGGCGATTTCGATAAGTCGTGGGCGAAATCGATCGATGAAGTGGATCAGCTGCTGGGCGCTGCGCTTGAAAACCTTGCCGAGCTGACGCAGAACTTCGAGTCGCGTGGGCGCGTTGACGTCTGAGAGCATCCAGCCCAAGTAGCGCAGGTAGCCAGGCTCCATGAAGACGGTGGGCAGGTCCCAGATCCAAGAACCAAGGGCCTCGACGCATTCGGTACGGATCTTGGGGTCGACGTCGCGGTAGCGATGAACAAAGACTGTATCGAAATACGACTGGATGGCCTCGCTACAAAGGCTTCGGTGATTGTTTGCTTCCTCCAGGTTGCGCTGCACCTCCAAGGTCTTGGATTTATTCTTACCGCGCTTAGCGGCTTGAAGCTGCTGCTCGATGTTGGCGATGCGCCGGTCGAGCGTACCGGCCACGTCGACGAGCCCGGTCTGGGCTGCCAACGCAATGGTCGTGGCGGTGTGGCGGAAAGGTCGTAGCGAGGAGGAAGACATGCTGGCCAGCCAAGCATGGAGGTTCTCCATCAATTCGGTATCCTGGTACATGATGTCCGTGTCGTGAAGCAGGGCGACAAGGGCATGGAAGAAGGTGACGAGAAGGTCGCGGAATGATCGAGTACCTTTAGCTCGAGAGATGAGAGGGTATTCAATGATGTTTTGCTGCCGAGGGTTAGCTGACTGGGCGTGGACATGCCTCTTCAACAGCACAAACCTCTTGATAGACACCTTGGAGGTCGACAAGTCTGTTGGGGATGTTTTCGGGGTCGCGAATATCGTCGGGCGTGACTTCCAGGTCGCAGCCGGCGCATTGCAGGATGCAGTTGACAAGGTCACTTAGGGCAGCAGCGTTGTCCACCTTGTACCTTTCGAGCCATTGGTGGGCGACCGTCTGCGAAGGCTCTCCGGAACCAAAAATGTCCACTACAGGGTGTTAGCTGGTGAGAGAAAGGTGAGAATTGGCGAGCCGGCGTACCGAAAAGTCCCGTGCCCTTGGATCCGGCTTCAATACGGACAGTCTTCTTGGGCCTACTAGGGATGCGTGCTGTGTGGCCGCCGGCGCCGTTGGTTTTGGGCTTCTTCAGAGAGGGTTTCTTCTGGCGACTGGCGCCGCCAGCTCGTCGGGCGCGCGGGGCGGGATGGTCCCCGTCGCCAGCGTCGTCGTCATCCTCGGCGCTCTCGTCGTCGTCAGACTCGAGCCCGTCGTCGGCGTCGTCGCCCTCGCCGCCGCGCTTGCGCTTCGTGGAGGCGTGCGCAGACGGCTCCGGCTCCCACTTCTCGGGAACTTTAACGACGCGTCCAGATCGGCGCGGCGCATCGCCGTCCTGGCTGGAGGCCGCGGTGTCGTTGTCCATGGTTCTGTCGTGCGTCTGTCAGCGTCGGCTCGGGGTCATACGCGAAAACGTCGATGCAGCGTGGTAGTTAGGTGTGCGATCGCGAGGCGCGCGACGGATGTTTGCAGCGACCGGCGCGTCGTTTGGCGTCTTGGAGTTCGTTAAGCTGCCAGGGGACCGCCAGCCAGGCTCTGGGGGGGCAGCTAGTTGTGGGGCGACGATCCTCACCTCACTGGCCTGTCGGATAAATGACGGTTATATTTGTACATAGAGATTGGTGTGGAGGCCAGGCTGATGGAGGTACCGACCGCATAACGGTCGCAGTTCGCGTGTCCGACCTCTGATTCGCCCGTAGCTTTGATACAGTGGGGTCACCAAATGGGAAGCACTGCACATTCTCCATACGACATCTTAATTCCATGCATTGTAAAAATGACTCCAATAAATGAATATCATAACCTTATAACACTATTTAACAAAATAAAAACTAAATAATAAAAAAGAAGAAAGCGGGGTGTTGTGTCGTAGATGAATAAAGTGCCCACAGGCCGGCAATTGACTATATACATAGGTAGTAGAGGTTGTTGGGATTTAGCACAGCCAGCAGCTCTCTCCAATTCAGACGCGTAAAGCAGCGCATTCAAACATTTTATTGAAAATAAACATTGATCTGGTGGCTGTTTTCAAAAATATTTCTGGTTACAGCAGATATTACTGCCAAGTGTGGCGCTTCCAGCGGCGGCTTCTCCTCATCGCCTATAGACCCAGACGCAAAGTAAACGAACAAATGAGACCATCGTATTAAATTCTGTTACAATTACATCAACCATTTCTTCAAGTATACTTTAATACTGATAAAGACATCCGTATTCTACCGAATAAAACCTACTAATTATAGCCAGACAGGCGACCAGCTTGACACAGCTGCGCCTCCGAGAATCATGACTGTCATCTCAAAATACCAAAGCACTTACTTCTTAACATGAGACCTGTTCTCAAAGTCCTTGACCTTCAAATCACGCCACATTGCCACCGTGAACATGGTGACGACCAAAACGCAGGTCGCCGAGATCATCATGATCCGCTGAGCGTCGCTGTACGCCCTGTCAATAGCTTCGCGGATCGCCGAGCCGACCGGGTACGACAGCTGCGTGGGCAAGCTCGCGACGATCAGAGACGCGTTCTGCTTCGCCTCCACCGGCAGGTACTCCTCGAGCTTCCTGGGGAAGACGCCGTTCCAGATGGCCGCGGACACGGTGCCGCCGATGGCGCCGCCGATGGAGGAGAACATGGCGAGCAGGGCCAGCACGACAGCGACGTGCTTGTGCGCGACGGCAGCCATGGCGGCGATCTGCTGGCAGATGACCAGGGTGCCGCCCGCGACGGCGATGAAGACCTGCGCCATGACGATGTACCCGAGGGCCCTGCCCGGCTGGCGGAAGTAGATCATCAGGCCGACGCCCAGGATCTGCAGGGGCGCGCCAAAGTAGAACGAAAGCCACTTGAAGCGCCCGGTCACGCGGATGAGCACGCCGACGATGAGACCCCAGAAGCAGCTGCCGATGTTGTAGATGCGGCCGACCCAGGTGGTCTGCACGATGGACGCGCCGGTGACGACCTGCAGGAAGGAGGAGAAGAACGAGGTCCAGATGTAAAAAGAGATGAAGGACAGGGACACGGTCAGGCAGGCGCCGATGACGGTGCGGTCGACGAGCAGCTCAAATGGGATGAACTTGACGGGCGCGAGGTACTTTTCATAGAGGGCGAACAGGACGAGGATGACGACGCCAAAGACGAGCATGCAGATGATCATGGGGGAGCGCCACCCCTCCTTCTGGTAAAAATAGATATTGAAGGGCAGCAGGAAGAGCGCCATACCAGCGGCGGCCAGCAAGATCCCCAACAAGTCAAATTGGATCGCGTAGTGCTTGACGGACTGCAGCAGGGTGCGTCCGCTGCGCTGCCTGGGAGGCAACGCCCCCATCCTCTTGGCCTTGCGGTGGTTGTGCAGGAACAGGAAGAAGATGGGCAACACGATGACGGGGACGATGATGCTGAAGGCGCCGAAAGCCCATCGCCAGCCCTGAGGGCCCTTGTTGAGGAAGCCCTCCGCCGCGTAGCCGCTCGTCGGCGTGGAGATGATGAAGGGGGTGTTGATGAAGGCAAAGACAAAGGCGCGGTTTTTGAGCGCCGAGGTGTCGGCGGTGAAGACTTGCAAGCTGTAGCCTACTCCGTTGAATCTGATGATGGGTGTTAGCAGCCACTCTGGCGGATACACAGTTCAAGATTTCAGAGGCGGGTTGTTTTGGAAGGGATTCTGGCGGCAAAGCGGAGGAAACCACATGAGATCGGAAGTAAGGACGGCAAGGGTTATCATCATGCAACTCACCCAACCCAGTAGAAGACCTGCGCCGCCGCGTACGTCTCGACGTTCTGGCAAGCGGCCATCATGACCAGCCCGACGACCATGAAGAATACGGTCAGCGCGACACCCTGGGGACGACCCCAAATGTCAAGGACCTTGGCCAGCGGCAGCTTGATCAGCGCGCCGATGAGCTGCGCAAAGACGCCCGTCGTGGCCGTGAGGCCGTGCTTGGAGAACGAGCTCGTGACGTAGGGAGTAAGGGTGAAGCCCATGCTCGAATGCATGGAATCAGCAAAGTACACGAGCCAGATGCTGTTTTTTATGCCAGTCAGCACAATGATTTCCTCTTTTCCGACCCTTCCAGTCGGTCCGTTGAAAGGAGAAAACTCACAAGCCCCAGGCGAGATAGATGTGAGATTGACTCCATACCTTCAGGCTGGTTTCGGCCTCCTCGACGCCCTTCTGAGCCTCGTCATCGTCAGTCTTTTCACCAGCATCTCTCTCGAAGCTGGAGACGGCGGGTGCTTTATTATTATCTAGCGGTCCGGCGTTTGGATCCGACGTCGGAGACGCGACATCTGACGCATCATCCTTGCTGGACCAAATCTTGGGTAGAAACATCATCTTGTCCGAAAGACCGTCGGCAAGCAGATGTACTTTGTAAATCAAGGCAACAACCAATTTTATTGAAAGATTATCCAGCCTTGTAGAGACGAAAAAACAGCGCAGTCATGTCTTTTTGACAGCTGACATTCGGGTTTGCACTGAGCGTACAAAGCAGGCACACCGGCTTTTCTTCCTAAATCAGTTCATGTATTTGCGCCCGGACGGGGAGGTCTCGGCCCTTGTTCCAACATAAGCTTCCATGGCAATTCTAGGCATATAAATTTTTTTTAATAAAATCTGCGCTGTGTGGAGAATGACTGACCTCCTTCTTGGCACTCACTTTGGAACCTGGGTGAGGTTCGAACAATGAACGACTTGGACAACCCTCTCGCGTTCCCCCTGCGATGCACTGCTTCGAGTCGGAGATGCAGAAAAGGCCGAGAACAGATCAATATAGGCTCGGCCAACGCCGAAACGAGGCTGGGCTGCGGCCCAGTAGCAAATCAGGTTGGTCTCTGCCGAGAAATGAGAAGAGTTCTCGTCTGTGGCTTGCCAATCGTCACCTTGTTGTACACGCAACCTCAATGGCACACTGCCCCAATTCGACAAGCTCCGGGGCAAAAACCACTGTCGACGGGGACGCCACATGGATGCCAAGCAAATAGCTGGATACAACTGTACAGGGATCATCAAGGATGCTTGTTCAAGTTTGCTGATAAAATGCCTCACGCGACGCTGGTACTTGAAATCAGTGCGCAGTCAGGTGAAGCAACCCTGATTTACTGCATGTATCAGATGATCTTATCTGATCTGATCAGAGTGTATTATACCCCCCTCGCCACCCCTTACCCAACAGCGCAACGTAACCATCGGCGCATCATCTCCGAGCATCGAGTCACATTTTTTTTCTCTGCTTGCTATTTTTTCCGCTAACCCAGGATTCATGTTATCATGGAAATTGTACATGGGCATACAATCAACTCGCGACTCGTCACTCCTGTGTGTAGACTGTGGCGACAACTCTTCCGCCAAGAAAAACACCAAGACGCTTGGCCCTGTAAATAAATCTCACCCCGATACAAAGAGCTTGGGATATAGCCCTAGTTAGGGATCATTCTTCGGATATCTACAGAACGCAAAGAGGACCGTATTGAAGCGCAGCTGATCTGCTATATCAAAAGCACCTAGATGTCGTCCGTCACAAACGCATCCGTCATGAATCAGGACAGACTGACTATAGACGGTAGAGTTCAGAGCTGTTGTGATATTTTTAAAGACTTCCTTTGTAAGATCGCCTGGAAAATGTTCTTGGTTGGTAAATGCGACAGCATAGTCCATATCTACAGCCATCTGTCATTGTCGATACATTGCGAGGAACAAATCAGCCAGCATGCACTTACAGACGAACCGGAGAATCCTCCATGGACCAGTACATCACCGACGCCTCCTCCCCGTGCCCAGCTCCCCTCCCCGCCCTCCTAAACTCCCTCACCAGCTCATCCCCCGGTCGCCACCGGCCCGTCACGAACCACACGCTCGGCCGACCGTCGCCGTCGCCGTCGCCGTCGCCGTCGCCCCCATCCGCCGGCACCCACGCGCCTTTGTCCGTCCTCCCCGGCGCGCAGTAGCACACCTCCCACGGCGGCGCCCCGAGCGTCCCGCGCCGCACCACCAGCCGCGCCGTCTCCAGCCTCGGCAGCCGCTCCAGCAACCCCGCCAGCGCGCGCAGCAGCGGCGCCATGACCTCCTCATCCGGCACCTCGCGGAACCTCTCATCGTCTCTATCCCACGGCGCCAGAGGACACCACCCCGGCGGCGTGTCCAGCTCGGCGTCGGCGTAGACGTCCCCGGCAAAGTAGAACCGCCCCTCCGGGTCCAGGAGCGCCATGCACACCGTCAGCCTGCGCAGCGCCTGCCACCGACCGTTGTCGAGCAACGCCGGCGCGACGACGCCAGCGTACCGAAGCTCCTCCACATGCGTCGCGGCGGCCAGCGTCTGCAGCAGCTGGCCGTAGCTCGCCGCGCCGACGCCGCTCGCCGCGCACACGGTGAAGCCCAGCCTCCCGAGGCGCAGCGCCACGCTGACCTCCGTCACGCCCCGGTGTCGGGGGAGGTTCTCCGCCAGACACGCGGCGAACGCGTCACGCGCGGCGTCCCGCTCAGCCTGCGCCTCGGACTCGACCGCGTGCCACACCACGGCGCATAAGTTCGGGAAGCGCGCCGCCTCCAAGACGAGGCGCGCCTGCTCCGCGAGGTGCAGCTGGAGCACGTCGCGCCGGCCACGCTCCGTCTCCGGCGCGGCAGGCGTAAAGTCCAGCCTCCGGACGCACCCCGCCACCGCCACCGCAGGCTCGTCCCCGTCGAACACGATACCCTGGCGACAGCGGTGCCGCATGCCCGGGTGCCCAGCCTCGAACCGCAGCGTCAGGTCCACCGTCGCGGTCGTCCGCACCTCGCACAGGACGGAAAACAGCGGCCGCAGGAGCGCCTCCGCGTCGACGCCGCGGCCGGTCCAGTGGCGGTGGGTCAGCGGCAGGACGACGGTGAGGGAGCGGATGTGCGCGCAGCGCTCGGGGCGACGCGCCAGTGCGGCGCGTAGTCTCTCGAGGGCCGGGTCGCCGCCGCGGAGGACGAGGGCGGCGTAGACGAGCGGCTCGACGGCGCGCTGCCACCGGCGGGACGTCGCCGCCGCGGAGGCGCGCGTCCAGTGCCTGGACGGCGCCGGGTGGTGGTGCTCGCGGCGAACCTTGGAAGCGAGGCGCTGTAGCATGCCGGGCTTGCTCGCGTGTCTCGGGGCTGGAGGCTCGGGCATCGGGATGGCGCCGGCGGGGAGCAGTGCGGCAATGCGGTCGACGATTTCCTGCGGCAGTCGATCCATGCTGACCAGCAATAGGTTGCACTCACATCGCTCTGCAGAGGCAATGTCATATACACGACGTCTTCGTTTAGGTCAACAGAGTGGTTTGTGTTGCTGAGATGGATGCCTAGGCAAGAGAGAAGTAGCGTTCGGGGCTAGCTTGGCACAGCGGAGCCGATTCAGCCTCAGCTTCGCCCGTTTTGAATGTCGTTTGAATTTGAGACGGAAGGAATGTTGAGGTTTGCTTTTTCGACTATTTCAAATCACAAGTCTTTATCCTTGCGGCATCCGTCGTCGTCGTCATCGTCGTCGTCGTCGTCGCCGTCGTCGTCGTTGGCATCGTGTCATATTGATCTGCTCTCCAGCCAGTCTTCCGAGAAGTCGTCACTCTCGCTGAGACACTCTTTTCTCGCTTTCAGGCTTCCTCATCTCGCTTTATACGAGGGACTCATACGGAACACGTCGAGTCCTATCTTCGATACGTCGACTCTCATTTGACCGGGGGGCACGTGGTTATGCAACAACAGCAAAAACAGCAAAAACAACAACACATTCAGAGTGTTAACAGCTCCATCATCTTTATTCTGTTCGTTTTTTGTCTAATCACCTCTAATTGCTCTTTGTCCCTCTCTCATGCTTCTACCAAATGTATCGATTGTATCGATTAAAGCTCCTTTGTCGCTCTCGACTCTTCTTCTCCTTCTTGTTATACAGGACTCTAGCGACAGGTGTAGTGAGAAGACGCGCGCACAAAACAGCTTCAAAACCTGAAGCCCACAGAATCTACCGAGGAAGGGAAGAGAAATCCACAAAAGAGAAGGAGGAAAGAAAAAAACACAAGGTTTATAAAAAACATCGATTGCGCCGCAATGCCTTCTTTAGTGTCCGAGGGGGAAAAGGGGGGGAAACGCCGTTATAAAATATCAGATATGATGCAAGAATAAAACATAAAGAAAAAGTCCATACTTCGCATCATTAATGCCCAGACAAAGAAAACAAAATTTTCGTTCCATCTTCTCGGCAGGGGGCAGTTTTACGCCGTCGCGCCGCCGCCACCGATGGCCCGAGGCAGCGTCTTCCAGCCCTGTTCGCTAGGCAGCTTGGCGCGGCCAAAGTCTTCGTCGAGATCGAGGATGATCTTGAGCGCGTTGCGGCTACGACCAAATGGCGTCGTGTCCTGGATCGCGGCCGCCGCTTCCGCGGCTCCGGCCGTCACCTTGGGCAGCTCGGCCTTCTTGCTGCCTGGCATGGGCAGGACGCTCTGGAGGACCTCGTAGGCGGCAAGGGTGAAGCCAAACTGTGGAGATGAGCGAAAGATGCGCGCGGGGCCACCCTTGAAAAAGGCAGTGAAGCCCTCCTCCTTCCAGATGGTCCTGGCGGCGTGGCGCAGGCCGGTGTACTGGGCCTCGCCCTTGCGAGCCTCCACCTGGAGGCGTGTCTTGATCACGTCGCATGGTGTCGTCAGGTAGGCGGCCGGCATGCCGGCAATTGCACCGGCGGTGAGCAGCTGCAGGACGCTCAGCTTGTGAGTCGGCGACTCGCCGAAAAAGTCCTTCTTCAAGTGGCTGTAGGTCGGGAAGTAAATGGCGGAGAAGGGCACGTCGCGGAGCAAGCATGCCGAGGCACCCTTGTAGAGGCCAACAAGACCGAGATTGCGGACAATCCACATGGCAGAGCGCTTGGGGGCGCCGTCGACAGTCTTGGCGACCTCGCCCTGGACCTGGAGGCGAATCTTGACGATTTCGAGGGGGTTCGTGAAGACCTTAATGCGTGTTAGCTATGGTTTCGCAGGGAAGTGCGGACGTTACTTACGACTTGGCAACCACCAGCGCTGGCACCAGCAAAAATCTCGGCCCAGAGGTTAATCTCGCCCTTCTTGTTGGTAAAGTGGGTGCGGACGAGGTCATTAACAGTCAGCTTGATGGCCTTTTCAGGGGCGACACCGACAAGCTGAGGAAGAACACCAGAGTAGAGACCGCGGAAGCCCTCATTCTTGACGACCTTTTGGAAGCAGTCGATCGAGTTCTTGTACAGGCGCTGGCCCGGTTGAGCACCGCGCTGGTTTTGCAGACGAGTCTTGACCAGATCAATGGGGTACACCATGAACGCGCCAAAAGCACCAGCCAAACTACCGAGACCAAAATTGTAGGCGGACTCGAGGATGCTGTGGAGGATGCTGCCGCGGGCTGGCTTGATAGCCTTGGCGATCTCGTCAAGCGACTCGATCGGGTTTCGCCATGAGGGATCTAGGACCTTGGCAAAGTTGCGCAGGCCGAGGCGGCCCGAGGGCTCGTCGAGGCTGGCAAAGTGGAAGAGGATGTCGGCCTCCATGGGAGTGAAGAGGGAGAAGCGGGTGACCTTGGCGGCCTCGTGAAGGAACTCAATGCGGGTAATCTTCCCGTCGGAGCTCCGCTTGACGGCGCGACGGACAATCTGCTCGACTAGGTCCATCTCCTTGATCATGTTCTGGAAGGCGCGGACGTTGGCGTAGGAGATCTTGGAGCCTTTGGAGATGTTGCAGAGGGTGTGGAGGTTGTCGAGGAGGTGGTCTGAGAGCTTATGCTTGGAGGTCTCGAGGATGATGCGCTCAAACTCGTCAGGCTCGATATAGCCGTCGCCGTCCTTGTCGAATAGGTGGAAGGCCTGGCGGATGCGCTCGCCCTGGAGGCCGCGCAACATTTGGGAGAACTGGGGGTAGTCGAGGTTGTGGCGCTTGGAGCTGCTGCCGATGTAGAGCTTGGCCCATTGGCAGTCCCAGTCAAAGGGGATATTCTCGGGGCCCTTATTGAGCTCGTAGAGGCGGCGGAAGTCATCGTACTTGACGTTGCCGGTGCGCTCCACGTCGAAAAGACGAAACGCGATCTCGTACTCGGCGTCGGGCTTGGCGAGGATGTTTTCAAAGACATGCCAGTCGCTGAGGGAGACCTTGCCCTGCCCGCGACGGTCGGCGACGCGGAAGAGGATCAGGTACTGTTCGCGGCGGATTTTGTGCTACAGTGGGGAGATGACAAGTTAGCAACGACGTGTTCAATTGCGATGGTTTGCCTTTGTTTTTCCTTTGCCCTGCGCTTCGTTCGCTACAGCAAAAAATTATTCTTTGGCAGGAACACTGAGCGCACGCGACTCCCATTTGCGCCGGGGCAAACGAGTGTATTCACAGAGGGACCCAGAAAACGAGAACAACAAGAACTTACAAAGTCCTCCTGCTCAGGAGCCACGGCATTGATAAACTCGTCCGGGCCCATGAACAGCTCGCCAGCCTCGTCCTTTACCGCATTCCTCGTGAAGCGCGCCTTGCTCTGGAGAGACGGACCGACAGCGCCTTGGTCGGAGCTGCCGAGGACCGCCCCCTTGACAGCCTCCTTGACTGCAGATGCCGTGGTGGCCATGACTGTGCGCCGACTCTCGGATTCCGGGTGGATTGTAAAGATACAAGGTAAAAGGAAAGAAGAAAAATTCACACTCCAAGAAAATAACAGATCCCAGGCACGGAACGGGAAGGGGGAGGGAAGGGAAGAGATCGGAAGGGGGGGTTGAAAGATCTGGCTGAGAAAAAAAAGTTTGGGGTCTCGTCAATTGGGGGAGGAAACAACCAGCAGGCAAACGGCGTTTGGGTTTTGGGGGACAGAATTCAGTCAGAGTGTGCCAAAAGCGCCAAAAGTCGGGGCCAAAGTCGGAGCGCGCGGCGGACCGGCAATGGCTCGGGAAGCTTGGGGGTGGGAAAGAGGCTGGCTGAAGTAGAGGTACCGCCCAGGTACCTTGTGGATGTGCCGCATGGTCCGTCGATCCAGGTACCTGAGCCCTTCTTTTAAGTCAGGCTAGGCAAGTTCGCCCTTGGCCCCGTGCTGCCCTTTGTGCTTCCGCACCTCATTTAGTGGCTTCGGAGGCCCCCTGGAAAGTCGGCAGCATGTGCTTCCACACTTTCCATCCGTCGCCCTACACCCGCCAAGAGGTACCTCAAAGGTACCTCATCACAAGGACACCGCCAGCCCGCTTATTACTACAGGCGCTGGAGAGTCAGGCCCAGCGACCAGGCCCCGGCTTACGAGAGAATGTCAGATGAGGGGAGATAAGCCTGCGTAAGTCGCACGCTGTTAACCTTGTTTTGCAAGGGTCCTCCCGCAGCGGCGTGTTGCGGGGGGGGAGTGAGCTAGGCAAACATCGTGACACATATTGAAAAGGAGGAAAAAAGACCTCATGGACGGATGAAAGGGAAAAGGCCGCCGTTCGGTGTGACGGGCAACTACTCCGTGCAAGGGCGGCGGGACCAACCACTAACTACCTCCACAAGGGAAAGGGACAGGCCACGCGACAATAATAACCTTCATCCGCCCACCAAGGTTCACCCCGAACAGGCCAAAACCGCAAAAACGGGGAGTTCCGGGGTGCCTCGGCATGTCCATCTTGATTGGAAGATGCAGCTAACCAACTAACTCGGCTTCGCTCCAGCCCAGCACACACCACACTCGACCTAACAATGTCCAGCGATCATTCACTATCAGTTATCACTGTACTTGGTCATCACCAAGGAAATTACCAGACAAGGTAAACTTCGGCTATAAGCCGCCACGCCTTATTCCCTGTGCCCTTGTTCGGCAACTCTCAGAGACAGCGGTTATGTCGCCTGCAGCGCTTCGACTTGGCTGATTTTATAGAGAAAACAGTCAAGGGCACCGCACATCCTAGGCATCGGTGAGCTCTCTCTCCCTCTGGGACCACCCCATCATGCACTTAGTCCTTGACCGCCGCCGTCGACCGTTATGCAACGAAACTGCCGGCACGAGTCAGTTGATCCACGAACGTTGAATCATAATCCCTTCACACCCAACACACTGCAAAACCGCAATAGCAATTTTGCCATTCCTATCTAATTTTCATAAGACATTCTTGTCGAATTAAGTATTTTGAGCCATTATAGAAATTTCCATCTCGCAAGCGAGCCTCATGCAAGTCATGATACACAAACAAACTACACTAGAAAATGTCAAAAGACAAAACAAAAACCGAGTCCTAAACACCAAAACAACCTTTATCCCTCAAGTGGCGGTAAAAGCTCGCTTGCGTACTGTAAATGTTCCAAACTATTGTGCAATTGCACGAGTAGAGGTTTCGACGCCCGCATCGGCGCCGTGTGGTGTGGTAATGTGAATCCGCTGTCCAAAGCGTGCTGCACAATCGTCGCAGCCTCCTTGAACCTCTTTTCGCGGTACTTCTCGTACACCGCTGCATGATGTAGACGGGGGTGCTCGCAGCATTCAATCAGCATCGTCACCAGCGGCTTCAGCTGACTCCACGTGTAGCCAGAGAAGTAGACGTGGGCCTTGGTCTGCGAGTAGATGTTAGTGAACCATAACAGAAATGCACGCGCGGTTGCACATACCCAGTCACCCTTGTTGAGAATGAGTCTCGACAGGCAGTGCGCGCCAGCGGCTAGGAAACTGGGCGGTGACGCGACAAATCGCTCATCCATAATCGTGAGCTCGAGAAAGTACTTGGCCAGCGTCCGCGTGTCCAGATCGTAATCGTCAGCCTTGCTGACTCTGCGCAGGAAGCTCATTGGGCCGGGCCAGCCGAGCTCAAAGTTGAGCATGCTAAGCATGAAACGCTCAGCCTTGAGGATCTCCTCGGGAGAGTAGCCATTGTCCACCATGAAGACAATCTCATCCATGGACGGGCAGTTTATTTCCTCGTACTTGGATGCGACGAGCAGAGCAGTGGCGCCGACGAGTTGCAGCTTCGTGACCGAGATGATCTTGTACGACAGAAACCGGTCGATGTAGTTGACGGTGAGAAACAACGTCTCTGGCAGCAGCGCAAAACGGCTGTGAACTTGTACCAGCCAATCCATTAAGACCGAACGCATTGACCATTGAATTTCTGTTTGCATCTCCATATAGTGAGGGTTGGGGAGCATCTTGATCTGTTATGCGGTTAGCACTGATTGTTCTTATGAGACATCTTGATGGGTGCCTGCACTTGCCTCAAGCTCGCGCAGATAGTCGAAGATTTCATCACCATACTCAGCCACCATGCTGACGTCCCAAGCCTCTTCTTCAAAGTCGATAGCAAATTTTGATTCCTCCACCTCAATTCTAGCTTCCTCCAGCTCTCGTTGAACACGGGCCGTCAGACGGGGAACGAGCAGAGTTGTTGCACCTACAGTAGTGTAGTCTCTTGATCTGAAGCTGTGCGCGGTCGTGTAAGCTTGATCTTGATCATCGTACTCTTCCTCTTCTTCCTCGTCCCACTCTTCGGGCTCAGAAAGAGCAGGGTATGAAGATTCTTTATACGAATGGCCTGTCGTGGGCCGGGTCTCGGCAACAGAAGAGCCGCCAGGCTGGTGTAACATGACCTCAGCCGCGTGCGCTAACTGCTGTGATTCAGCGTCGATCTGATATGGGCCTGTGTCGAAATAAACGGTGTGGCCGCTCGCCTGCTCGAGAGCAGGAACGTCCATCTCGGCAAGCTCAGGCTCTTCCGGAATGTCGAGGTGTGTTGATTCGTATTCAATCTTTTCGAAAAACTTGCTCTGCGTTCTACGCAGGGAGGGCTGCTGGAGCTTGAGCTGGGGCTGGCTCTTGTAGTGTCGGGGTTGCTTTGAAGCATGTGATGTGCTGGCTTCGATCAGCGCGGAGACCTGATCCTGGCCCTCCCTGGAGTGTCGTGCAGGATGCAAGTTTGCGGAGGCGTTGTGATGTTGCTGGGGAGGTAGCCGGTGTTGATGATGGGGCGGCTTTGGTGCTTGAATGGGCTGGCTATCAGAGAACGGCTTGATGATTTTGTTTCCAACAGCACCGTGGCGCGGAGCTGCACGGGACAGAGAATCCTTAGGATAGGCAGTGTTCTCCTTGTTCAGATTAGAACCAATGGGGCCAAGCGTCGAGACGGCGGCGGGCTGGACCTTGAGAGCAACCTTGGCGTCATCGTGACCAGCAGAGTGCCTAGACATGTTGGTGACATCGCCAAAGGCAGCACGCTTGGCCGGGCCGCGAAAGCCCATGGTGGCGGCGGAAACCATGCCGGCAAGACTCCCGGTGGACTTGTGACGCTGGTGCAGACTAGGTGCAGAGTTATTCTCGGAGGCTCGGGGTCGAAAACGTTGCTGCAAAACGCAGAGGCGATGTTATTAGTACTGAGAAAACCAAGCAGCTTGCAAAGGGGGAAACCAGACGAGGAAACAAGGGCAGGCAAAGGCAACGGGAAGAACAAGGCGGAATAAGATGAAATAATAAAGACGGTAACAATTGCCGTCAATGACCAGGCGAAGAGGGAAAAATTCGCAAGGTGGGAGAAGGATGCACGTTTGGAGCAAACTCACCCGAGTGTCCATGTTGTTTGGCAGCTGCCAGGCAGAGAGGTGATTTCGGCTGCTGCACGACAACCACAACGGACGGAGTCGACGGCGGAGCTGCGGTTGCCGTCAACGGAAGCGCAAAGGGAGAGACCCGGGAATTTCGAGGAAATGACGGGTCGCGAAAGCAGCGCTATTTCATCCGTCTCTTTATGTTTTTTTTTTTAAAGTCGTGAGTTTCTTTTGTTCCTTCCTTCGTTCTCGTGTTATGCTGTCGCGGATTGGGGTTGGCGCAAGGTTTCAGGGACGACGGCGTAAGTACCAACGACGACGGAAAAGAGGGCCGGCCGGGCCTAATAACAAACAGCCAAAAATAAAGCCAACGGTCGCCCAAACAGAGAGATTCGCTTCGATGCGAGCAGAAGCTGAGAAGATGCGCAGAAATAGAAAAAGCTAGCCGAAGCAAGAATAAGAACCAAAATTCAGATGCTGGTGCAAGAACAGGGACGCGCGCAAAAATGCCAATGTCGTCGCTAGCTCTGGGTCAAGGAGATTACACCAGAAACACCAGAGATGAGCATGTACCGGGGGGGAATGGGGGGAATGCGCCGGATGACTTAGTAGGGAGAAACAACACGACAAACGCAGCCGCGTTTGAAGCTGAAAAAAGATATAAAGAAAAAGCCCGGGGTTATTCCATTCGAGGGGAGAAGGGAAAAGAAAAGGGAGAGCTTCTAATTTACAAAACACCATGAGATGAGCTGGTCCCATGTAATGTACTGGAGCGGCGACATCAATGTTGTTTATTATTTGTTTACCACTACCAGTCGTCGGGGCAGGTACCCATGGCAGCAAAGTGCAGTGTGGAGGTACGGGCGGGCCGGACAGGTCACTCATTTTGGGCGGGGTGAATTGGGTGTCGTGCGCTTTGCCTGACGAGATACGTACCTTCCTCTTTGGCAGGGTAAAAAAATCAGGCCGGCAGCTCGTCCAATGGCCAGTCAAAAGTCAGCACTTTTGCTGCAAGGAATTTCGTTGGCAGCTGAAGGCTGTTTGGGCATGCGGTGCACGGATCAAGCCGCGACCATAACGCGCACCACCCCCATGCAAAAGAAGGGCGAGAGAGACCTCACCTTTAAGAGCGTGGTCGTCCCAGCGATGACGATTTTCTGGGAGCTGACTAAAGGCCAAGCGGAAGGCGGTGGCGGGCGGCACAAACGCCTTCCGTATCGGAGCTAGTCCGTATCGGGCGTCTAGCGGCGGCCCGTCGCGTCTCACCAGCGTTCCTCGTTTTGAAACTTTGGCATCGAGGTGAGCACCGGAGCATCACGCTGGACGTAAAAGAATACGTGAAACTGTGCTTTAAGTGCATATTAATCTCGCGAACGCTCCTGATCTCTTTTCGGCAGTTTCCTTGGTGAGTGTGGCGCTTTGCGCCGCTTCCGCGTCCGCAGACGCAACCGCGTCGTGGCGCCCTCCCAAAATGACGCCAGATCTCCACGTCCACACGTGATCTCGGTCGAGTTGGCGGCCCCGCGTTTCGCACTGTGTCACCGCCGCCCGCGCAGCTCAGCTGTTGAGAAACGTCGTTATGCCTGGCGCGCGCGCACAATACACGTCTTGTTGAATAGGAACCCAAGTAGACGTTTTGACCCTTTTCACCGTCTTGCCTTTGCTTATTGACTCGCACCGCAGTGCGGGGATGACTTTGCGCCAATAGATGCGCTGGAGAGCTGACACGAGAGAAACTACGCATCCCGTTAGCCGCCGAGGACGGAGGAAAAGGACTCGCTTCGAGAACTCGGGAAGTGGAGTTGCGGTGCATCCTTTTCTTACCCGGCGCATACCGCCACGGAGTTGTTTGTGCATTGGAAATGTCTGCATGTTCGTCCTGTGCTGCTGTTTCTGTATTGTTTAAGGTTCTCTTTTGAAACGTGCCCTGTGCATTTGCTCATCGGAGTCGGCCCAGCAGGGTTGCGCATCGTCTCGTCTTGCGGCTACCCTACTACGGGCCGCGGATGCGCAACACGGAAAAGGGCCTTGGGAAAGGGTAGACCAGTGAGAAAAGCGCATACCCATGATTCGCATAGCATGTCCTGCTTCACCAGACCAGCTTCATACTGTCCCGTGTGCGACTCTGTGGTCCAACGCTGCCGAACCGGACCAACAAGAGAGAGGCCTCACTTCTGCTTTGCGTTCTTTCGTCCCCACCACACCGATCCGATAAGGCGTTTCCGTGCGCGACAACCATTACCCAATAGTTCGCTCACGCAATTCACGAGGCGAAAAGCTTCAGGATAGTTCTTCTTGCTTTCGCGCCGTGTGCGACCCTCCCCCAGCCAGCCAATGGTGATCCACAACACCCAGCTCGTTAAGCCCTCGCGCAATTTCACGCCACCAAAAAAACTGCCCGAGAACCTCTGCGAACCACCGACATGCGACAGGAGCCGCCAAGATGACGCTCCTAGATTAGAAACAGCAATTCCTTATCGACGCGCGACGAATGCGCCCACCCTCGTGATGGATTACTTCTGTCTCCTTCACCCGTCCTGTTTGTGTCCTTTTTTCTTCTGCCCGTTTGCGCAATGCATGTCCCTTGATGGGCCACTTCGCCCCCTCTCCTGCTCCTCACCTGGGGGCGGCTACGATTTGCGCAACACTTGCGCCGTGTCGCACGAGGAGCTCTTGACCAGTCGATGCGGCGTATAGTTTTTAAAACAGGATTTTGTAATTCTTCTCATGCATAGTCATCTTGCGCCGCATGGTTGGCGTGTGCGCGCAGGGCTGCGCAACGGAGCCCATCTGCGTGGCGCTGTGCCCCGTCAAACGCGAATGCCGCGTTGACTCTGGGCCGAGACAAAGATCTGCGTTAACCCCAGGGGAGGGTTTCGGGTGATCGCATCGCGATCGCTTGCGACGTGATGCGTCCAATTGCTTATCGACGTTGGTTCAATTGGGGTTGTTTGCGCCGAATTTGGGGCATGCGCGCCATCAGTAACCGGCTGGTCGCCGGCCGCCAGTCGCGCAAAGCCGGCGCGCCCGTTTGCGCAGCACATCGCGACCCATCCGTTCGCCCAGCGCGTCATGGCAGAAACTCAAAAAAGGGGGGAGCGGCCGTGGATTGACAGTTACGTACAGGTATAGGGACATTTTAGACCTCGTAACGGGCCTGCTTCGTGCTGGCGCAATGGGCTGATTTGTTCGTCGTTTGGCGACTTGTAGCGAGCGGAGCGACAGGGCCGGCCATGGCAGCAACTTATTCTATACAGGGGCTCGGAGATGCGGCGCATTCTTTTGGCGCGATGCAATGATAAGGGGGCAGGAAGCAAGATGAGTTGATGCAAACGACGGTAACGCGCCGCGAGACAATGTCAGTCTTGTCGATGTACATTTTTGAGCCGAGAGCCAGGGTCAGTTCTGCGCGTGTCCGTCGGCGCTCGGTGCAAGACATGGATGGGCTCTCGTCCTTCTTCATTTTGGTCGGTGGCGATAAGTTTTATTTGCGCCCACTGGGCTATTTCCTTCCCTTCAATAAGTACTATTTTTGTGATTGTCATTTCCACTGTTTCCCGGATATTACTTATTTGCACTTGTCTATTTCTGCCGGGCTGGCCCTCCACAGCGCACAGTCTGTGCCAGATGCGCAGAAATAGGGACGAGAACTAAAACGAGGACAGATTATCCACTTGAAGGGCGGCATGGTCCCATGCAAAGCAGACTAATTAATCATGCAATAGTGTCTGCATGGCCTTCGCCTCGATGGCCAGAGGCCTTGCCTGCGGCGGGGATTCGGCGAGAGCGGTGACGGAAAAGAGAGGGCCAAGATGAAGAAGCCGAGTAACCCCAGCATATGGCGTGGGTTTGAACGGGAACAGCATCCGCGGAAGCCTGGGCGGGGCGGCGGCGGTCGAAAGACTTTGCAGAATGACGGGCACTTCCATTTCTGCAGCCCTGATTGCAGTTTCGGATTTTGCACGCAAATCTGGGCAGCAATCAAAGCACGAGAGGCAAGACGGTCGGGTAGCAAGAAGAGTCACGGCTTGGGTGTATTGGCGCAGCTGGGCGACTTGTCGCAAACAGGTTGCAGGCGACCCTGTCGCAAGAGTGGCCAAACTAACTTACTATCTACCTATAACATGAGAGATCGCGGTCAAGGAGGGGAAGAGGGAAAGAGGGAAAGAAGGTAGCTTGCAAGGGTCCGCAGCGGTTCGTTGGGCTGACATGAGGCGGGAAGGCTTGTCCACAGAAATAGATGCCCTTTTCAATTTGATGACGGGGTTTTCGGAAATGGGGATTGTCGAGGAAGCCGCCGAGGGATGCTTGTATTGAAATGAAAAGGGAGAGGCTGATAATTTAACAAGATAGAAAAAGCACCAGGGCGAGAATCAGCCCCCAGAGATGAGACCCGGACTCGGTACATGGAAGCCGATGACGATCCATGACAGAGCAGGGCCGCATGCTGCAACTAGAATGTGTGTAATACCTGACCTAGAAGCGGAAAAGAGGTGACAAGGCAGGTCAAAGGCATCAACAAACACAGAAAAGTTAGCAGACTTGGTACATAGCGGCACTTGTCGTATCGTGTACCACAAAGTACATCATCAAGGCTGGGAATGGATGACTGGCAGACAGCGTCAAGAGGTTGAAACGCGATTATCCCCAAAACGGGAAAGCGAAATCAACATCCCGAGAAATGCCTCCTCTACTGCACACTATTTAATTCGCTGGCTACGTCGATGGGTGCGCCAATCCTTTTTGCAGCTGGCCGGGGTTCGCTTCGGCTGGGGCCTCGAGGGACTTGGCTGCGCTGGCACGCTTTTACCGCCACAACTGGGATGAGTCCATTGTCGCAGAAAAGACGACTTCATCCGGGCCATGTGAATATGCGTAGTAACCGGATACTATCGGATTGTCCCCTCGGCTGTCCAAGTTCGACTCTATCTGCCCTGTAATAAAACCGAGCCTGAGACCAAGACGTTGTGCAAGGCTGTCGGATGTCCCCTCTTTTGCCATTACCTAGGCGGACTGGGCGCAAACTGGTGTTTTAGCCATTCGCCCTTCTTCTTTGTCTGATATCGAGGCCCAATACATATATGCTCAGCACGAATGAGAAATGCCGACCGAGTGAGGGCCGCGGACCAGACAAGGCCATGTCGCAGATTTTGGTCGGACGGAAACCACACATGGCTGTACAAACAGAGCCGCTTTCTTGTTTCCCCGTGCGATGCGACGTCTGCGCCCTCCACATTCTCCGAGTGGCCTTGTCTCGTGTGAAAAAAGTAAACCATCGTCGGCCATGTCTTGGGTTAATTATTCTTCTTATCCTCTTTCTTATAGTCTAGGATACGCTAATCGATTTGTTGAATAGGTCGTTCAGCCCCTTCGCGACTATTGCATTCTCAATATTTTGATCGCACCTGAGTTTGTTTGTACAGTACGCGACACTGTGTATTTCTAAGGTCCGAAAGTGAAAGAGCCGCAGCCTGGTGGCTACACCACCATGACCCGAATCCGGCACATCTGGGGGAAGGCGGACGACGCATCGATACTGGGTTGAGATTGAGTGTGCAGGTTCATGCACACATGAAAGGGAGTAAAAATTGCTAGACGACTGCATCGACGCAAACAAGGGCCAAGCTCAACATGAAAGCCGCCATTTCCTTTTTGCCGCCCAAGCCAGAATGCTTGTGGACCAACCAGTTCGAAACGACCACCGCCCAGATGGGTTAACCGATCCTCCACCAAGAAAGAGACCTTTCCCGCTAGGGAGGTAGACACAATCCCTGCATACAATTGCGCAGCATATGTTGGATTGTTGCAGATCGATCGTGGGTTAACTGGTCGACGGTAGTTGGGCATGGCATAGGGTTTCTGGGGCGGCGGCTGGAGAAAGGAACATGTTGTGCGCCCGTATTAGTCCTGTTGGAGTAACTAGTAGGATGGGACAAGAAGGTTGGAAGAAAGAAGGCGCATGGTGATCCCGTTTAATCCCCCCTCGTGAGAGTGGGCGAGTGCATGGCTTTGTATCAGAATATGATGTGCTGTAACCTCTGCGGGTGGTGTGTGTGCGTGATGTCGTCGTTGTGCACGCTAAATAAAGTCACCGTAAGTTGAACACATACCATAGGTAGACCAGGAACAGGGAAGAGGCTGGCTGGGCTGGGCTGGGCAGCTGAGCATCTGCGCCGCCACTATCAGCCTATTTGTTACATGTTTATCCATTTACTACCCAAGGCATGTACGTGTCTACATGAACCATCTTGACTTACTCATGTTATCAGGGTGCTCGCTCGATGGGGTGGACTGTGTTGTGCTGATGATTAGCCGCCCGCCAGAGGTCCACGGATCGGGACTTGTTTCCAATCGCGTATTCCTCCTCCCTCTCCTTGTTTCCATATTCGTCTAGAGACACATAATACTTTCTTATTCACTGTGCAACAAACCAACGCCTCGTCTGGCATCGAGTCGCCCCCAGCGAATGAATCGTCATGCGCCACTCCCCCAATGCTATGCGCTGGCCGAAATGCGTGGGAAAGCGGGCCAAGGTTAGAGTCAGAACAGACATATGACAACCCCTCTGCGCAGGCGCAGCAGCCTCCGGCCTTGATTTGCTCGCGGTGTTTTATTACCAGTCTTGTATTACTATTGCTATTATACTTGTTCGTGCACTAGGTGCTGTTATTTTTATTATCTTATTTTTGGCCCGTGTCCAGAGATGGCCAGCTGCCAGGCACACACCACCACACACACACGCCGGCAGTCGGTCAACCCACGAACAGCATGGGGGCTGCAGATGGCCATGACCGCTACACCCTCACGACGCCTGCTCGAGTGAGTATGGGGAGTTTGCTGGCAGATGGTCGATGCAGCCATCGCCTTTCCGAGCCACTCGAGGTAGTGCGGCCAGGCACAGCAGCCGCTGTCTGCAGCACCAAAGGTCAAGTAAGGTTAGTACTGTAGGCAAGCACAAGTATCGGTAGAGACTCAGGGCATGCAGACGCCTCCATGTCCGACTTTATGGCAAATCAAGACCGGCCTGTTACACCATCTCGTCATCTCGTCATCTCGTCCTGCTGCCCTCACCCTCGCCCTCACGCCATCTCATTGAGCCGCCGCTTGAGGCTCGTCTCGTGGTGCTAGTTATCCTCGTCCGCCGTCCCCGGACCAGTTCCATTACTTTTACCTATGACTTGCCGTCATGGGGTCCCAACCTTTTTTTTTTTGCGCAACGCTAGCAGCTTGTCGCATCCCACTCACACCACGCATCCATGTAACTAAAGGTACCTTACTATATAACCAAGTCCAGAGAAAGGTCGTCCTGTACGCAGGCAATTCATAATGGACATTGACAGCCTTCTGGTCGATGAGCCGGAACACTTTTTCTCTCTCTGCTGTCTAGCAATTTCGCCTTCAGCTACAAGGCAGTAAAGAGCATGCGCCTGTGCGCGGCGCACGACGAATCGCACCGCCCATTCTGTTCGCGGGCCGGCGAGGTGAGAAGAGGCTTGCCGGTTTGTTAGCGCTTGTGGAGACTCGAGGCGAAATGGCGGACGATTGTGTGTTGTGTGCGGATAAGTGTGTGTGGATGGAGACCCAAGGCGGCGAACAAGTTGGGAAAAAAGATAGAGCCCGCGCGGGGCGGCCGGACGGAAGAAGAAGTTGTGAAAAGGGTCAATAGATGAGGGAATATTATCAAGGAATTCTTCGTTTACTTCTCAACCAAGGACGGCGTCGTCAACCGTCAACGTATCCGTCGTCCCAACGGGTGCCGACTCGATCCATCCAAGTTGCGAAACCTTGGGCACGTTTTAGGTAGTTCCATACCTGGCCTAGGTACCTGGCCTACCAGGCCGGCCACAGTGCCACACGCACACACACTACACTTTCTACCGTTGCTCGTTTTTGGCTTCCATTCAGGTGACTCGCTGGGCTTGCGACGAGTGGATGGGCAGTGTGGATGTTGAGAGCCGGCCGACCTGGAAGAACCGGTGAGAGGTGGACTGCCTTGGATAGATGGATTGACGGAGGGATGGATGGGTGAATGAATTGGTAGATACATACATAGATTGGGTGTGAGGCGTACCTACCTCTGAAAGCGATTCTGATGCCCGCACCGCATTATTTGTTAGAGCCAATGCTGGCGCAAACAGAAAACGGCGCCGTTCGAGCTGTCGCAAGACGCCTCAACAACCTCGATGAGGTACCGTACTTGCTGAACCACCGAATAGAAATACACCTGCATCCTTCTACACTTGCCTCAGCCAGAGACAATCATCGGGGAAACGTGCCATGGCCCTCGGACCAGATGAGCCGGCAGCCATCTCACACTTGTTGCACAGCATGGCGCCTGCAGCAAAGAGCCAAGGGAGTGCTAGCCCAAGTTACAGCGCATTACAGGTGCCCCGTTGCCCGTTGGCTGCTGCACGGCGGTTTTCTAGCGGGCCTCCCATAGCGGTCCAGGGCGACCATGTTCAGCGGCCTTCAGCGTTCTAGGAGCACTGGCGAGTGCTGTAGCCCTCTACCTCTCCTTCCACTGTAGACTTGCCCAGCTCAGCGTCCCGTTCATTCCATCCAGGCCCTTCCCATGCAGTCGCTGATAAAATCATTCGGCCTCGTACTGGCTGCTCCTCTTTTCCCCATGCACCACCGCACACACTCACCTCCCGTCGCCGACCTCCTCTGCCCGCAAACCGCTTCTATCCCGCAAACTGTATAATCATCTGGTGAGTCCTCTTGCATCCATTCACCATCGCGATCCTCCATTCGACATTCCTTGCCCCCTTCCATCATCCTCCCGCCGCCGCATTCCCCTGCGCCGCCGCCGTCTGCTCGCCTTTGGCCGCACACACCTGCGACGTTCGACCGCCAGACTCTGCTCCGAGTCCAGCCCTTCCTCCTCCCCTTCATCGCACCACTCTATTTCTTCGCATCAAAGCCCGCTCCCATCGCTAATTGCGACAGACCATTCTCTGACTGCTCCGTCGACACACACATCGGGGAATCGCAACCCTCGTTTTCCCGCCCATCTGCGCCAGCCCGGTGCTGACGACTCGGCGCTAGCCCGCCCTCCCTCAACAGCCTCTGACGGCGGTGATGCAGGCTTGATCTGCATCTCACCAAACCCACGCCGCTCCCTCGAACCCCATCGATCGCTACAACCAAGTATTCCTCTCTTTTGATCGTCTGTTGGATTTGCCTCTGCTCGCTAGACTTCTGTGGTCGCCAGTCTTCTCCTGTGCGTGCCAAGTCGTGCCGTCAAAACCAAAAGGGCCTCTTAGCACCTGCACCGCAAAAACCGCACCCACACGCGGTAACTCTGGCCTTTCCACGGCTCCAACAGACGCAATCTCGGCATCGCTGAGTATCGGTCGATATTTATACCTTACATACGCGGCCCATGATTTCCGGGTCGCCTATCAATACTGTGGCCGCCATGCCCGGCCCCTCCTCCCACAACGGCAGCGTCTCCCCGAGACAGCCGTCGCCGCCAAAGAATGTCGCATTTGAGTTGCTGTTCCTTGACTCTCCTCAATACCGTGCGCGCCTTCCTATGCGCGTGCAAATTTACCCACATGACACGACCGACTCCATTGTCACCACGGTCAAGAATTTTTATGGCCTCTACTCCGGTCGGGCTGGCTCCAAGGGCGTCAGCTTCGAGGACGACCAGGGCAACACTCTGATCGCGCGGTATGAAAACTTTACCAACAACATGATTGTCTACGTCCGCGTCATTGAAGAGTCCCCCGCTGCCTCCGGCGCCTATCCCCAGCAAAATTATCATACCCCCACCGTACCCGACGCTTACTATGAGGGCGATCGCTACCCCAGAAATAACCAGCAGGCCGATGAGGCTGCCAATGGCAGGTTACCGCGTCAGAGAAGCCAGTCTCCTCGGGCCGATGGCGCAAGCCGCAGCGGCTCCGTCAGTAGCAAGAAGAGCCGCTCTCGATCTGTCAAGAGCCACGCTTCCAATGCTCTCCACGGCGACGCGTACAGCGCGAGCGTCGATGGGTACAGTAGTGGTGACGGAGAGCAAGGCAGCGTTTCTGGCCGAAACAAGGAACAGCTCGGTACTACTGACATCAGCGTTGAGAATATTGTCGAGGGTGGCCGACGCAAACGAGCCAAGTTTGAGAGCTCGGTAAGGAGAAAATTTTCCGCATCTCCAAGATGCCACCAAAGGACCTGTTGATTCTAATCTCGCATTCTTGTCAAATTATAGGAACTTCCTCTCTTTGCACCCCCTCAGATGCCGGCTGCCACCTCTAACCCGTCCGTCTCCCCGGCGCGTCGAATTGACCCCCGGGCACCCTTGTCATACGTCCCACCAGGGGCCAACCCATTCACGAACCCTCGATCGCTACATGCTTCCCAAAACTACGGCAATGGCTTCCAGGCTGGCGTCTACGCAACTCCAAGCACTGAAGGCCGCCGCCACCATCGTGGCAGCATCAGCTATGGCAGCAGTGGCGCCATGGGTATCCTGCCTACGCCAGATCCCACTGTCGGCAGCTGCATGTCCGAAGAGGACAAGGATGTTGCCATTCAGCTGATGCGCCTGGGTGAAATGTCCAACATCTCGCATGGCCGCACCTCTGCCTCAACCCTGGACGACACTTTTAGCGGTCGAGCCGACAACGCCTCTTCCACTGGCGCCACTAGCGATGGGGAAAGTGAGAGCGATGACGAGCTCCCTGCGGCGCGCCGCCAGAAGCTTGACATTTCTGGTGCCTCCAAGCTTATTTACCCGACCACGGAGAGCAGCCTTACTCACGCGCAGACCGAGTACAGCAGTGATGAGGGCGACCATGACGAGAACAAGTCTGGCCAGGTCAAGCCCAAGCCTGCCACAAAGAGCAAGCCTACCCCTTCCATTTCCAAGCCACCGCCCAAGCCTAAGACGCACAAGCCATCCAACAGCTTGAAGATGAAGAAACCCCCAGTGCCTAACAATGTGCCCATGTCGCCGGCCTCTGCTCCGCACTCGCGGAAGCCTTCCATCGCTTCTGCCAGCGGCCTGCCTACGGGTGGCGAGGACGATCAGCCTGACCTGTCCACGAAACCGCGCTGCCAAAGATGTCGCAAGAGCAAGAAGGGTTGTGATCGCCAGCGTCCCTGCGGCCGCTGCCGCGACGCAGGTCTGTCGGCCGACCAGTGCATCAGCGAAGATGAAGGCAATGGCCGCAAGGGCCGCTATGGGCGCCACATGGGCGTGCCCATCAAGAAAGACGATGTTCCTATTCCGGTCCCGCCGATCCTACTTCCAGCTGCTCCTATTGCTCCGACCATGACTGCAGTAGCTGTGGACAAGAACAAGAAGCGGAAGAGGTAGATGCGTCTGAAGAGGCACTGTCGAAATCATGGCAGCCCATGCCTGTCTTGACGAAGCGACGCGCTCGCTTACTCGGCACCTCTATCAGGTTCACACTCTGCAAACCGCCCGCATAGTTAGCGGTACGAAGCTACGTCTATTTGTTACAGTTTTGATTTACTTTGCTCTCCCGATTTTTCGCGGCGCGTTTGATATATGGCGCGAAAAGGATGTAATTACGGCGGCCTTTCGACAAGGTCACACTACGCTCCCTAGACTGGCGTTGGGTTCACTTCAGGAGTTGATTTTCTGCGTACTCTTTTTTTATTACTTTTGCTTTGGTTTTGATGCGCTTTTGGGTGAAGTTGGCTGTGTTTGCCACCTCTTTTGCTACAAATCGCAAGGACGCCCTTTCAAGGACTGCCGAGATGGGACGATGAAGGAGACAAAACGAATGACAGGGATAGAAATGGAAAAGGGGTGGGAAAGGGGAGAAGAAAAAAAAGACTCTTTACCAGGCAACAAAGGCGCAGTGACGAAGAGAGGAACAAGGAGAAAAATAGGCTGTTGCGCGTGCTCGCGCGAAGGGAGACAGCTACAGAGAGGGTGAAGGGGAGAGAGTATTCTGATGCTTGGACAGTTGTACGCTCTGGTAAGCGCACGATGCTTTTTTGTCGGAAAAGCAGTCGCGCGACGTGGCACAAAATACGGTGACGTCGCGCACGGTGAGCCGAAAGAGAAGAAGGATTCAAACGTCGGTCAGGGCTCGCACGCGGTTCTTTTTGTGGTGTGTGTATCTGTTATTTCTGTCTTTGATCCGTCCTCGTTTTTTATAACTATGAATACGTCTCGAAAGGGTGAGAGGAGTCTTTCTCAACCCGAGGTCTTTGGGGTTGGCGGTCTCTGGAATTTTTGTCCCGTTTTGGTTTTTGCCTTTTGTTATTCTTCCTTCGCTTCTGTTCTTGCCTGCATTGTTTCTTTCTCCTTCAATCGGATGTTTATTGCGTATGCTTATTTTAGCTGCTCTCCTTGTTCTCGTCCCTTTTTTCAACCAAGAATTCGATTTTTAGTATGGAATGTTTTTGGTTTGGTTCGCTCGCGCGCGCAGAAGCGAGAAAATCCAGGAGGCGTGCGCGCGGCTACTCTTTTTCTTATGTATTTGTGAGGCTTTATATATCTATTCCAACTGACATTCTTTTTCTTCCGGGTCCCCTGGGGTCGTGCGATTGTGAGAAAGGGGAAGTGTGCGACACACAAGTTTTAATGCCCGCGCGGTAAACCAGGGGGGGGGGGGCGCCTTTCGCGATGCCAGCACATGCGACGTTGCCCCTGGTTTTGATACCCGCGCGTGCGGAATGCAAAAAAGTAAGCAGCACCACACGATGCGCCCGCCCGACGCGACACCGTTTCCGACACCGAAACGCATGCGCCGGCGCTTCGGGGCGGTGTTGTTGATCACGGCGCAAGAAATGCAACTCCATTCGGCGCGAGACTTAACCCGTTGGTACGACCTTGTTCTTTTTGGTAGCGGGGTTCGCACATTCGCGCGCGGGGCCCAAGGTACGTACCCCCGCACCATTACAGGTGGTTTTGTTTAGGCCGGCTTGATCCGGGAAAGCCGTTATCGTTATCGACAAGGGGAAAGCTGTGTGGGGCCGGCCGGCTTCTTGAAAACTGCCTGTTTGGGAAGTCACGTGTGAGATCACGCCAGTTGGGGTGGCTTCGAGGCGGTGTGTTTTGGGGTTACGTCATTTTTGGGGCGGATGGGGATATCTCCACCCCGCTATTTCCCGTTTTGGAGAGAAGCGGGTTGGGGGAAGGAGAGGTATAGGGTAGGTAGGATGTTAGGAGAAGACGTTTTTTTCGTTGGAGAGAGTGCGATAGGAATGTCGCAAAAATATACGGTGAAGTGTCGTAGCAGTGTGAAATTAATTCTTGAAGGGAGTATGGGCGCAGCATAGCTAGAGGAAGGGGGGAGGTGTTGTGAAGGTGTTGGCGATTTATACACGCAGAACTGGACATCATACGATTGGATAAGAACTCGGTCACAGGGAATCTAGTACTGATGGATGTACACCTTCATGCCACCGGTGGGAAGATAACAGATCAGAACCCCCAGCTAAAGAAAACACGAGCTCGCATATTTAGCGCGTCTGGTCCTGGTATGAGCTCATTGACTGCTGACCATATCCTGGTGAGGATCGTTCGTCCACGACGAGACGCGAACGCATCACGTGACAGCCGTTGCGTACAACGCCCCGACTTCAGCGCCAAAGAGAAGAGCGGAGGAAAGTTGGCCAGTTGATTCTGTTCTAGGTCTTTGGTATAATGGAGGAGTTGTTAACGACAGAGACTCCCCGCCTCTCGGGCGAGAAGGGCTGGTCATTCGCAAACACTCGCCCGGCGCTGATGGCAGCAACGTGATTTGTGTGCAAGTGAAGACGTCAAAATAAATTCTCGCAGCCTCCGCCATTTGCCCAAAACATTAAGGCAAGACAGGGACGAGGGGGCGAGCATGCAAGCTCACCTTTAACGTGGACGGCGTAGGAGTTTTCCTCTCCTGCTCGATGCCAGAGTGCACGAACATGGTAAAGAAAGAAAACCCGCTCGGGCACAGCTATCATCCCCGTCGACATTGTAACGCATGCCCTGGGATGCGAAAGCTCCTCCAGCCTCGTCGTGGCCGATTATCTCGTATATGCGCATTCGCCCCGCGCGACGCATGGCGGATCCTGGAATGCGAAACGCCACAGCGGCGTTCCTGAGCTGGCCGTTCTTTGAACGAAGAGGGGGGCTCGAGGACCGCTGCCAACGACAAATGATGGGACGTGGCATGGGGAGGACATCGGCGGGGTAGGCGGGATGATGAGGGCAGTTGGCGAATCTTCAATTCGGCTGCGCCTCGATCCTTGCGTCTGGTGGGTAAGAGCCGATGGTGATTCGGGGACGAGCTGTGCCGCGAGGAAAGCTTCAGGGCTGCAATATCCAAGGAGAAAAGAAAGTCTCGGTGCGATGACGCGGTTGAGAGCTGATGAGTCGGGCGGACAAAGGTTGTGTAGGTATGAGTGCCCTCTTTCACTGAAGCCGTAGTAGAACCGGACGCCTGGTTCTCAATCTGATGCTTTCATCAGGTTTTCAGATGCCAAATCTGCGGCTTAGTTCATTTCCTTCAATTTTCGACGACAAAGTGTGCAACAGAATGGGACATGATGCCCACAAGGTCTGGTGTTAAATTGGTCGTTTGGACAAAAAGCTTCCAACGCTGTTTTCCTTCCCTGTAGGTCGAAACCCCCCTGCTTAATGCCAATCAGAGCTTGTCAACTGCCTCTTTTTAATTTCGGCGCAGAATGCCACCATGGCTTAGTCGTCCATTTGCCGACCGAGGGCATATTTTTGACGTCCTCCTGCCCGAAGCCGTTGGAACCTGCATCTCCTCCCGCCCGTCTTCTCGGCTGATGACATCAAAAGTCCGTTGTCTTGCTAAGGCCCTGTAGCAAAGGTGTGACTGAACCCCTTCCGACACGTCGATTCAGCAAGTCTCAGACAATAAAAACGAACATGCTGCGCGCTTCTTGGCAGAAAGGTAAAGAGACACAGGCAGAGAAAAAACAGCAAGTGATCTGCGTTGATCCTGACCGTAATCCCGGTCAATGTTCGACCACACAGACGTGGGCCGGGGGCCTTTGCTGTTACGACGTTGCAGGTAGACCGAAGGAGGGAAAAAGCGACATCTTACATGTTTTTCTTTCCGAAAAACGATAAGAAGACAGGTGACACTGGTCTGAGAATGATGCCGAATGGCAAAGTCTGAGTCGCGGTCAGGAGCACAAGCCAGGAGCTCTGCGGTTGACTGCTTTATCGAGTCATTGTATGCGTCATATATACGAGATGGGCTGTATACATGATGTAGAGATATACACGAGGATTTAAGCAAATAAGTAGATACACGAAAATCTGTCGCTTTGCATCACAATGCTATCAGGTGGGTTTGCGCATCACTTTAGGCGTAACTCGGCAAGTACGCGTCGTACAAGAGTAGCAATTTGCGCGCCATCCTGCCACACAAAGTCATGCTCGCCATGCAAGTCGCTGACGACGGTGGGCTGGAAGCCGTCGGCGGTGAGCTTCTCCGCCATGGCTGCCGTCTCGGCCAGATCGAGCAGGCCGTCGTCGGGCGAGATGGCAAGCCACAGCGGCGTACCGTGCGGCAGGAGGGGCTGCGCAAAGGAGTTTCGATACTGCGCGGGAGAAGCATCGACCCATACATCCTTGTCGCCACCAAAGGCGTTGCTGATGAAGCCGGCGTAGTTGCCGTCGTAGCGGCGATTCAAGTTGACAAGGTCGTAGATGCCGGAGATGCCAATGATGGCCGCGGGCTTGGGCAGAGGTGTGAGGAACGGCATCTGCCACTGCGCATTGCTCATGAGCAACTGGAACGCGAGCATGGCCCCGGCCGAGTGGCCGATGAGAATGTACTTGTCACCGAGGTCGTATCGTTGGTTGAGAAATTCCATGGCCGAGCGCACATCGTGGAGATGGTCAGGGTGCTGTGCGGTGCGTTGTTCCGCGGACGGCATCTGGTCTATGCACTGCGGGAACTCTTCTTGGTATGGCGACAGCCGGTAATCTATGCTGATGAATCCACGGACCTCATCCGGGAGATTGCCCGCAGTCATCAGATGCCTGATTGAGGGAGCAAAATCAGTTGGCTTGTTGCGAGGGTCTCGCCATGCTCCACCGTGGATGAATCTTTGGTGGTAAACAGGAGTTAGTAGAGGCATTTTTGGAGCATATTGTTGACGGCACGACCAGATACGTACATGAGCCAGTAGCTAGCACAGGGCTTAGCAGGCTTGCGCTGCTCCCAGACACCGATCCGGTGGAGGTTGTGCTTTCCGTAGCGAAGATAGGAAAATTCAAGGTCTGGGGCGTCATCGCGGATGCCGCCAGCCTTGTGGCCCTTGCCGATACCCATGCTGGTTGTCTCTCAAGATTGGCGCAACAGCCTGCTCGGTATATCGGTCCGTGCCCTAGCGCCCAGCAAGTAAAATGAATGTTAGGGAGGCCGGGAAGCAAGCACGCGATGTGAGATTCTAGCGGATTGGACGAATCTTGCTGGATCGTTCTGCGAGGGGTGCTTTTTTCATGTGGCGACAGCCAGTGGGCGACTAGGCCTGAGTCATTTAGCGCAGCGCCTGCAGAGGCCGACAAAGCTGTGTTGGGGTGTACGGGTATCGCGATGGATTTTTGGATAAGAGATGAGTGGCACTTTTCAAAAGAAAAGAGAATTAAAGAAGGGAGAAAAAACTGTGGCCCCCAAGAATCAGAAGCGGGCATTTATCTGGGTTGTAAGGCTGGCTGGTCGGCAGTACCGTGACGCGGGCATGACGATGTCGGCTGAGGGAAAGGTGACAAACGAAGCAGGAGGCGGGAGAGAGCAGGCAAGTCTGGACAGGACGCATTTGGACATGCGGGAATGAGCAGTTGATTCGAACACCATTGGCAGGCAGCGTGGTGGCTGATGTTGTTTGCTAGTCCAAACTAAATGCACTCTTAATACAGCGAGGAGGCGCGTGACCTGTCGGCAGAGGGGGACGACTTGCAGCTAAACCGAGAAATTGTCGTACGTAACTTGGTAAATAAAAGGGGTTCCTCGTGCTGTTGTTGTCATCTCCGGCATATTGTCGCGACGCTTTATTAGAGTTGACCACCGTCTTCGAACCAGTCATAGCGTACCGTACAAGCGTCCGATTCTAGGCGGTAGTAGAGTGGTGTGCAAGCCTACCTTCATGAGGCCGAGGAAAGAATAGCGATGAATCGACTGGACGCTAGCCAGTAGGTCAAAAGTCTACCCATGATACGCTGGCTAGATTGGTTTGCTACCACGTTTTTCGACAATTTGACGGCCCGTGTGTGTGCAAGGGTCCCACGAGGGAACAGGGCATTGATACTGCTAATTAAGTTGGAATTATTCGGAGCTGTCAGATTCGAGGTGGCAGATTCATTTACTGTTGCTCTACCTCGAAGGTGCTTGATCCGAAGTTGTCGGCTGCGGACGCGAGCACTACCCGAATTGTAGGCGTGCTGCCTTTACCATTGGGAAGACACCGAGAGGGCGTTTCCAGCTTCGCCGCCAAGGTAACACGTTTTACCCCTGCTTGCATATTTGTAAAATACCATGGCCTTGGCGTTTGAATCCCCCAGAAGGGGGGGGATTGGTTCGCAGGGACCTGCTGAAGATGTTTGGTGAAGAGATTGGAAGCAGTGGCTGGAGCTGGCCTGGGCCCTGGACGGTGGCTGGTGACAGGCGCCACCTGTCTTATAGCGCTTCCTGCAGCGGGTGGCTACAGCGGACATTCCCTGCGCCACATGCACCTTACAGTGCTCCGCCACAGCGCTTTTGGCGGCCACCACCGAAGCCTTGGAGCGCTGTAATAAAGCAAGGGGCAGTTGCTGTTTCTTCCTGCCCTTCCTTCTGCCTGTTGGTCGCCGTTTGTCATGGCCTCACCCAGGCTCGAGAACAAGGTATCTCCATGCCTGCGACAAATAAGCATCATCCCCCGAGTTTCATCAACATTTTCTCGACTCCCATATAATGCCTATTTGCATTTTTGTTTGTCAACTCTAAACGTTAACACCAGATGGCACATGCAGGACTCCCGCGGTCGCCGTTGTCTGAGGACAAGCTGGCGACGGAACTGCGGCAACACATCACTCCGTTCCGACACCAGAAACTGTCATCTCTATAGTTTCCATGGCTGCTCGGGGATCCTCTCGCTGATGTTGGCCCAGGTCATAGCTGCTGGCCAGCTATTTTCCCGGGATGAGCCACGATGCGCTGTCCGTGCAAAAGGCCGCGTGCGCCACTCCCGGCACACAAGGTGTTATCGAGATGGTCAAGGCACAGAGTTCTGGCACAAGTCGATACCGAATTGCTGCCGTGCATGCATCACAGTCATCCCTGGCAAGCGCAAGCAGGGCTTGATGGTCCATGTTCCGAGGAAAACAGAGGAAAACAAACATCTTAACAAGCCTCATCGCTTGTGATGTGACTCGCATTCGGTGATCAATCAGATCACTGTCGAAATAACCCTGCCAGTTCACGGCTCGCTACAACCTTGCACCTACCTCTCGTCTGTGCGTATGCGCGGGCGCGAGTCCGCCGTTCCGCTTGCGCTGGATACCATGAGATTTCGTCCCCGATTAATTGAACGACCCTGGCAAGTCGCTGCTCTGCTCTGTCTCAGAGTCACCTGTCAAACTCCGAACCAACCCCTGGCGCCTCTTGCTCGATACGAAATGGATAGACCACCATAGTGACACTAGACGGACCCCAGTCAGCCATTACAGCGTAGTGGTTTACCACAGTGGCTTTTGGACTGACTGGTCGTTGCTGTTCCAGGCTTGACATATACCCACTGCTATTGCGATGGCGCTTGGTGCTATTGCCATGTGGCCCAGGGGTCGTCATATTTGAGCAATAGTCACGCTTGCCATCTGGGGAGAGAGGCGTGGAGCAATTTCCGGGCCTTTCAATCTCGGGATGCCAAGCCGTCTTTCGCAGTCTGTTCGGGGAAAAAATAGTCAACGAAGTCTTGTTGCTAGGGCAGAAGACAGACATGACAGGGTGAAAGGGTGACTGTCCGCCGTCAATCAACTTGAACAATCACCATTGTACTACACCTCATGGGCGATAACATCCGCTACCAACTCCTCCGTGTTACGGAGAATTTTATGCATTCACCGGCACCCAACCCAGATCAGTCCGAAGTACAGGCACCTCCACCCAGCTCTGTACCACGCTGATACACGTGTTTCTATCCTGGATATATTGGCCTGATTTCGTGGACGTTGCGGAAGCATTGAAACCTGTCGTCGCAAAATGACCAACAAACTGCCAAAAGTTGCATCGGCGCATCTTGAGTCAGCGTATCGCGTTGGGCGCTCTAAGGGACTCGACTTCACAGCTCGCTGGAGCCGCCTCGGTTGGCTAAACTCGTCCGCCTATTCGACAACGGAGTTTCAGCCAGACGTCCAGTGTGGACCGAAGCTATTGCGAAAAGGTCAAGCAAGTTGGCAAGCCGCAGCTTTTCGTCCCACTGTTGATGGAACCTTGCGGCTACCCTAGTGGTGTCAGTCGCACGCTACCAGCGCACCGGCCCTGCGCTCAATCACAACCGGCCCGGGTTCTGCAAAGTAAGGTTGGGAGAGGCATGTGCTTCCATGTTTGCAGGTTCAATGCATGCAAGTTAGCGTATCGATTGATGTGCCCTACTTAATGCATCACCCTCTAGTGTCTAATGTACCGATTGGCCCCCAAGCACGGATAGAGAGCTCACAGTCTGCTGGCTTGGAAGAAGCTGGGCCTGATCCTGTTGGCTAGTCAAAGGTCGAGTTTGAGACATATATTGAACGCTGAAGACTTGTGGCGTTGTATCGGGACTGTCTAGTCCGTATGTGTGCAGGCTCCTATCTACTAATAATATTGCTCCAAGGACCTGCATTCATGCCAAAGCCACCACGACTCAGGAACCGCGGTACCATGGACTCACGGCAGCGTTTCAACGGCCTTTTTTCCAAATGAGGGCGTGCCACTAAACCGCCATCCTCTTGCCCCGGCAAGTCTACCCCTGTTCAAAAGAGATGCACATAATAATCACGGCTTGTGGGTGGCAGGCATCCTGGTGGCACTCATTAGTGAGAACTGAGAACCGCATCTGGCGGGCCCCTCCCTCCCAGCCCAGCCAGCCTGCATCCACATACATGCCTGACAAGGCCTGCATTGAATAATAAAAAGGATGAAGAGTGGGAGCGGAAATTCAAAAACAAGCAGAAACATCCTTTCCGCGGCTGCAGTGTGCTACGTTTGTGCTCTTGCATATTACTCACTTGATCGCTTCTCTCTCTTGGGCTCGCTCACGTTCTCACGAACTTGTCCGACTTTGAGACACCAGCAGCTGTGATAGAGTTCTCAAGCCACCATTACGGATACACGAGCGCCGATGCATTGATTCAAGTCTGCCAAGCTTTCGCGCTACTGTGTCTCTGATTTCTCATCTCCCATCGCTGGCTATGACGGCCCGCAACTCTGTATAGAAACCACCCCTTCGCCATTCCACCCCCAGTCCCGGCCCTATCGTCCCGTCTCTTTCAACCATCAACCGATTTCGCCAACTCGTTCGTCGCCTACAGCGCGCACCCTGCGCGGTTGCCAGTCCTCGCGCCCTCAGACGCAGAGCAGCGCGCAACATTCATTTCTCACCATGGCCAAAGTCGACTTGACCGAATACAATGGCGGCCGCTTGGTCGGCGCCACCATCGCTCTGCTCGTCCTGAGCTGGATCACCATCGGCCTGCGCACATATACCCGCGCCGTTATCATGAGGAGTTTCCAGTCCGACGATTGGTTGATGTTGGTCGCTCAGGTCCGGTTGCCCTGCCTTTTCGAAGCTCTCTTCCGGCATGCCGCTGACACCGAAGCAGGTCATCTTTACAGCCATGTGCGCATTCATCTTGGAAGGTGTGCGCCGGGGTATGGGAAAACACAATGCAGCTATCGGGACGGATGATGATAGAGTTGCTGCCCTCATGGTATGACCCGAACGAATTCCAATTCCAGCCAGACGTGACTAACATGACCGACCTCCTTACCTACAGTGGCAAGCCATAGCTACGATTGCCTACATCCTGGCCATGATGTTCGTCAAACTCAGCATCGGTGTCTTTCTTCTTCGACTGTCCGCCAAGAAGGTTTACAGCATCATCATCAAGATCAGCCTTGTTGTCGTCACCTTATACACCCTCGGCGTCTTTTTCTGGGATGTCTTCCAGTGCATGCCCGTCGCAAAGCAGTGGGATTACAGAATCACGGAGGGCCATTGCGCCAGTGGGCAGGACATTATCAATGCCGCCTACGCTATCAGCGTCCTCACTGTTGTTTCAGATTGGTTCTACGTACGCGATGCACCTTGACATTCTCGAAACCTATGTTTGCCATGCGACTGACACTTGCACAGGCTCTGCTGCCCATCCCGATGCTGTGGAACGTCAAGATGACCAAGCAGGCCAAGGTCACCGTTGTACTCATCCTGGGTCTTGGTATCTTGTGAGTACAAGAGCTGTCACAGAAACGACCCCTTACTGACAGCCTCACAGCGCCAGTATTGCTACACTAATTCGTGTTAAATTCTTGGCTGGTCTGACGGAGACAGACGATCTCCTCTGTAGGTGACGCCATGCCGCCACCCACTAATCTTGATGCTAACATGACTGTAGTCTCTGCCACTGATGCCCTGCTTTGGAGTATGGTGGAGCCTGGTGTGGCCATCATCGCCTCGAGTCTCGCCACTATTCGACCGCTGCTGCGCGTTCTCAAGATCCGCGGCTTTGAATCGACGCATCGCACCCGATCCACGGGGCTGTCGGCTAAGAAGCAAGGGAATTCCCTGCCAGGATACGGACCTAACGACGTATCGCTGCATCGTGTCACCGTTGTCGATTCGGAGAGCCGCAGTGAGGCGCTGGCATACGACGAGTACCATCGCCACGCCGCCGGGCTATCGTCGCATCCGCCACCGCTATCGTACAACCAGGACCCAATGCTGGGAAACAAGGTCAGCATCTCTGCTGGTGAGAGTAGCAGCAACCCGCATAACACGCGAGTACGCGGGGACTCGAAGAGTGAGGTGTATATTATTGAGGGAAAGATGGTGTCTCCTACATGGAGCCCGCGCGAATACCCGTCGTCGGACAGGTCGCTGGAGGATATCAGCGCCCTGGAAGAGCAAAGCCAAGATCTTGGTCACAGCACATCAAATGGCAATGGTCGCCGACGATGAATGAGGCAACGACGAATTGATTCACCATTGCGCAAATCGATTTTTTTCGAAATTCTTTTCTACCAGATACACGGCACGGAGTACCTGATTTTTCCCCCATTGGGATGGAAATGGGATACAGCGGTTGTTGCTAAGACGGGTTATGATTTGCCCTGAAAATGATCTTTGCATATTATTGCGGATACAGGAATTTTGTACATTGTACTATAACGATGGCTATGGCTAGAACTTTGGTTTTATTTTGCAGCGTATTGGCTACTAGGGATGGACACGGCACTTGATGTCAATATTACCTGATTTTCAACGCATGGCATGATTTGGCGTTGCACGGAATGACGGGAATCTGCGTTATTCTTGTTCACGATTGCACAAGTTTGCTGACAAGTTGTTATTTGAGCGATGCCGGCTTTTGATCTCCGGCCTACACATGTGTATCACGGCCAATGCGCAATAGAGGCACAACTCTTCGTGAAAGGGTTTACCTTGCTGACAACCCCCTTGCGAAACAAAACCCAACATTTCTCAAACTAGAGAGTGGTTACAGAACATGGATGTGCGACCCAATCGCAATATACCCATATAGAAGCAACTCGGTTTGAATCGTGAGATGGGTGGGCGAGAGAGGGGGGTGGTGCGATTCATCTATGGGAAACCAGACTATGGGGCGAAGATTCTCCCTCTGGGCGCATCTCTTGGCATAATTGCGTAGCTTGATAAAGCAAAACATGTTATTAACTAGTTAGTCAATAAGCGAGTCGGCCCCTGCTGCGGGATAGGAACGGCGACATGGTCGTCGACTTGGGTATTGCTTGTAGAAATGGAATGGGCGAGAAAAAGCCCTTGCATTGAAGCACATCCCCACACGGTGTGGCTATTAGTGGGAACGCTTTTCTGACAGCTTCCCTTTCTGGGAACATATAATAGTGATTCTTTTTTTTTTTTTTTTTTTGGCAGGACGTTTTTGCCGTGGGCAGTGTTGTCATGGCATAAAAATGAAAGAGGAAAAGAAGAACGCCCGCGCGCTGTGAGAAAGAATCGGGCGGCGCCCGCCGCCTCATGCAAGACCCGATTAAATACAAAAAAGATTCCACACCAACCTGGAAAGAAAAAAAAGAGGCATAGAAAAGAACAACAACTGCGCGCGGAGAATTGTCCCCTTTCGAGTCCTCCCGACTACTCGGACAGCGCAATATCGCGCTGGGTCCCGCGGCCCCCCTTGCCTGTGCGCCTCAACTGGACTTGGGCTGAAAAAAAAAAAAAAAGAGAAGCTGGGAGAGAGCGAGAGAGCAAGGGTCTCCACGCGTGAAACGGGCTCCAGACATCAAGACAATAGCCTGCTCCGCTTCTTCTGTTCCTTCTTTTCCCTTCGCTAGAACCCTTGTTCTGCCTTTTTCAAGGAAGGGTTGGGGCTAGAACTCGGAAAACGAGAGAGATCCTAGGCCAGGGGGGAGGCCCCCTGCCCATCTCCCTCCCCCACAAGCCATCCTTTATGCTCAGCTTCCGAATCCCCTGAGCATGTGTGTTCCCCGCAGCTGAAGCCTGGCCATCAGGAGGCAGGGGGGGAGGAGGAGGAGGAGGAGGAGGAACAGGAACCAGAAGCAGGAAGAGAGGAAGAGGAAGGCCGGCACGGAGACGAAAGTGGAAAGACGGGAGTTGTCTGGCGCAAGCGAGAGCTTGCGACGGCAGCGTGCCCTGGAGATGGCGAGGGAAACGGTTCTGATTCCCGTCGTATCGAGACTTCGCCGCCAGGGCTGCTGCATGTGCGACCAACAAGATCGCCAAGAGCAAACCGAGAGAACGCGTCTCGTTCATGATGATGCCAAAATCTGTCTTCGTAGTCGTGAATCTTCTTTTCTTCGTAAAGTCCTTCACAGCCTTTCCTACGCCGCCTCCAGCTCCTCCGGCGGGACCTCCAGCTCCTCCGGCGGGACCTCCAGCTCCTCCGGCGGGACCGCCAGCTCCTCCGGCGGGACCGTCCAGTCCTCCTCCTCGCTCCAGACCGGCGCCACCGTGAAGCGGCCCATGATCTTGCCCATGCCCACGCAGTCGCCCCCCGTCGCGCGCGCCGCACCACCGCCGACCGCCGCCGCCTTCTCGTCACTCTCCTCCACGATGACCGCCGTCGTCAGGAAGTTCATCCCCGCCGCCGGGCTCATCTCCAGCACGTGCCCGCCCCAGTCGAGCTCGACCCGGCCGGAGCGCCGCACGTGCAGCCGGCCGATCATGCCGCCCTGCGAGAGGAACTGCGACTTGAAGCCGTGCTTGAGCTCCGCCTGCGCGCGCTCCTCCTCCGTCTCCTCGTCCTCGTCGTCCTCGTCGTCCTCGTTTTCGTTGGTGAGATCCACGGCTGCTGCGGGGATGTCGTTGACGCTCAGCCCCGCCGCCGCCGACGTCTCCGCCTTGACCGCTGCGGGAGGCGCGCTGCTCGACTCCTTCAGAGGAGGCATCAGCGGCGGGAACTGGAACAGGTACAGCCGGCCGTCCTTGTTGGCGAGCACGGGCGCGGACTCGGTGTCCACGGCGACGGCGCCGAGTTCCCGCGCGAGGAGGTCCAGGTCGGACTGGATCATCTTGCTCTCCGGGTCCTGCGGCAGGGCCTTCTTGACCTTGGTTGGCGCCGGCGCCGCGGCCGCCCGGTGCTGGTCCTCCATCTTGGGCACCGCCTCCAGGTCGACGTCCATGGCGTCATCGTCCGTCCCGGGCTCCGCCTTGATCACCGGCTGCCGGCCCTTGGGGCCCCAGACACCCTCCTCTGCAGGCTGCTCCTCGAGCGGCAGCGTCCCCGGGTCGCCGTCCACCCAGAGGCTCCCCTCCGCCTCCTCCTCCTCCGCCGCGCCGGTGGCGTTCTCCTTGGCCTCCAGCTCGGCCGTTGTGGCCACGACGATGCCCGCCTCCTTGTGCTCCTTGCGGTAGATGCCCATGGGCATCTTGCTTGCGTCCTTTGCGCTGAGTGCGGCGATCATGGCCTCGTCCTCGCTGTCTAGCTCCTCCTCCGGCGACATGATGTGTAGCTTGTCGGCGTTGATGCGCGCCTCTCGGTAGATGTCCCGCCCATGAGCAAAGCTGTGGCCCTTGGAATCCGACTTGATCCCGCGGCCGCCGAAGCCGCCGCCACCACCACCAACGCCGCCGGAACTCCCACCAAACCAGCCGCCGCCGCCCCTGCTTGGACCTGTTCCTTCCTGCGTTAGAGTCCCATCTTGTTCACGTAGCTGTGCTGTCCTTTTGCAACTGGGTAAGCAGACTAACCTCCAATGCCGGAGGAGAATGGGCCGCTGGCGCCGGAAATTATGCGCCCGAAGCCACCTCTCCCCATCGTGTCGCCGCGACTTCGTTTGCTGCGGAATCGTGAGCGCCCGCGAGCTTTGCGCTCCTCGGCGGCGCGCTCGCTCGCCTTCTTCTCTTCCTGACGCGCCAGGCTATCTCGCTCGGCCTCGTTTCGACGGACATTCTTGGGTAGGAATCGCGCCACGGCCGGGGCCCGTGTCGCTCGTGTCGTCGTCGTACCACCTCGCCGCGCGGGCGTCGTTTCGCTCGAGGTCGCGGCTGGTGCGTCCGTCGGGGTTGGCGCTGAGGCAGCCGCATCGGTTGCTGCTCGTTCGGTGCCGGCGCTGGCCGCCCCTCTGCGGGTGCCGCGCGCTGTTGCTCTTCCACGAACCATGTTGAGGAGAGGATGTGTAAAAATAAAACCTATTGCGCAAATAGGCAGGCAGCTGTGGAAGAGAGCAATTGAAGCTTTGTGAAGCTTTAAAAATTTGGGCGGTGGAGTGAAGAAGTTGGTGGGGCACGAATTCTGCCGCTGGTGGGTGAGCTGGATCTGGCAGCATCATCAAGGCGTTGGAGATTGCTAATAATGCTTAACGCCGGTGTCATTGAGGTAAAAAAGAATTGAAAAAGAAAATCCATGGAAGGCGGCGAAAGTTTCTATATTCGAGTAGAATAAACAAAAAAGTCTAGAAATGTAAAAAGGTAAATCAAACTGTGCTATCTTGCTATCTACATACATACATACATATAGCTGTACTCCATGCCGGGTATCAATGGGAGAGGGATGCGCACATGCCCAGAAACTATCGAACACACATCAAGGCATCCGCTCCGAAATTGGCCTCGATGCTGCCCTCTCTCAAGAGCATCGACCCTATCCATTCTCGGCCCGCCTCCACCTCCGGAGCCGCAAACTTAACCACGACGCACCCGCGCACGCTCGCCGCCGACCACAACACCCCCTCCTCCGTCTCCATGTCGATCCGGTCGGCACGCCACCGCTCCAGCTCCGTCATCTTGTCGTCCTCCTCCCTGCGGGCCTCTGCCGTGCGAAAGTCCCTCGATCCCAGCCGTGGGAGCGCCGCGAACTCGGCGAGGAAGAACTCGCCCAGCGGCCGCATCAGCTCGCCGCGCAGGACAAGCGTGCCGAAGACGCCCATGCCGCGCATCACCCCGCGCAGAGGCCCGTCGCCCGACGCGCCGCCGTCGCCGGCCAGGATGACCTTGTCCCGCACCAGCAGCCTGTCCCCCTCGCCACCGCCGTCACCCCCCCCCTGAAGCCAGACCTCGTTGCGGCCCGTCCACTGGAAGAGGCTCCAGTCCTCGCCGCGCGCGGTGCGCCCGCGCGTGACCCAGTCGAGCAGGCAGAGCGATGAGTCGGGCCGCAGCCGAAAAACCTGCGTCTGCGCGTAGACGCTGTCCGCGAAGGGCTGGACGGGGTCCGGCAGGAGGCAGAGGGCGGCGCCGGCGCCGTCGAGGTCGACGCGCATGGCCTGGCTGGTCAGCACGGCGGGCGAGGGCGACTTGAAGACCTTGGTGTGGCCCTGGGTGACGAGGCTGAGGCGGGCGCCGGCGCGGACGCGCACGGCGAGGTCGACGGAGTCCCCCCCGACGAGCCCGCCGCCGTAGGAGAGCAGGAAGACGAGGACGCTGCGCTGGTCGCTGGAGGGCGAGGGCGCGATCAGCTTCAGCGGGTACTGGTACCGCATGACCTCGAGCCCGGTGCCGCCAGAGGGGAGCGGCCCGGCGACGATGCGGCCGCCGCCGGCGGTGGGCGTCGACTTGGGGAAGGGTGAGGCGGCCATGTCGACAGGGCCGGGGTGCTTCCGAGGGCAGATCTTTTCAAGTTGACATTCCGTAGCGAGTTGGTGTAGATGAGAATGGGACGCTCGGTGGTCTGGAAAGGCCAATCAATACATGCTGGTTAATAGTGCTGGTTGATGGTGCAGATGCGAAGCCGGGGGGCAGTAAATTGACCTTGACGCGCCGGTTACCTGTCTTTTCAGCAGGGTCGACCGCCACAACTATGTACATACTAAGTAGGTAACTGAGGTTACAGTGGGTGTCACTGTATTTCCAGCACAAAGTGACCAGTTGGACTTGTTGCTCCGTCGAGAAGGAGGACAAGCTCCGTCGTATCTGATTACAATGCTGTACATTGATCTGCTATGACTACACACCATAGATCAACAAATGCCTTGACTTGACGCTTTATCACCATGACACGGAACATTGGAGAGTCGCCCGAAGTATTTTCTCAAATAAGCCACTCCCTCATTACTAAGGCAGAGTGCCCGAGTGGCCCAAGGGGTTGCACTCGAAGAACCGTGGGATTCAATGTCAAAATCAGCAAGTCCTGATTTTTTTTTCAAGTTTGACGTTTGACATGCAATGTGCACCTCAGCCCAAGTTGGGAGCAGGCACACACCATCATGGCCAGCGTGATGGCTGTTACCACAGAATTCCTCATGGCTGAACATTCGCTGCATGTCTAGGAGAGTGTGCTATCCACCCAAGATTCAGCCCAACACCATCTCAGAATCCATCCAGAGCTTCGTTCGCCTCTAGCTGCTTGGATAGACGACCCGGCGTTCGGTATTACCGGACGAGGCTAAAGCTGACGCCTCTCGGGGTACGCTACTAGTACACGAGCCAACGAAAGCCGGTCTGCCGCCATTTCGTCACCAGATCGCGACACCTGAACCCCCCCCCTCAAAAACTTCCCCTTCAAACACGGCCAGTCCCGAAGCCTCCGCTCTCTCCTCCCTCTTTCCTTTTTTTTCTTATTTCTTCGAAAAATTCCGCGACAAATGAGTCCCTGTCGCATTTACGGTCCTTCCCCCCGGATTTGCTGATTCTACTACACGGCGTCGGCCAAAAGGGCTAACGAGCCAACATCCTGCTGCACCAAGGTTGAGAAAAAAAAAGAAAAACAAAAGGGCCCCAGGCAGACCTCGTTAACGCAACCATGGCTGTCCATGGCTTCCTACCGCTCGTCTCGGCCGTCTTTGGCTGGATCTACTTCACCCTCTGGAGCCTGTCCTTTTACCCCCAGGCGCTGCTCAACTTTCGCCGGCGCTCCACGACCGGCACCACCGTCGACTTTCCCTTTCTCAACGTCCTGGGTGCGCCCTCCCTCCATATCTCACTCTCGAACCCCCCCTTGCTAATCCGTCCCGAACTCAGGCTTCTCCTCGTACTTTGCCTCCAACCTCGCGCTGTACTACTCCCGCGCCGTGCGCCGGCAGTACGCCGCGCGCAACGACGGCCTCACCCCGACCGTGCAGCTCAACGACGTCGTCTTCGCCTTCCACGGCCTCCTCCTCTCCGTCATCACCGCCTCGCAGTACCTCCTCGGCACCTCCCTCTGGCGCTTCCCCCCACGCCATCAACCGGGCACGCGCCCGAGCCGCTTCGCCACCGGCCTGACCGTCGGCGCCCTCCTCGGCGTCCTCGGCGTCTACCTCATCGTCCTCCGCTCTGCCGCCGGCCGGCCGCCGATCGACCCGGCGACCGACTGGTGCGACATCGACGTCGTCTACGCCCTCGGGTACGTCAAGCTCGCGGTGACGCTCAGCAAGTACGCGCCGCAGCTGCTGGCCAACGCGCGCAACCGCAGCACCGAGGGCTGGAGCATCTGGCAGATCCTGCTGGACCTGGTGGGCGGCGTGCTGAGTATTGCGCAGCTGGGGATTGACAGCTACCTGCAGCGCGACTGGAGCGGCATCACGAGCAACCCGGCCAAGTTCGGGCTCGGCCAGATCAGCATCTTCTTCGACCTGCTGTTCATGCTCCAGCACTACGTCCTCTATCGCAAGAAGAGCGTTGACGGGCGCGTCGGTGGCGGCGGGGACGAGACGGAGCGGCTGCTGCCGCCGGGGCAGGAGAGACGATTGGATTGAGAGAGGCGTTGGAAATGGTACATGAAATCCGACGCTGGTAGAAATTGTATATATGCATGAGAATGGCTCGTTCCACGACGACCAATCAATTAATAGAATGATGTTGATGCAAATATTTTGTGAGTGAAATAAACCTGGCGAGCCCTTCTGGTGCCTCCAGATGCTCTATATCCATCATGCTTAATTCGTACATGCGCTTTACAACCTTGCTCTAATAAAACATACTACTGGTACATTATTGTTACATGACAAAGTTGATCAGCCCTCCATTTGACACAGCAATCGCTCGCTTTGCCCGTCTAATATCGTATTGACCCTGGCCAAACTTCGCCCTTCCTTCTTCCGTAGCCAAGATCTGCTCCACCATCCAGTCCTTGAGCGCATCGCCAGCAAGAGCGCCTTCAGGCGCTGGCAGCTCCAAGTTGCCGCGCACCTTGCCGTTGATCTGAATCACGCTCGTCTGCGACTGTGGCTTCAGAACCTCCAGTGACCCGTCTGCCTCGGGAAAGCTCGCCGACTTGAACAGTGACCCCGCGAACGGGCGAAGAACGCTCCAGCATTCTTCCGCGACAGCCGGAACGACGGGTGCCATAAGCCTTGTTATGGTATCGGCTACATGCCACTGGATGATGGCGCTGGCATTCTTGGCTCCCGCGAGGGCGTTTGTAAGCGTCATCAGGTCAGAAACGATGATATTCAGCGCATACACCTGCTCGTATGCGCGCGTAATGTTACCGATGATGCGCTGCGTCTCACGCCAGAGTAGAATGTCCGCGTTCAGCTGTTTAGTCTCTCCTTTACTCAGCTTGCTCGTGCTGCCCTGCTTAGATTGCAGATAATCCAGGGCAGCCTCGGTCGGCGTAGCAGAAGCAGATCCAACCTTGACAGCAGTGTCATGCAGACGCTGCAGCCAGCGCGTGACGCCCGAAATTTTAGACTCATCCCACTTCAGCTCATCGGCGACGGGGGCCTGGAACAGCATGTGCGCACGCGTGGCGTCGGCGCCGTACTTGGCTATGAACTCGGTTGGGTCGACGCCGTTGTGCTTGGATTTGGACATCTTCTCGTAGCGCACCTCTGCGGGGCTGCCAGTGGCTACCACTTTGGGCTGGGTCACATCACTTAGATCAATCTCGTTTGGCTTGAGAAATCTTCCGTTGGTTGGGTCAATAAACGTCTTGCCATGGACCATGCCTTGCGTAATTAGGCGCTTGAACGGTTCTGCCCTGCCGGCAGTTTCCTCAGTGTATTCCGGCATCAACGATGTGCCCGCCAAGAACTTGAAGATAAAGCGCGAGTACAAGAGGTGCAGAATTGCGTGTTCAACACCTCCGATATAAATATCGACAGGCAAGGTCTTGGCTGATTCGGGGGAGAACAACTCTTTGCTGTTGTGAGGATCGGCAAAACGAGCAAAGTACCAACTCGAGTCCACAAAGGTATCCATGGTGTCAGTATCGCGGCGTGCAGGTCCCTTGCACTTTGGGCACTCGGTGTTGAAAAATTCAGGAGATGATTCCAGCGCGTTGCCAGCTTTGCCAGCCTGCCAGTGCTTCTCGACATTAGGAAGCTTCACAGGGAGGTCCGTCTCCGGTACAGGCACGCTTCCACAGCTGTCGCAGTGAATAATGGGAATAGGCGCTCCCCAATACCGCTGACGACTGATGAGCCAGTCGCGAAGGCGCCATTTCTCCACGGGGGTGGCCAGGTCGGCCGCTTTAAGCATGTTGACCAAGATCTCAACAGCGTCTTTGGAGGACTTGCCCTTGAAAGGTCCACTATGCTCTGTCATGAAGCCGTGCTCCACAAACGGCTCGGTCGAGATGACGGCAGTGGACTCATCGGGCGACTCCGCGATGACGTATCGGACAGGCTGCTCGCTGTTGTGCGTCTTCCAGAAGGCGTGATCTCGGACATCGTGGCCGGGAACACCCATGACTGCGCCTTCGCCGTAATCGCCTAGCACATATGGTGCGACAAAAACAGGCAGAGACGCCTTAGTGGCATCCGGGGTATCGTCGTTGTATGCAAGAGGGTTGATCGCTCGAAGCTGGGGAAGGACGTAGCCTACTTTGGAGTCGGGCGGTAGGGCGGGAAGGGTATCTAGGAATGCGCAGAGTTCGGGGTCTGCCTCGGAAAGTTGCTTGACTACCGGATGAGACGCCGCAAGCGCAATGTATTGTACACCAAATAGGGTATCAGGGCGTGTGGTGAAGACCTCGATAGCGGCGCCGAGATCTTGACCCAGAGCCATTATTGGGAACTTGATGAGAGCTCCAGTAGACTTGCCAAGCCAGTTCCGCTGCTGGGTGAGGACATGTTCTGGCCATGCATTGTCTTTGGAAAGCGTATCAAGTTCGCGCAGCAGATCCTCGCGATAGTCTGAGATGCGAAGAAACCACTGCTTGAGAAGCTTCTTTTCCACCTTGGCGCCTGAGCGCCAGGAGCAGCCGTTGGAATCAACCTGCTCATTGGCCAAGACTGTCTTATCGACGGGATCGTAGTTAACCTCGGCTTCAGCTTGGTAGGCGAGGCCCTTTTCGTAGAGCATAAGGAAGAGCTTCTGGGTATGCTTGTAAAAGTCGGGATCGCATGACGCAAGCTCCTGCGAGGTGTTAGAAGGGTGTTGACGGCGACGGAGTGGCTACATACGTTGCTCCAGTCCCAGCTTCCATTCATAAGCCCGAGCTGTTCCTTCATTTTGGCAATGTTGCTTTGTGTCCAGCCAGCTGGAGGGACGCCGCGCTCCAGAGCAGCGTTTTCGGCTGGGAGTCCAAAAGCGTCCCAGCCCATAGGGAGTAGCACATCGTGGCCCTTTAGCTCATTATATCTTGTAATGACATCTGCAATTGCGTATACGCGCAAGTGGCCGAGATGCAGAGTCCCCGAAGGATAGGGAAACATGGGAAGGACATATTTGGTGTTTGTCGAGCTCTGTACACGCTCTTTTTGGGTCGGCTCGTTGGCGGCGATCTCCTGCCAATTCTTGCGCCATTTCGAATCGATTGACTTGAGATTGAGGCTGTACCATCGGCGCAGATGTGGGAGTGCGCTTTTTTCGAGGATCCTGGCGCTGGTCGATTGGTTGAGCTGTTTTGACTGGTGAGCGGCGACAGCGCAGGCAAAGCGGGAGCGTAGCAGCACAGCTGCCCGCGCAGGGAGCTGCCTTGTTTGGAGAGCCCGCATTACGTTGATATCATGATAGATGCGGTGGAGCAACCCGGGAAGGGGTCCTAGGTCGGGGGCAAAGTTGGCGACTCGGCAAGATGCGATGCTGATAGAGGGTTGTGGCGAAGGGAAGCTTGGCCAGTAATTGGTACCTGAAATGAAAAATGGTGAAGCTTCTGAAAAGGGCTTAGTGGGGTGGCTGTCAACCACGAAGAGAGTACGTTTTTCACTTGTCTTGGCTGAAAGTTTAATATGATTTTTTTATTCAATACTGTAAAAAAGTATAAGTAAAAACTTACGTTTCGGCGGCTTATTAAATTCCAGTAATCTGCACGCAGTACTGTCCAAGGAAAGCACTTGATCGTCGATTATCAGATTGCCAAGGCTTTTTTTTAGTCTTGCAACATGGCGCTCCAATCGTTTGGTTGTAAGCCTCCTTCGCTTTCAATACCTGATTTTGATCAAAGGAAGATGGATTTTGTCGATGCGTCTTTCTTCGCCTTTGGTGCAGACCGGCAACTTCTTGCGCCATCGCAAGTGAGAGCCTTCTCCATGGATTTCCATACAATCTCAGATTTGGCTGACGCTGGGTATACTCACCATGCTGAATCACATTGTTTCGAAATTGGTAGCAAACAAAGCTGAGCCAACCAGCATGATTTTGCAATGGCTTGCCTCGCGTTGGCCTCCCGAGGTCTACACTTCCTGGCTTGCTGATGGAGCTTTGGCCCTGCGCCCAGGTCAACTTGCCCCTTCCGGCAGTTATTATAGATGTGCAATGGAAATCCCAAAATACGCCATTCTTACGATTTGTGAAATTCGTGCTCCCCCTTCTTCCCCTCCCCCCTGGCTCAGCATGTATCCCACTGGCCCCAGCACGAAAGCTGGATGGATCGAAGAAAATACGTTTGTTTGCCTCTAGTTCGTGGCATAACAACCCCGTGCCGATGACCCGCAGAAGCTCACGCCTCCGCCGCCGGAGCAGCAGTAGAGTGTGAGAGAAGCCACTTACACGTAGTCTCTTAGCTCAGCGCTACCATATGGGGCATCACCTGCCTAGGTAGGCAGGTCCCTAGATTGGGTATCGGCGGCAGCCTTGGGTGTCTCTTAACTCCAAATCGACAATGAGGCTCTCTTCTTGGTTGGGGGGGTCACCTGCGTCAGTGATTTACGAGATTCTTGTCTATATTCAAATAGACGGACTCGATATAAACGCACTCAGCCCGTAAGTATACGACAGGGCTTATTAGCATGTTTTAACAATATAGCAAACATTAGTAAAATCTTCTATAAAAAGCATTGCAACGTCAAGTTACTCCCTCGTATCGCTACTTAGTATCTCATCCGTCGCAGTGATGCCAGGTTGCTGTCGTTGTGGACTAGGAGCGGCCCTATTCCAGCTGCAAGTCGGTTCACAAACCCGCTCTGCGATGATCAAACGTCGAATCAGATTTGTAGCCTTGTCACCGCCAGTTTTTTTCACGTAACTCCTGGTTTGCCACATCACTTGATATGTCGGCCAGGAACTGCCTTGGCGTGAGCCCGTGCCTCCATCACCAGGGGCGAGGCCGGGTAGTTTTCGCAAATCTCGTTCAGCAATCGTTTTCGGCAGGAGCGATTGTATACAGTGGCTTCTCAACAGTCGATAACGCGCAAGCCACCTCCAACTACCAGCCGTTCGACATCGGCTTCCTAGGAGCTAGGGTTGTTGGCGATTGCCGGATCGGGAAGCTGCTCTCTCGAGGGAGGAACCTGCTAAGATCCCACGATAACATTACAGACTAAAAGCAAATAGAGACAATGACAATAGTCGTATTAGAACCAACAATAATTAGACACCGGGAGTAGTTAGGTAATTATTAGTAGACCATCAACTCGATACGGCAGTCGAGTTCCGGGAACGGACACTAGACGAGAGACATCCGATAGCTATAAATACCGTGAACGATTTATGAAATGAAATCGTCTTCTTGGATACAAATCTAATACCCTCTATAAGCCCGGCTAAGCGACTACTTTGGGCTAATCATGCAGCTCAAGCACCTTTTCCTCTCGCTCTTGGCTGCGGCTACATGCCGTGCAGCAGCAGTTGGCGGCGCTGAGTTGTGCGGCACCGCACCCCCGACCGAGGAGTTCCTTCAGGCTCACAAGGAAGCCGCGGCTGAAGAAGCTGCCGCAGCGGCTTCTGGCGATGTGGTGAAGAGAGACGTCTTCTATGTCAATACCTATGTCCACATCATCGCCGCAAGCGAGTCCCTCTCCGACGGCTACGTTGATGTAAGCCCTTGACTGACGAGTTGGAAAGGGAATGAGAGAAGGCCAATTCGACCGACTGTCAAAACTAACGAATATGATCTAGAACAAAACAGTCGATGCGCAAATCCAGGTCTTGAACGATAACTTCTCCAATTCGGGCTACCAGTTCGTCCTGCAAAACATTTCACGCTTGGTTGATAGCCAGTGGTCCGACATTTACAACGGCCAGGACCTAACCCAGCTTAAGCAAAGCCTCCACAAGGGCTACTACGGCGACCTCAACCTCTACTACTTCAGGAGTGTCTACACTGATAGCACTTACAGAACAAGCCTGACTGGCTTCTGCCCCTACCCTGACAAGATCGCCGACTGGCCCTTTTTCTACAACGACGGCTGCAGCCTCCACTTCCAAACCATGCCTGGCGGCACGTTCTCGCCCTGGAACCAAGGGAAGATTACGTCCCACGAAGTCGGCCACTGGTTCGGCCTCATCCACCCCTGGGGCAACTTCACTTCTGGCGGCTGCTATCCCCCCGGTGACTACGTTGACGACACGCCGCCGCAGGACCAGGCCGTCTACGGCTGTGACGAGAACTCCGCAAGCTGCGGGGGTAACTGGAACGACCCTATTCACAATTACATGGGCTACAATGACAAGTACGTGACCTCTCGACGATCGCACGTCCTTTCTTCTTCTGCCTCGTTGCTTTCTTTTTGCTAACCTCTCACTTGTTCAGCTCCTGCGTCAACCAGTTCACGAATGGCCAAATCACCCGCATGGCCAGCATGTACAAGAGGTACCGCACCTAAAAGTAAGCCCATGTGAGCGCCTTCGTGGTGAGGTTGGAAAGCACCTGTTGCTTTCACGTCGCGTCTCCACCGCCCAGAATGCAAAGAGGACATGTTTTGAACGATCTATCGAGTAGCAAATTATATGAAAATTAAATGAAGTTTGTAGAGTAGATTCTGGATACGCGAAACAGCCATCATAGCAACTTCCTATACCTGTTGCTAAATGCTGCCCGAAACGCGTGACCGCTAAAGAGCGCCGCCTGTGCCGCGCTCCGGTGCCGCTCAGGTGACTCTGATGAGCAGGAGCCCCTCTGGTCGCTGCGAAGTTGCCGCTGTACACACACAAGCTGCTACCTCCAACCCCTGGAACGCAGGCAGGTAATTGGCGCTGGAATTGCGTGCTAACTTGTAATCTGCCAACCCAACTGCTCCCACGATCCGACCAACGATGTTGCAGATTATTATCAACAGTTTCTTCTAACCCCGCCAAACAAGTCGTCCAGCCCCGCGTGCGTGGGGCTCACAAAAAAGTCCACGACCACCGAGGACGGCCCTCTTGAGCTTACCTTCGGCTTTCCATCTACCTTGCCGATTGAGGGGCTCCGCATTCAATTCGATCAAATTAAACCCCTCGGTCGTTTATTCCTTCTCTCGCATCTACAGCGCATTTCTCGAAACACATCCTCGTGTGAGGCCGACGACCCGAAGTCTCCAGCACCGCTGTCGCCATCCGCTTCCGGCAGCTGCAAGTCAACCCCACCATCGGCGGCGACAAACGCCCCAACGACGACACGACTCGTCGACGACCTGTATATTTGCCACGAACCTGAAAGTTCTTCTGCTACCGCAGCAGTTGGTCAGGAGCGCTGCCAAACAGGCCTGCGGCCATAGCACAACCCATTCGAAATGGAAAAGATCACGGACAAGATTGCGGCGCTGCCGCCCGACGGAGAGTACTTCTCCCTCGAGTTCTTCCCGCCCAAGACGGCCATGGGCTTCTCCAACCTGCGCGACCGTCTGAACCGCATGGAGCAGGGCCTACGCCCCCTCTTTGTCAACGTCACCTGGGGCGCCGGCGGATCGACCGCCGACAAGTCCCTCGAGCTGGCCGAGCTGTGCCAGCGCGAGCTCGGCATGACGACCTGCCTGCACCTGACCTGTACCAACATGAGCCGCAAGCTCATCGACAAGGCTCTCGACGACGCCAAGGCCCTCGGCATCCGCAACATTCTCGCCCTGCGCGGCGATCCCCCGCGTAAGGACGAGTACCGCACCGACGACGACGACGAATCCGACGCCGAAGCTGGCGAGGACTTTGTATGGGCCATTGACCTGGTCAAGTACATTCGCAGGAAACACGGCGACTACTTTTGCGTCGGCGTCGCCGCGTACCCAGAGGGCCACGCAGACGAGAGCCACCCGCTCGGGCAGTCTCTGGAGCACGACCTGCCCTACCTGGTCGACAAGGTGCAGGCGGGCGCTGACTTCATCATGACGCAGCTCTTCTTCGACATTGACGCTTACGAAAAGTTCGAGGCGACGCTGCGCCAGCACCCCAGCGGCGCATTCAAGACCATCCCCATCATGCCAGGACTGATGCCCATCCAGAGCTACGCCATGATCAAACGCACGGCCAAGCTCAGCCACGCCGCCATGCCCCCGGCCATCCTCGACCGCCTCAACGCTGTCAAGGGAGACGACGAGCGCGTCAAGGCCGTTGGCGTCGACATCCTTGCCGAGCTCGTCGAGCAGGTCCGCACCGTCAAGGCCAAGACGCCCGGCCCCAAGGGCTTCCACTTTTACACCCTCAACCTCGAAAAGGCCGTTACCTTCATCCTCGAGCGCACCAACCTCATCCCCGACTCGCCGGCCCTTGAGGAAGCCGTCGTTGACGGCCCGCTCCCCGCGTCTGCCGCGCCGCCGTCCCTCCAAGTCAACGGGCACGCCATCCCCCCTCCGCGCAGCCACTCGCGGTCCTCGCGACGGCACTCCTCGGTCGGCTCGGACCCGCACAACCGCGTCATCGTCGACAACGGCGGACGGCGTGCACCGAATCCCGCGTGGGAGGCGACCGGCGCCGAGGCGGCCGTGCCCGCCGAGGCGCTCAACGCGCGCGCCAACACGCTGGCCATCTCCGAGGGCGAGGGCGCCCTCGGTCGCGAGGCCACCTGGGACGACTTCCCCAACGGACGCTTCGGCGACGCGCGCTCTCCCGCGTACGGCGAGATTGACGGCTACGGCGTCAGCCTGCACGTATCGGTCGCGCAGGCCGTCCGGCTGTGGGGCCGCCCGGCGACCACCGCGGACCTCGACGACATGTTCGTGCGGCACGTGCGAGGGCAGCTGGCGGCGCTGCCCTGGAGCGTCGAGGAGGAGCTGCTCCCCGAGTCCTCGGCCATCACGCCGCACCTGGCCGCGCTCAATGCACGCGGCTGGTGGACGGTCGCCTCGCAGCCGGCCGTCGACGGCGCGCGCTCCGCCGACGAGACCTTCGGCTGGGGCCCCGCCGACGGCTTCGTCTTCCAGAAAGCCTTTGTGGAGTTCTTCCTGCCCGCCGCCGACTGGGCGGCGCTGCGCGACCGCCTGCGCCGCGATGGCACCCACGAGGTCGTCTGCTTCTACGCGAGCAACGCCAAGGGCGACTTTGTCTGCTCCGACGGCGCGACCGGCGGGAGCAGCAGTACGAACGCGGTGACGTGGGGCGTGTTCCCGGGCAAGGAGATTGTCACGCCGACGATCATCGAGGAGGTGTCGTTTCGCGCGTGGTGCGAGGAGGCGTTTAGCATCTGGGACGAGTGGTCGCGCGTGTACCCGCGGGGGTCGCCGAGCGCGGCGCTGCTCGGCGGCGTGCGCGACGACTACTGGCTGGTCAACGTCATCCACCACGACTTTGTGGACCAGCAGGCGCTCTGGGACCTGCTGCTCGCGTAGACTCTTGCCGGGCCTTTCCAAGGATTGGAGTTTAGTTAGGGGGAGGGCGGTGTTGGGGCTGTTCAACAGGGGAGTATGCATATTTTTTGACTGATGAGATACCAATGGAGCATGTACAAAGGTCGGGGAGGAGGGCATATTTGTTGGGAATTTTCCTGTTCCGAGATGCAAATACAACATTTCACGTAGCTGTCCCATGTGGTTAGTATGAAAGCATGTCTTATGAATGAAACGTGCTTGAAATCTGCTCCCTTGTTCCTATGCCGTTACCTGTCTGAGTATGATGTCCCCTCTGTTTTAGGCAGAGTGTGGCTCTCCAAGCAACTATCCGAAATTTCCGTTTTCTGAACCGTACCACGATTTCCATACCGTCCGTACTGTTCGTACTATCCGTGCTGTCCGAGTATTAGTACTATCTATACTGTTCGTACTATCGGTACTATCGGTACTGCCTGTCTTGTCTGTACTGTCTGTCCTGTCTGTACTGTCTGTACTGTCCGTACTATCCGCACTGTCTGTCTTATCCGTGCTGTCCGTACTGTTCGCGCTGTCCGTACTGTTCCGGTACGTTCCGTGATGAAATTTCTAAATCTGACCTTTCTTCACCTCCGTTTCCGAGAAATGACCAATTTTGACAACCTGTCGCAAAAGAAAAAGGGAAGATATCCATTGATACTAAGAGAAGAGAGCTAGGATGAAAAGATGAACTGATCTGTAGCAAATAAAGAGAGAACCAACATACACAAAGAAGATGTTGAGAATAGAACTCATGAGGTAGAAAAAATGAACCGGTTCCTAGCAAAGCAAATGGCAAGGGTATAGTAGTAGAAAAATGCAAGATGGATGGCCTGCGAAGGAAAAACGACCCTGTGGTCTCCTTGGTCTTTGGAGAGGGCTAGATCTCACCCTCATAAGGGTCATAGTCATCAAAGTACGAATTCTCCGCCGACAGGCCTCCAGAGCCGCCGGTGAGGAACTCGCTACCGGCCGTCTTCCCAGCAGTCGACGGTGGCTGCGGCCGAAAGGCAGGAACGTCACCGAACAGCGACGCGCGAGCACGCGGCGCAGCGGACGCGGCGGTGGCGAACGCAGCCGAGGGCCGGGCGCCGGCGTCGTTGCGGACGTGCATGGGCAGCGAGCCCGGGCGCGCACGCGCTCCAGCTCGCTCCAATTCTGCGTGGACTCGGAGTCCCCGTCGTCGTCGGACTCTACCTTAACGGCGGCGGTGGAGCGGCTGCGCTTGACGGTGCGGCTGCCGCCGGTGCTGGCGCCCGAGGCGGGCATGCTGGCGACGCCGCGCGAGCGAGGCGTCTTGGGCGTCGAGCTGGGCGTAACGGTAGAGGCGGTGCCGGCGGCGCTGGCGGAGCCCAGATCAAGGCAGGCCGAAGGGTCGCCACCGCTGTCAGCAACGGCGCGCATCTTATCCGCGTCCTTCTTGATGCTACGAAACTGGAATTGGATGCCGTCCGCGGTGGACTGGCCAAAATACTTTGCAATGTCTGTGAGTGAAATTTTTTGGTTAGCCTCTTGGTAACTCTCAAAGCGGTGTTTTGCGTAACGTCGGCTGATGGGCCAGCTCAGTCGCAGTCCAGGTTAAGAAAGCATTCATTGGCGGGCGTACTTTGCTTATCTACGGCACCAACAGTCTTGGGCAGAGAGGATTCATCCGTAGTGAGATCCTTCACGTCAAGGTTGGCCTTGCGCCCTTCCATGATGATCTCGCTCTGTGCCCGAATGTGCCGGAAGCGGTGGTTGAGGGCATGCTCTGTCATGTCTGAGCCGTAGCAGGCAGCAATTTCTGCCGAGCAACAGTCAATCACTTAGACATCTCGTTTCGGACCCCGATGCTCGTCGCGCAGACACAGAGTGCTAGGATTATGCAACAGTGCGATGAGGGTAAATGGAGCGCAAGGATAAGAAAAGAAAAGGATGTATTACCTTTGTAGTTCCATTTGGTTGTCGGATGAGCCGCGACGATGGCGCGAACCAGACGGGCCTGGGCCTCGTAGGACTTGTAGTTTGCTTTGGAGGCTGGTGCCATGATTCTATCGATAGAGGTTAGCAAGTTGGGATAAAGCCGGCCTTGGGAAGGACGTACGTTTGTTGTTGGTGATGGTAGCAGAGTAGTAGAGTGGAATTGGATCTGCGGGAGGAGAGGGTTAGATGATGAAGGGGAAAGGGGGGGCAGATGGCGAAGATGAGATGTTTGAGGGTGGTTGTATATGTAAAACTTTGGCATCTGACGTGGCATGCAGTGGTGGCAGCTGGCGGCTGTTTACAAACGCCGCGCTCAAGTAACTAGCAGTACAAGAGTTGAATTATTTACTGATAGGCTTAGCCAAAGAAAAGGGCCAGCCCTTGCTGGTAGCCGGACCAAGGACGGGCGTCCAAACAAAGGGAATCAAGACCAGCATGAGAAGGAGAAACTTGCCTGGGAGTATGTTTGATATGAAGCTTGACAATGAAAAGCGGTAGATACGTTTGCCGATTCCAAACAAATCAGGTACAAAAGGCGAGAATTTGCAAACGGAGAAGAGCACTCGATGACGAGGCGATTCAGAGCAGCCGTTTGTGTGCTCCTTTGCTAGCCTATCTTCCAAAAGCCGAGGGCATCGACGGCGTGTGAACCATTCGACAAATCAATTAATCTCAAGTATCCGATACTTTGGCGACTGAGGCTCAAGCTGTTGGCTCGTTTGGGAGGAAGTGCCACAAGCAAACTAGCAGCGGCTCGTCCCGCGGACGGGAATCAGCGGGAAATGGATGGCTTTTTTTCGTAGTGTTGAACACTATTAGCCGCCCATGCGCAGACCACAAATAAGCGATAGGTCGAAAAGGATTTCCTTCTCCCTCTTCTTCTTTTGGCAGTCGGAATTGGAAAATTGAGTCGCAAAGGCTGAAGCTTATCGCCGACAGAGATCAGTGAGGATTTCGTAGGCAGCGCAGGGTGTGTGGAAGTGAGAAGTCAAGTGGCTGGGCGGGCTTCTCTGGGTCGAGGTGCCGTTTGGTGCAGATGGGATAGGCGACTACAAGAAAAGTGAGCCGCATCTGCGCCGCGACGCGACACCACAGTAAGAAAGCGATTATAATCAAAAGCCTTAAACTATGCTATACGTGTTGTATTCAATTTTTCATTTGATGCAAATTTCCTGAAGTACGCCAGTGTATCTTGCAACCCATCTTCGTCCCCCGTGGTCCCTCATTAACAAGTGCTAACGCCCAGCTCGCTTCAACTGAGAACGCCAGGGCAGATCTAACCAAGGCGAATCTATAGGTAACTACCAGCTAGTAGTGACAATGATGACAGTACAAGAGAAAAATGAAGAAGAAAACGCGCGCCAAAAGTTAACTCACAATGCCCAATTCCCCAAGACGCCGATTCTGATTATAAATTTTATTTTCCATGACTTTTTTTTGCTTTCACTCGAGAAATCTCAAAGGGCGCATAAGCACGCAGTGGATGAAAGCAGGGGAGCCGCGGCAACATGCCAGCTTGCCTGAGCCAGTCGACAGGTCGCGTGGGACCTCTATTCCGCATCGTCGTCGCTGAAAGGCGCAGGTCGTCTCGTGGGCGTGATGCTCCTCGTGGGCGCGTGCATGGAGGGCTTGTGGTCCCAGCCGTTCTCCTGCATCTGCTGCATCTGATGATACTGGACGCCGTGATGGCTGCCGCCGCCGCCGGCGCCAAACCCGCTCGACTGGAGCAGCTGGGCGCCGGCCTGGGTCTCGAAGAGGAAGTACTGCAGGCCGAGCAGGCAGTCGCAGCTGGCCTGGAAGACGCCGCAGACCTTGAAGGCCCAGGGGATCTCCGAGGTCGAGGTGAAGAACCAAATCATCTTCATGGCGTCGCCGATGAGCCAGCTGGCGAGGACGGATATGCGGAAGCCCTTGCAGGCGCGGGTCTGGATGTTGGCGACGATTTGCGGGAGCGGGAGGGTGGCCTCGACGGAGAGGCCGACGATGCCGAGCATGTCCGAGTAGAAGCCGTAGAAGGAGTGGATGGGCGCGAAGAGGAGCTGGAGAACACATAGAGCGAGGACGAAGTACACGAGGAAGTGCCAGTATCTGCGCTGTTGTGTTAGAAGCGCAATGGAAGGTACTGTGCGATGTGGTCTTGGACGTACGGCTTGTCGGCCTTCCACTGCCAAAAGTTGTAGGGGCGTTCAAAGTTGAGGATAGCCTCGACGAAGCCCTTGTTGTTGGACTGCATGCCGTTGAAAGGCTGGCTGGACTCGCCTCCCTTGGAGGAGGGGCTCGGGCGGTTGTCGAGGGCGATTTTGAGCAGGGCGAGCTGCATTCCGACCATGATGACGGATTGGACGAGGAGACTCGTATCGTATCGGGCGCCGGGCCAGTAGAAGATGCTGAATGAGTCCATTAGCATGCAAGATATAAGAGCAAGAGCCAGTACATGGTGGATGGCTTTGCGACGTGATTGATGGCGGGGGAGCTTCAGGCAGGGGCAGGGTCGCGTGCCGGGTTGTCGCGATCGTGACGAGTTGGACGCACCGAAGAAATGAAGCAATGAGCATGATGAGGGGAATATCGAGCGAGAAGCCGGCGCTCGACTTGCTGCGGTGCATCGCGAGGGCCTGGTCGCCGTAGGAGAGCACGGGCGACAGCGCGATCATGAGGGGGGCCAAGACGCCAATCAGGGCCGTGAAGAAGCTCATGATGGGAGCGGCGGCGGGTGGCTGCGCCTGGAGAAAACGAAGAAACGAGTGTCAAGAAGGAGGAGAAACGAAGCAAGCAAAGAGGTCGTAGGTGCAGCGAGCAAAAGCGACAGGATGGGAACAGCAAACGATAGCGGGATCTGGTATGCAAAAAGAAGGGGAAGAAACGTCGTCGGCGCAAGTTGGTCTTTTTTCTAGGTGAGCAAAGGGGCAGGGAGATGATCGACGGAAGACGAGATTGAGATTGGACGGCGGAAGACAGAAGAGGAAAAAAGAGGGACTTGACCATTTTGGAACGATGCGCCCGCTGTCAGTGCCTTATCGATTGCGGTTGGTAGGTTAAGGGTTTTATTAGTGGACTTTCCAAACTTTACAGGTGTTAGTACAGGGCGTCGCCTGCACTTGTAGCGTACTCGTCCACTAATAAATCACTATAAAGTCGCATCTATACAGATTGATATGCACCAAGCGCAACCTACATACATAGGTACATAACTAATTAAACCTTGAAAATACACCTCATCTACATAGACTTCGGATAGAGAACGACGGAAACAACTAGTGTACCATGGGACTGAGCGATTTGATAACTCTATTAATGCCTATTTACGTAGACAAATGGACTGTTTGAATTATAGTTACCAGACCATGCAGCCCGGCCTGAACGGTTACGTATCCAAAAAGGAGTAATGCATGTCGTTGTGTTGTACTGTATTATAATATGTCTTCTATTTTACTAACAGTCCACTTGCTGTCGAGCTTGTGTCTGTTGGTATACACGTCGATAACTTACTTATCAGCTTGCGGAAGCGGTAATTCCGCTCTCTTGCTCAGCAACCACGCCTGGGCCGCTTCCGCTCCCTCGTCCGCATGATCAAACTGCCATTCCATCAGCCTTTCCAAAACGCTCTTCAAGTACTTGCCCCCTTCCTGCAGTCCGAATACGGCTCGAATATCATTGCCGTTTAGGAGGGGACGTTGCGTGGCGGCATCGAACAACGCCTCACGATATACAAAATCGGCAAAGAGAGAATACTTACGCAGCAGCGCGTCAACCATGCTACCCTCAGTAGCAGATGCGCCTCTTGCAACTTGCTCGTTTCCGATGGAAACAGCCTGCGAGAGCAGTGCAAATACGACCTGCGTCGTCCATGTCACGCCCCAGGAGCGTACTGCCATGCCTACAGTGCTCCGCCGAGGTGGTCGATCTTGCTCGTTCGCCGCCGCAACGAGACTCACCATGGCATCGATGGCGTCGAAGTTTCTGAGCGCGCTCTCTAGAACCTGCGACAACTTGGCAGGACATCGGATGGCACTCTCTGCCTCCTGGACTACTTCTTTAGGCTTAGTGCGACGCAGCCCGGCCAGCGGTGCGTACGCAGCCATCGTCCATACCAAGTCGACATTCTTCTCATTGTCCACCAGCTTGGCGAGGCTGCTCTTGTGTTGTAGTACTTTTGAGAGTATTTGAAAGCCTTGTGACCAACTGACCGGCCACGGCAAAGGTTTGTTTGTCGCCGGCGACGGAAACATACCCGGTAATGTCGAGGCCAGTGGCGAGTTGAGGCGAACAAAAACTGGCATGTACAGATTCGCATCGCAAATGTGCTGGAACGCGCCCTCTGGGTTCGCACCCCGCATCATCTTGAACAGCTCGGCCCCGACCCTGTCGCGAGTGATCATCGTGTCTAGCAGCCGGTGAATCTCCGCATCCCGCATACACGCCATCGCAGCCGGATCGATGGCGAAGCCAAGCCTACTGCCGATCCTGATCAGCCTCAGCACACGCAGCGGATCGTCCATGAACGTCTGCCGCGGGTCCAGCGGCGTCCTCATAATCTTCGCATCCAGGTCCCTGATGCCCCTACCGGTGAGGTCAACCACTTCCTGCCTCTCTAGGTGAAAGAACAGCGCGTTGACCGTAGCGTCGCGACGAAAGGCATCCTCCGCGGCCGTCCCAAACTCCATGTCGGGATTGCGGCTTTGGCCGTCGTACACTTCCTTTCGCAGGTTCACCATGTCGACCTCGAGACCGAACAGTCTGCCGCCGGCAGTCTCCAGCTTCTTGAACATGTTGGCGTTTCTCTTCATGATGTGAAACTTCGTAAAGAGCGTATCTGGGATGCCAAGCTCAGCTGCTCTACGGCTGTACTTCGATACCACTTCAGGTCTGGCGGAAAATTTTTCCAAAAAGGTGCCGAATTCTTTTCCCGTGGTGTTGCTCAGCCCCAGGTCCATGTCGGAGGAGAGAATGCCCAGCAGACGGTCGCGAACCCAGCCGCCGGTCACCCATATCTCCAGCCCTGGAAACGATTGCGAACACTCCAGCAGGAATTCCCTCAAGAGTTGCTCGGCGGGCAGCAAGGTAATTTCTCTTGCCACTTGTGCCATTGCCTCTGGGCTTGACAGGCTGGTGGTAGCCTGGAGCCTTGGAGTTCTCTGGATAGTTACGTTTGTTGAGTAGTCAGCGTGATGCGCGTCGACTCATGTTCGGCCGTAGTCATGGCGAAGAGCAATAAAAAAGAGTAGCGAAGACGCCGAAAATCCAGTCGAGAATGGATTGAGGGGTTGAGTCACTGGAGTTGCAGAAAGTGAGTTGGACAAACGAGTCACACAATTGGCGGGGCCATACAAGAAGTGTTGGGCGTTCTCTAACTCTGTGTCCGCCTCCGCGACCGCTGCTTCTTCACTCGTCCAGAATATCGACAGAAGAATCACTAGTCCAGTCCCAAAGGATAGACCACACGGCCTCTAGGAACTCCAATCTTCCCCTTCTGAAGTCTTTGGCGTATTACTGTGAGAACCTTTCATCATTGCCCTGGGTGGCGCTGAATTGACAGCAGTTCCAACACTGGCCAAACGCTTTGTGGAAAAGCCACGTGGAATCGTTAAATACCTCTATTGTCATATCTCATAATTCAGTCTCTGGAGACTATTTTTTTTTTCCAATCTTAAGATGCTATCCTATACCTTGTCCAAAGGCGTGCCCGATACATGAAGAACAAAATCAATCATTGCAACGCCGGCCAGCAATGCTTCAACTACTTTCAAACCGTCGTCCAAAAATAATCCGAGGTTCCGTATAGCCCAGGCTCCCGCTCCCTCACGGGGAACATGGCAAGCCAAAAAAAAAAACGCCAGTCAATGCTGAAAAAAAAAATTGTATACAAGGGGCTGATTACTCGCAGCGCAGGCTGAAAACAGCCCGAACTAGAGAGGCATCGTGTACACCACATCCATCTCTTTGGGTAGTTGGGTATTGATCGGCTCGTGTATTTGCCAGTAGGTGTCGGAAACCGTCTCCAAGATGCGGTAGCCCTGGCTCGGCCCTGTTGGTCTCGGCCCCTGCTCGAGAATGTGCAGCAGCTCGTCCAGCCGTCTGCGAACCGCAGCCTCGGAGCGAGCCAGGTCCTCCCACGTCCAGGACAGGCGCTCGAAGCACGCAAGCGCCTCCCTCACGCCGTCGATCTGGCCGGGCAGGTTCCGCACGGCGCCGCTGGCGTTCAGGACGTCCACCGCCTCGACGACCGCCGCGGCCGCCACGCGGGGCAGCAGCGCAGGCGCCGACGAGGGTCGAGTGCGGCGCAACCTCTCGACGGTCTGCAGCAGGTCCACGATACCCCGGGCATGGGCAAAGCAGCTGCGCGCGGCGCTGCCATGCGCCTGCGGCCCGTGCAGGGACGCGGCCGAGGGATGGTGGCGGCTCGCCTTGATCATCGCGTGATGGTGCAGCAGATGCATGGAGAGGAACGACCCGGCGCTGCCCGCGTACGCCGAGTCTTGCAGGTTACTCGTCGAAAAGGACAGGTTCTCGGGGAGGGAGGTGAACCAGCTTCCAATCTTGTTCGCCAGGGTCTGCATCCTGGCCGCCTCGTCGGCGGCCGGGCGACACGCCATGAGGCCCAGTGTGGCCTGGCAGTCGGACCAGAGATGGGCCATCTCCACGAGCCCGGCCAGGACGTTGAGTCGTGAGGACGGCGCCGGGTGGTACGGGTCGAAGAGCGGCTCGTCCCGCTCGACCTGCGCCTCGAAGCTCTGGTCGTCGGTGGGCAGGCGGATGTAGAGATCCTCCGGGTTGATCATCGCCGCCGACCTGTGGGGAAACACCCCGTTGAACCTCTCGAGCAGGAAGAGCGACCACAGCGTGCGGCGGCGGCTCTCCTTGTACCCGGTCCGGGTCATGCCAAACGGGTAGACCATCACGTTCGCCGCGACGGACTTTTCGAGCTCCACGGTCAGCTGCAGTCTGCCTGCGACGGCTGAGGCGGACGATAGCAGCTCGTTGGCCTCGTAGATGCGATCAACGGAGATGTAGTACGCGGCCAGGATGATGCGGCTCTGGACGAGCTGCAGGCAGTCGAACCTCAGGTTCTTCTGCGCATAATGCGCGACTTGGCAGTACTCAAACGCGATGTTCTTGGGGCCGCCGGAGAGAGCCATCCCGAGGGTGAGCACGCTATAGAGAAGCATCAAGTCCTCCAGGCGCTTTCGACGGGTCTGGTCGGCGACGTGTGCCTTCCAAGCCGTCTCGGGCAGGAACTTGAGGAGCATGGCCGAGTCGGCGTGAAGAAAAAATTGCGTGACGACGTCGGTTATGGCCTTGACGGAGTGAGGGTCAGATGCGTACACGTCCGTATGCCAGGCCCGCGCCAGGACATCATCCGGGATGCGGGAAGCGTCCGATGGATGTCGATGCGATACCTGGGGTGATTTGGAATGGTCCATGACGTCGGGGCGGGCAAACTCCCTGCTTCTTGAAGGGCTGTAGGACCCGGCACCCAGCTTCTGACGCTTGTTGCCGCCATCCTCGAAGCTCTGAGCGGCTGGCTGGGCCACGGGTGATCTCGAGGATCGAGAAGCCGCTCGCGGGGACGACGCCGCGTTGTTCCCGTGGACGAGTTCCGCCGGCTGCGCCGAGGGCGAGGTGGTGTGGCCGCCCCTGGGGGCCGTCTTGAACGTGCAGACGCGGCCAAACTTGTCGCACTGGACGCACCGCGGATAGTCCGGGTCGCACTTGATCTTCTTCTCGCGGCAGATGACGCACGCGATGGCGAGCCGCTTCCGCGGCTTGCCCGCCTTGGTGACGCCCCAGAGCGCGTTGACGCGCTCCCCATCAATGACCGTCTTGCAGTGGGTGCCGTCGTCGTAGAAGTAGCACATGCCCTCGCCGGGGACCTCGGCCTGCCGCACGAAGCGCGGCAGGTAGTGCGTGCCGGCCCAGATCTTGGGGCCCAGGGCGTCCTTGTCGACGGAACTCTCCGAGGCGGTCCCTGTGCCGCTGCCGCCGCCGCCGCCTGCCTCGTTCTTGTACTCGGTCGCGTCGTCCCTCGACTCCGGGAGGTGCCTGCGAGACGCGCCCGGCTCGTCGAGCACGTACTCTACTTGCTGCCGGCCGGCATCCTGCTGGGGCCATTGGGGCTGCTCTCCGTCGCCCCGATCGATCCTCGATTCGCCGGTCCTGGGTGATCTGGAGCCAGAATAGGACCGCCCCATGATGTGCGACGAGGTGACGGCTCTGGGGTCCGCCGCCAGCGAGGGGAGGTACGGTGGCGGGCTCTGGGTCGGTGCGGCCAGCAGATGCGGACGGCTGAGCGGCGAGTGCATCGGATACGGAGGCGGGAGGGCGCTCAGCGGCCGCATGGAGGACGGGGGTCCAAAAATGCTGCTGAGGGGAGGCAGCTGCTCGCGCTGCGGGTTTCTGGACGCGCTCGGCGGCGTGCCCTCTCGACGGTCGTCGGCGCCATGGTCACGGCCGGCCGTCTTGTCATAGCTGGACATTGGCAGGGCGGCTAGCGATTGCGAGGGCCAGACGTGATCTGCCGAGGGGGAGGATCTGGAAGATAGGGAAGTAGTCGTCGGGCTCGCCAGTTCTGGTGGGGTGTCTGGCAGGGCCATTCGTGGACGAGACTCGAGTGTTGTGAGGGAACCCATTGGCGGAGGGGATGCTGGAAAGAAAAGAGAGAGGCGTAGAGATTCGATGTCAAGACACCCTGCTCTCTAGATGACAGAAGATCTCTGCCCGTTAAGCTTAAATGTTTAGTAAAGCAAAACGGCGTGTGGTATAACAGAGGAAATCGGTAAATGATTCGTTGGATAGGTATGCGGTGTAACCGTTGCGAAGCTAAAGCCAAGGAACGGCTTGTCAAAGTTTCGATGGGTTTTTCTTTTCCTGAAAAGGAAGACGAACAGGCCAAGACGTGGCCGAGACGAGGGACCAGGACAAGAGTCTACGGTATGATCTTGGTCCGTGGTGTTGTTGGTAAAGGCAAGGGTTGGCCGGGGAGGAAACGGGCAAAGGGTGAGGAACGGGAACAGGTGGTATTTTAGGACAAAAATAACGAACAGGGAAGGAAGAAATGGGGCAGCTGAGCAAGCAAAAAAGACGAGGAAAATAAGACCGAGCAATGCAAAACCAGCCAAGCAAAACCGTTACCAGATTGCCGGGACGAACGTGAAGCGTTTATTTGCTGAATGCGAGGCCATGTTGCACCTGGGCTTGTATGTAGTAGGATAGGATGGGGCCGAACTAACACAAACAGCACAGCTTACAGCTTGCATTGATTCAGGAAAATGGAACTAGAGGTAAAAGGCAGAGTAGAGTTGACAGGGACACACGCCCCTCGATG